CTGTATCATAGGATCAAGCAAAAGCATACATGAAAAGGGTTGTCTCTTTTCAGACTTTCCATACCTGTAGCCAACATTAGTGGAAGAAAAAGTTATCATAAGAGCTTGGTTTTAGATTCTCTTTTAACTGTTATTTAGTTGCCAATTCTTTCTCTAATGTTCATGAGTTTCTGTACCTGTAAAACTCGTGATCGATCTTGAGTGCTAGATAATTCTGGACATTGGTGGGTAATCAGCTACTGAAACATTAATTTTATACAGAACCAGATCAGGGGGACAAAAGGATTAGAGCATTTACCCAAAGTTCATGGCCTTGTTTTCAGGTCACTAAGCTGAAGTAGCCAAAGCTAAATGATTCTTTGGTCGTCTACTTCAGAACTTAAAAATGGGTCATGAAGCCTACCTTTTAAATCACATACCTGATGATCATGCTTGTACAATAATTGTCTCGATTTTGTTATGAACCTTGCTAGAAGTTTACATACCTAATTTAGAAGTTTCTGATAGAGCGGAAAATGAAGAAAGTTGGGCCCAACTAGGATATAGAATTGAGTTGTAGTGTTCTAGAGGAGCATTATAATGTTGTAAGTGGCAAACAGAGGGGGTTCATATGCACTGAATATGGAGGAAAATCCTGGAGAATGAAGGAAAGGAAGAAAACAGAGATGGAACAAATAAAGTGCATGTAGATGAGTAATTAAGAAGTGTGAAAAGCAAGGTGGTGGTGGTGGTGGTGAAAGCTTGAAATGAGGGGTTAGGACCACACTAGTTGTCTTTCCTGGTTTTGTGCAAGAAACTGATGTGACCTAACCAACCCTTTTCTCTTCTGCACTTTTGATTGCTCCTTCCATAGTACCATGGTACTTCTAGGTTGGCATTTGTCAAGCCCCATCAATGACCATCTCTAATTTGCTTGGTTCCCTGCTAGTTATCGGTTCGGCTACGTTGCTGAGGGTCCTCTCTTGTCGCGCCCGCAGGCATCTATTGGGTGTACAAGATATTATTGAACTGTTGGATAAGGTGCATATACATATTTACAATTATCAAGGATGATAGATGATAAAATTCAGATGCATCCAACGGTCCTAACAGTAAGGTGGCATGCACCTCAATGTAGTCTCGCTGGCCTGATCATTATTATTCTCTCTCTTACTTAGTGCTTGATATTATCGTAACCTTGATCTCTTGTTTATGCAGACAAATTCATTAGTGTTACAATAGACTTTCTTAGCCTAGCTAAATGGGTATCTTTTTAAACAATGTTCAATTGCTCTATAATTGACCATTGATATATGAGTCTATAAGCATCTTCTATATCTTGTAAAGAATAACTTCTTTACCAATACAAGGAAAGAAGAAGAAAAAGGGATGTATACTAATTTAGGAAAGAGTGAGGAGGACCATCCAATTTGAGACATGCATAGGCTTTTGATTTGAGTCAATAGTGGTGGCTATTAGAATTAGTTGGTTGTTGATTGGTTGGGGGAATTGGCACATGTGAGGTGCCATATTGGATTTGCTTGAAATGAGCTTTCTAAAGATTAGGGGGAAAAAGAGTAATGTGCCTCTCCAACAAAACTTCCTAGAGTGAACAAACCCATGTGTTTGTATAAATATATATATATGTTGTTTGATTCTCTTAAATATGATGGGAATTCAAAAAAAAAAAAAGTTGGATAAAATTACAACTTATGTTTTGTATAGTTGTTTAAACCATGACGAAGCACAATACAAGATCATTAAATAATTCTACGTTTATTTCTAAAGAAAGTCGATGAAAATTCAATAGAAAACTTAATTGAATGACACAATTTGAACAACATAAGATACTTGTAACCCTTTTCTAAAACAATTATAACCATCTTAAACATATTTCTGAATGTCTTCCCAATGAAAAGACCGATCAATATACAAGAAATCTCCCCTTGGGTTTCCTAGATAAGGCTTTTCTTTCCTCAATAGGAAAAAGGGGTTTCCAACACAAAACAAACATGCCATATAGATAGCTTAAGCTTCTCCTAAATTTTGGAAAACTCTAACCATGTAGATATTTATAGTCACAAATCATAGTCCTAATCCAACAATTCTCCCAACTAAAATTCATCACTCACTGTACTTATAGTTTCTTATTTCTGGCCCGAGCGCATATCATATGATCATCATTCATTTATCAGCTGAAATTAGATTGTTCCCCACTATCAAAAATCTACAACTCTAATTTTCATGTGAACATTAGATAATTTTTCGTCACACTATATGCAGTCTAATCACAATTTCATGGACTACACAAGAATTTATGTTTATGTTTATGTTTAATCTGAATACAATCTATCGAATATCGACCCGCCAACTATCTCTAACTCCGACCCTCTTGGCGAATCACAACTTCGGAATCTCACTCAGTAGTAACACCATAAATCTGGAAATTACACATATCATGTGAGTTGGGATAAAGTATATATTATGGAGAAAGGGAGGCAAATGTTGGTGGGGAAATCTAAGAAAGGGGGGGTGAAAAGGAGGAGTGGTGGTGGGCAAATTTTCATAAAGACCTAGCTTACCTTATTTCTTCCCCTTGCCAAAAAGAAAAAGATGGCAAAAAAGCTAAGGTGTGGGCTTCTGCTGCGCCATGGTTGGCTGTGGGGACAGATTGATAGATAGATAGACAGCCAAACGAGAAAATGTAATGTCAAGAAAACACTGACTCACTGACCTCTGTCTCTCTGTGCCTTCTTTCTCTTGCTTTTCTGCTGCTGCACACCCTCTGAAAACCCTAGCCAGCTGTTCTGCAGATTACTGCAGCAGAGCAATATAATTAAGCATGGCTGGCTGGTTGGATTTATACGTATGTACTCATTCATTCATCATTACAATTTACACCCCCCATTCCATTCCGTTCATTCATTCACCCATTCATTCAAACATTTAATGTCGATTGCGTCCATCCAACAATCGTGAAATGCGCGGGATACCCTACAGTGTCCCAACGCAAAATGGTCGATCCAACGGTTGCGAAACGCCCTACCCAACATGTGAAACTGTTGTGAATTGGTTGTAATAATGGTTACTTATACTTGCAACTGCATGATTTGACATATCAGATTCTGTGCTGTCAGCCCTGCAGCCCCCATCCATCCCAACAAGACCTGCTTGCTCCAACAGTAACCATCACCAAGCATTGTAGTCTTCCCCACCCACCCCACAATTCATTACTCCCCAAATATGGTCCTACTTACCAATCTGGTCTTGTAAATTGATTCATAAAAAAAATATATAGAAAAATAGAATTAAACATGGAATCAAAATTACTTAGTCTGTAACGACGTGAAAACGGGAAAAAAAATCTCAGAATTACGAAATCCGAACCAACCACTTTAAAGTTGTATTGATGACCTATATGAATATACAAATGATATGGTTGGACATTAGAATGATCCTAATCGACGATCCAATATACTACATATGATCGATAATGCATGCATCTGACTTTTCTTTTTTTTGAAAGATTCGCTTGGTAATTATCTTTTAGCATTTGTCACGCAATAAAATATTGTTTTCTCATGTTTTCAAACAATTTTTTTCTCAAATCCAAACCCAACCATTTTCTTTCAGTTTGTTCATCATGAATCTAACTTTTCTATTGAAACTTTTCCAACTAATTGAATAGCCATGAATGGTGGGTTCTTATTAGGGCAATGATCTCTACTGTAGTTCACGTAAGCATGACCTATTCGCTCATCAGAACGTGACATTGTATGGAATAGAACGTGAGCCTAATTAATTAACAGTATTAATGTAGCTTAACAGTATCGCCATGAATGATCACGACATGGCGGCTAAATAGTTTTATCTTATACCCTTAATTAGGGCAACGACCATTCATCTACATCACACATGCAAATTATAATGCACAACGATTTCCAACTATTCCGGATTAATTAGGTATATGAAAGGTAAGTAGCACTTTGAGGTTGGTAAGAATAGAGCCTCACATGCACTAAGTCGTAACACAACGGTAATACAAAGGAAGAGACCCTTGTGTATTAGTGTCCACCTAGCCCAATTAGTACGAGGCTTTTTGGGAAGGAACCCAGGAGTAAAACCGTGCGGGATAATTGGCCCAAAGCGGACAATATCGTACTAATTGAGCGGCCCAGTTTGACAAGTGGTATCGGAGGCTGGTTCGGTTCGGGGCGGTGGACGTCAATTTGGTGGTGGACCCTCATTCGGTGACCTCGGGATTTGAGATCCGCGTCTGGGTTGGTGGATCCAGGAGAAAGATCCACGTCTATTTGGCGGATCAAGGGAGATCTGCGTCTGGACGTACTGTTTGTTATGGTCCTTATCTGGGACAATCCAAGTACCACTACATCGGAAATACAAGGGAAGGAACCCTTGTATATTCGTGTCCGTTAAGCTCATTAGTACGAGGTCTTTTGGGGAGGACACCCAAGAGTAAAATCGTGCGGGCTTTCCCCAAAGCGAACAAAGGGTTTGATCTAGCTACTGAAGCAACGATAATGCAGTTAGACTATTCCTTCTTCAAGGTTAGGTAAAAAAAAAAAGGAAGAAAGAAAGAGAAATATTACTGCAGAATGCACAAAGAACACAAGAGTGCTGCAGGTATCCCACTTTATCCACCGAGTAATAGACAGAAAAGATCACAACAAAACAAAAACTGATATATACATAGCAGAGATCCGATCCAAAAGCTACGATTTTCATTGACATGATAGATCAGACACAGTATAACACTCCATCATCATCCACTGAACCCAAAAATCATTCTCTCATTTCGATTTTCCTTAATACTTACCGATGAACTTGAAGCATTTGCAGTAGCTATAACCTCTCATTTTATTCTCAACCATAATAATAGACATTCTTAGTTATTGCCCTAATTACATTGAATTTGAAAGCTGATGAGTTTGGGAGCTATTAACTCTATTATTATCATTATCTGTTCATGACAAATCTCTCTGAAAGAAGAGAAGTACAGATCACATGGAGCCATTGAGCTCATGATAAAACCCATTATCATTGCTGCTGCTGTTGTTTGGAGTTTTCTTGTGATGGTTGAGTAATGTGCCAATGTTATGATCATTGATTATATTATCATCATTATTTGCAGATGATCCTCCATATGGTTGCTGATTTTGATGATGGTGAAAATGGTGGTGGTGGTGGTGATCTCCTAGTTTTGCATGCTTGTTCTTGTTCCCTTCCAGCTTCAGCCCAAAGTGGATGTGAGGGAAATGTGCCCACTGCATCACAAACAAGTGTGGTTTGAACAAATAGGACGATATGGTTCCCGGATTTCGTATCGATATCGATCATCAAAAAATACAAAAAAAAAAACAAGTATATGCAATCATATACGTTTCGGAGATATTCAAACCTCCCGATTTATAAATTATGAATTGGGGCTATTATATATATACTTGATCAGAGAATGATAGCAATGTCGTTGGACATGTTCCATCGATTGAATCGGCCTTTACACAACGATTGATCACCCAGCACCAACACAAAAGCACAATTGTCACATCTTAATTTGAGCTGAATCGGATGACAATTAATTGGGCGCCGCCCCCCAAAAAGCCTAAAATCACCCTGTCAATCTGAGCCTCAAACCAGGAAATCATCTGCTCTATAGCTATTATGCATTTTTTGTAGGGCAAATATGCAAGCCCTAACTGGACCACAAATTTAGTTAGTGATACCACGAAGGTGTGGCCAAAAGGAATGGGGACAAAAAACAGAATATTTATACACTGTAACTCCATTTTGGTGGGGGGAAATAAAAAAGAAACATTTTCAAAGTATCTTGAAAATTTATTTTAATTCTGGCAGAAGAAGCAACTTGATGTGAAAATTAATGCCACGTAATTTCCATAATCACAACCATAATTAATCACGATCACTTGATAATTTATGATCATCGTGAGATGTATCTCTTTAAGGTTTAATAATGTAATGATTAAATAGGAGGGACTTACATTTTTAGCTGCGGTGCTGAAAGCTTCTCTGTGGCTGATTTCAGGATTACTTGCTTTAATCCTTTGGATCTCCTCCCTAATTAATCACGCTGATTAGTAATTAATCATCATGATTATCTCTAGTTAAGTTAACTTATACTTCAATTGCAAGAAAAGTGAGCAAAGGCGGGGAGGAAAGCGAATGTTTAACTCACTTGATGAACCTGTTATATGCAGAAGGAACCCGCTGTCGCTTCTCTGGAGCTGAATTCATCAATTTTTGCACATTATCAATTTCTCAACATGCATATAAACAGAAAAGAATAAAAACTGATTAAAAATAAAAATATATTGAGAAGGGTTTCCGCGAAAGTATAGTGATATTAATGCTAAATTGTACGTAGGATGTGATACTATAAATTCGCAACAAATTATTGCATGCGAGGGAGGAATATTATTCATAAAATTATCATTCTGTCATGCATGGTTTTTTTTAGTAACAAATTTCAAAATTGACTGATTATTAAGAATGTGTATGCAACCGGACTCGCCGATAAATGAATATGTTTTGTCACGAATTGGACAGCTCTGCTAAATCTCCAACACACAGAATAACACGAAACAAAGAAAATGCCCGCATGATTTAGGTAGTAGTACTCACGGCGGATGGGAGGGAGCCTAGGAGGTTCGTGGAGATGATGATCATCCACCCAACTATACTCCAACGACTGCGGCGGCGGAGCAGGTAACGGCGGAGACGCCACCACCTGCTGCTGCTGCTGCTGCTGCTTGCCGCTGTTGTTGTTGCTGCTGCCGCTGCTGCTGTACTTGGACGAAGAAGATGATCCGGACGTCGAGCCGCCACGGTCTTTCGATGATGAGTTGTTATTAACGTTGGTGTTTCCTAGCCCTTCCTCAAACCCTAACTGGTCCTTCTCCGCCTCCAATGGCGACTATATATACACAAGCCCAAGGTTACACATGCAACTCATTTCCAATGCACGAATGTGCATAAGGACGACAAATAGTGATTCAGATCAACCAACCTGGTGGTGTTCACGGGGGAGAAGGGCGGCAGTAGCAGCTGCAGCGTTTGGTTGAGAATTGGGGAGGAAGATGTTGTTATTATTATTAGGGTAAAGAGAAGGAGTTGGTGTTGACGATGGTGGGGCTCCCATGAAGTTTCCCATGTTGACTGACAGCAAATTGGCGCAATGCCCGCATCTCACTGTTACCATTGTGTACATGCTGCTGCTTGGCACACTCACCTGCAGCACCAACCAGACGAACAAAGGGTTTGATCTAGCGATATTATTACGGATATAAAACAAACTTACACCACCCTTAAAAAAAAAACACACGCACAAAATAGAAAGAAAAAGGGTTGGAAATTTTTTTTTGAGCTGATCGATTGGTCGATCACTGTACGCGCTTCGAATTCTCACATGGGTAATAACTAATGAGGTCAGCAAGGCAAGCTGCTAGAGTATATACATATTTGGCCAATCTGACATACATCAGCCCTCCTGTTGCTTAGCTTTCCTTCACTGGAAACTGTTTTCGAACCCATCGTTATGTAACATACAATACAGCAAATATCACCTACCTAACTGGAGTACAATGTGAACTTCTGTTTGCAGAAGCAGTATGTATTGCTTTTTAGATACATAATAAGTTCACACATTTAAAGTTACTGAGTTGATGTGAAAATTTTGTATATGGAAGTTTTGGAGAGTAAGTACACATTCTGAACTTTCGGTGGGCTTTCATTCAAACTCTCTCCCACCCTAACCTTTTTTTTTTTTTTTTTGGGTGGTGATGATGAGTGAGCAAGAAATGTAAATGAACAGTGATGGAAAAAAAGGACAAAAATGCAAAAGAAGGGTGAGGGAGAAGAGAGAGATTGGGGGGAGGGAGGGAGGAAAGGGACGTGACGGTAACAGAAATGCAGAAGCCACAACCCGGAATTCAATTTATGATATGTAACAAATTGAGAGAGAGTACAGCTTCTGAGCTGAGGCCTGAGGCCCCCAGCTTAGCAGCAGAAAGAGCTAGCAATTGATGAATAAAGAGAGAAAAAAGTGAGTTCTGGTTCTGGTTTCTGGTTTCTGGTTTGTGTTTGTCATGGTCCAGTCGTTGTAGACATATTATAATATCAAACAAACATATACATGACAGGAGATAGCTAGCTAGCTGATGATGATCAGGGGAATCAGAAACAGGCCCAAAAGCATGGCAAAAAACTACTACATACAATATATACAAATGCCCTTTTCATTTCTTTTTTGGGTGGGAAGAAAATGGGCAAAAAGAGAGAGAGAAGAAATTATGGGTCTTAATAAATTTGCTGCTTTTCATATTATGATGATAAAAGACAGGGGGAGGGAAAAAGGGGATGGCTGTATTTTTTTTCTGCAGAAAGCATGCATTGGAACACAAGCTGGGTAATGGGTTGTTATTGCTTGCTATAAAATTAAGGTCCCCAGATTCCTTGGTGGGAAAAAAAGAAAGAGATCTTAATTAGGATCCACATAAGCAAGGTTAGGGTATGAATTAGCAAGATTAGTGTTTTACAACCATAGTAATTAGCTAGCTAGTTATAGACCTAGCTGAGGATATATCATTTCCATAATATAACTTGCAAATATTCAGCTTAAATGAAAAAAACCCATTTCAACCCAGATTCCAATTTTTTTTTGTGTGGTGATAAGAAATGAGTGAAGGCAGCCATGTATCAGAATTCCTTCCTCCTCGCATCCCAATACAATTCTTTTTTCTAGGGCCCTTACCTCTCTCTCTCTCTCTCTCTCTTTTTGTTTTGTATAGTAGTACTGCTACCAGCAGCTGCTGGGGATTATAAATTGGACAAAAAGCATGCTCCAATTCTCTCCCTCCAAAACAGTTCTTTTCTTTTAAAGCATCTGGGTTCCAAGGCTGTTTCTATTCTATAACAAACCCTCCCAAAGAAAAAACAAAACCAAAAGGAAGAGTAAAGAGAAAAAGAGATGAGCCATAGACATGCAGCAGCAGCAGCTAAACTTGCTATAGCTAGATTCTGCACTACTAGGCAGCTGTTTGTGGTGATGGACTTAGACAGAGACTGATCATCATATGAAACCCAAAGGAAAGGAAAGGGGGAAAAAAAGATATAAAGAATGAAAGCAAAGGAAGGAAGAAAAAGATTGAGAGATAATAATTGAAGAGTATGTACTATACCGCTAGAACTGTGTTGCAGAAGTTGCAGTGAACATAACACACTCTCTCGTTAGTACTCGCCGTCCCTACATCACCGGCGGCGGCCACCTGATCCTCCATCCCTTCTTCTTCTTCTTCTTCTTCCTGCTGCTGCTGCTGTTGTTGGTGTGACAGCATACCCAGTTCAGATATTTAATTGGGTTGTCTTCCTTTTCCCCCCTGTCTCTCTGTACACAATAAAGATGGAATCTTTTTTTCTCTCCCAACAGCACCAAACTCAGTAGTCAGTAGTACTACCACTCTGTAGCTCTATCTATCTGTGATGTGTCCAGCGGATTTCTGCTTGTATGGCACCATATCCTTTTGTTTTAAGGGGAGGAGCTTATAGCTAGGGGTTGTAGGGTGAGTGAGATTTTGGTGTGTGGAGATAACAATTATAACACCAAGAAAGTGAATGAATGAAGGAATGAAGGAAGGAAGGAAGCAGAACGGGTACGAAATATAAGATGGAGAGAGAGAGAGAGAGAGAGAGAGAGAGAGAGAGAGAGAGAGAATGGGGTGGTGGTGATGAGAGGATGGGACTAGACTGGTCGGGAAAGAGTAGAGTAGAGTAGTAAGTAACTCAAACTCACTCACTCACCCCAAGTTGGAGAGGAGAACTCCCACCGCCATATTTACCTTTCCCCTCCCTAGTCACTCTCTCTCTCTCTCTCTTCATCTTCCTTTTAGGATTAGGGTTCAGTGGGATGTGCAATGGTTGAGTTCGGTTCGGTCAAGATTCGGATCGTATGATGATAGAACCTATCGGAAGGTAAATAAAATTTTAGGATATGAAATATTGAACCGAAAGTTTATTGATTCATGTTTAAATATCACTCGGCGCTTTTTCTTTAATACTTAGAAAATTTGTGGAATCGAGAACCAGATCGTATTTTATCGGGTCTGGGTCGGTTCGATCCGGATGTTGGTTTGGACCGATGTGTAGATCGAATCGTTGCATCCAAACAGTTGTTAGGGCTCGCATTGCGAAGCGTGAGTACTACTAGTGGCTATGATGCCGCTTTGAGTGACTTTTTCACGATGAATGTGCGTGATTCAATTTCTAACAAATTATATACGTAGATCTCTTATTTATAAGGACGTCTATTACACATGCTAATTAATTAAGCAGCTTTCGTCTTGTGCCAATGATGCATGGCAACATAGTCAAATCGCATCTCCTCCCACTTTAATTGGATTGAAGACCATATTACACGACTAACTCAAATGTACATATTACGAAAGATTTTACGAAAACCTGCAGTATCAATCCATTATAGAGATGATTAAGCACCTTTTTTTTTTTCATTTGTGTACTTTTTAAGCTAGGTCTAGGGTTTCGATTGTTGTGTTGGATCAATTTATTATTGGTACCCAAACTCTCCAGCTTTTATTGAAGAGGACGTCACCCATCAACCCTATGATTATTGACTTTTAACTCCTTTCCATACAATATTGATGGCAACATCCTAACCCACACTACCACCCCCTACATTAGTACATAGTTAATTAACCTCTTCTAGATTACTATCTTCTTTCAAGTTTGCATGATTTAGTTATGCATGAAAGTTAAAAGAGTAACAATCAAGTTAGCCAAAATAGTGTGAGAGGTTTTACTTACAAAAGCTTGATAAGTCCCTTTTAGGTACCTGCATTTGGTGAAAAAGAACGTAGCTACTAGTTAGGGAGGTTGGACTTGCGACGCTGGTAGATTGATAACAGTTTCGAATCACAAAATTTCGAGTAGATGGTTAAAAATAAATAACCGTGTGTTCATCATCTGATTACGTAAAATGCCTGCCCCGTCATTCAACTAGGTAATTAGTAAGGTTATGAATTCCAGCTTGTGTTCACCATGATTATATACAAAATGCACATTCGTTCTTCTTTCCTTGTGTTATAAAAACAAGGGACAAGAAGCGATTAGCTTTGGGCCTCACATCACAATGAAACAAAGATACGTTCCATAATATGAAGTTTAATGGGCCATTCCATATTCCAAATTATTGGGCTCGAGTTACCAAATGGAGTTGCTTTTCAGCCCACCTAATTTTCGCTTGGACTAGCCAGCCCAATATAAGCGCTCGCCGGTTTTATAGCCCATATATGGCCTCCTCTCACAAAGTCACAACTTACAACACTCCCTTGTTCATTTTGGTTTCCTCGGCAAAAGTACATCACAAAATTAGATTAAAAAATGGAAATAAAAATTATAGTGAAGTTTTATATGCACATATTTTCAGAGTCAATATTGTTAGTAATTTGTTATAGTGATTTTTCAAGTTATCGTGATTTGGAGAAAATGGTCGAATGTTTATGATAAATGAATCAGTGGCGTACTCAAAATTATTGAATAGGTGTGTCGGCTTATAAAATAATATATTAAATAAAAATAATTCATAATAAAATTTACAATATAGTTTACAACAAATCACTACGACTTTTCATATATTGAAAGGTTCGTAAAATATATTTATCGTCCATGTTGCAAATCAAAGATTTTCTTGGTATATACAACTAAAAAATCATTCATAAATTGGTAATTTAATCAATTTTGGAGATTGTTCTTGATTAATTTCATAGCTGAAAAGGCATTTGGAAACTTGTAGTTGCAATAGATAAAGTCAACACTAACTTCAGAACCAAGTAAACTAAAAGACAACATGTATTTATTTGTTCTATTAACTACATAACAACAAATTTCTTGTAGAATAATAAAGGTGTGTCGCTTACAATTATATTAGGTGTGTCGGAAGTCCCGATTTTCAATTTTTTGTACCGTCGAAAGCAGAGTTTCTCACAAAAAAATTCTACCTAAGGTGTGTCGGGTGACACACCTTGCTCTAACTTGGGTCCGCCCCTGCAAATGATCAACATGATGATACACTTGTTGCAACATTGACTATACCATTGCATAGAAAAATAACCATCTATCCATCTAATAGGATGTTCGGCTGGTGTCATTATCTTATCAGTGTTGAAACAAAATTCTATCATTGGAAAAGTTTCAATTTCTCAACGATACTTCATCGTTACAAAGAAAACTAATGGACGACCAAGACAAGAAAATAATCGACCGGTTCTTCATTACCTTATCAGTATTAGAACAAGATTTCATTTGTTACCATTTAACCCGAGTTAATATCAACATAAACCTCTACAAATAACCATCTGTTTATTAATTTATCACTCTATACCATGTGACCCAAACCACCTCTCGTACGAGAAGAAAGACAAGAGAGAGGAAAAAAATCACTAGCATTATTAACACATCTTAACTATCAAAAAGAAAGCAAAAGGATGACTCGTTCATCTGCAAGCAAAACAAGGAAAAGCATATCCAAACCGATTTGTCGTGCTGAGTGTCATTACCTTATCAGTGTTGAAACAATATTCTATCACTGGAAAGGTTTCAATTTCTCAACGATACTCCATTGTTACAAAGAAAACTAATGGACGACCAAAACAAAAAAAATAATTGACCAGTTCTTCATTACTTTATCAATATTAGAACAAGATTTCATTTGTTACCATTTGACCCGAGTTAATATCAACATAAACCTCTACAAATAACCATCTATCTATTAATTTATCACTCTATACCATGTGACCCAAACCACCTCTCGTACGAGAAGAAAGACAAGAGAGAGGGAAAAAAAATCACTAGCATTATTAACACATCTTAACTATCAAAAAGAAAGCAAAAGGATGACTCGTTCATCTGCAAGCAAAACCAGGAAAAGCATATCCAAACCGATTTGTCGTGCTGAGTGTAGATAATTTGTTTTGTCTATAGTTATTAGTTCGTATAATTCATATTTCTTAAATATGAGTCGTCCTTGAATGACTCCTTTAATTATATGATACAAATTGTTATCTTAAGAAGCTTAATCCATGAGATACCTCTAGTTGATAAATGGAAGAAAAAAACATCATCCAAAGACAAGTATAGTTCTCCTAAGAAAAGTGAATTTCCTTCCTAAAATTCAATGAAAAGTATTGTTTTTAACTCCCAATCATACTCTCGAAATGTTTGACAAATTGTTATTTCTTACCAGGCAGTTCTTCCTTGTTTTGTTTGTTTTCTTGTTTTTGTCAATATCGCGCCTTGTACCCACCACTACCGAACCCTCTTCTTTTAACAAATTACACACTTTAACGTTTTCAGGTAGATGAGAAGGTCTTTCTGGTTGGTCAGCACAATAAATTTGCTCGTTTCCATGGCCGACGTCCCTTCTCTCCAATCCACAATACCCATCATTCTGGTTTAGGCACGTTGCAAACCTTATAGCAGTTCATTTCTTCACCATCCAATTCTCCTCCCAACTACCCATTTCACCGGCAGCGGAAAAAAAAGCCTCCAGAACCCTCCCGCTTGCATGGCGCCGACCAGGATTTTCGCCGGGCTGTTCCTTCTCCTCGCCATCTACTGCGCCCTCGATCCATTCGAGCACAGCGCAATCTCCGAGTTCCCTGATTTCGTGTCCCACCCTGTTGAGATGCCGCCGTGGTCGCTGGTTCCCACCGAGAAAGACGAGCTCAACTCGCTGCAGAAGTCGGAAATCAAGTTCCTGGGTCAGATTCAAGGCCCCGAGAGCTTGACCTTCGACCCTCTTGGCCGTGGGCCTTATACTGGTATCGCGGATGGCAGAGTCGTGTTCTGGAATGGCGAGAAATTCGTTGATTTTGCTTACACTTCCAGCAATAGGTCAGTCAGACTATGAATTCAAATTGGGGGTTTCCTAAATTCTTGGGTCCTGGTCTTGTGGAAGGATTGTGCCTTTTTCTGGATTCTTGGATCTTTTGGACTGCCCTTTTGAAGGATCTGTAAAGGATTTATGTTAGCTGAACTCCGATCAATTTGTTTCCAATTTGAATGTTTAGCTGGTTCAACTGTGTTTTATGGATCATGAACTTTTGACTTTGGTAGACTTAGTGATGCATTGGCTATGTTCTGGTCTGGATTTCAGGTCAGCAATATGTGACCCTAAGCCTTCCCCTTTGGGCTACTTGAAGAATGAGCACATCTGTGGCAGGCCATTGGGGATCCGATTCGATAAGAAGACGGGTGATTTGTACATTGCAGATGCGTATTTCGGGCTGATGAAGGTTGGCCCTGAAGGTGGAGTAGCAACATCAATTGCTACTGAGGCAGAAGGAGTTCCATTCAGGTTTACTAATGATCTAGATATTGACCAAGATGGCAACATTTACTTCACTGATAGCAGTACTAAGTACCAGAGAAGGTAAACAATATGTCTTCACTTTTAAAGTTCATCACTTTCTTTTACCAATAGAATGGCAATTTTCGTATGATTCGTGTTGTTCAATTGCAAAGTAAGTGACTTGCTAGTTGCTATTGAATCGTATCTTCTTGTCCCCCATGGAATGATGCTTTTGGAAGTTCTGAGTCTCTGTGTTATTATGTGTTTCAGGAACTTCATGCAGCTGGTTTTCTCAGCAGAAAACAGTGGGAGGGTTCTAAAATACGATCCCATCACGAAGAAGGCCTCAGTCCTTTTGAAAAACCTTCAATTCCCAAATGGGGTGTCTCTAAGCAAAGATGGCTCCTTCTTTGTCTTCTGCGAAGGATCTCTCGGCGTGTGAGTCTTTTCTTCGATACTAACCCCCATCGGGCTTATATGTAGAGTAGCTGGCTTCCACTATCAGTCTAGAGCTACTTTCTTCATCGATTATATCTAGAAGATAATTGTGAATGATATACATCTCTAACAGACACAATGCTGACTCCTTTTCCCTTGCGTTCTGTAGATTGCACAGGTACTGGCTTAAAGGCGAGAAAGCCGGCACATTTGAGGTACTAGCAGTTTTGCCTGGATTTCCAGACAACGTCAGGACTAACAAAGATGGCGACTTTTGGGTTGCCATCCACTGCCGAAGATCCTACTACACTTACCTATGCGCCAAGTTCCCAACTTTGAGGACATTCCTGCTGAAGCTCCCGATTTCAGCCAAGATTCAGTTCCTGCTTCACATTGGGGGCAGACCACATGCCTTGGTCGCCAAGTATAGCCCAGAAGGTAAGCTGCTGCAGATATTGGAGGACCGTCAGGGGAAAGTGATGAAAGCGGTTAGCGAAGTGGAGGAGCGAGACGGGAAGCTGTGGATCGGAAGCGTGTTGATGCCTTTCGTCGGTGTTTATAGCTTGGAGTAAGTAGTAAGATAGAGAGAGGGAGAGCTAAAGGGTATACCTTTGTTGTATACAGAGGTAATAAGGTGGTTGTTTGTTCATCCCCACATAGGAAGAAATAATGTGTTTGGAACTGAGTTTCTTTTGTTGCCCACATACTTGGAAGGGAGAAACGAAATGTTTTTTTTTTTTGCTAGGTTATCCCCCTCTGTTGTTGTGCTTGTGTACTGCTGAGTTCTTCTCCTTTTTACAGGCAACTTAGCCATTGAAAAGCAAAACTGCACTTGTTGCTTCTTCCTGAATCAACTGTGATAATTGGTTAATGGAGCTGAGTTTATTATGGTTATGAACTTGCGGTGAAGCATCTTGTACATCTAAACGAGTCGTTGTGGCAAAATATCATGTTTGGAAAACTCATATTATGTATGGGAAGTAAAAGATGAACTTGTTGTGAAACATTATGACCATCAAAACGAGTTTTTGTAACAAAATGTTATATTTGAAAAAGTAAAACAATGAGATGTGGCAATTAAACGCGCTTCACATTGTCGTAGTTGAGGTCTATATTTTTTAAAATGTCTTGCTTTTTCAAACATAAATATTTTGATTTAACAAACACATCTTCTATACTACGATTTTTAGCAAACAGGTCACTATACTTTATCATTTACTTATTTTGATTCTCTTGGTACAAAAATGAAACACATCTTTTGTACTACGATTTTTAGCAAACGGGTCACTATACTTTATCATTTACTTTATTTTGATTATCTTTGTACAAAAAAATTCATTTGAAGAATCCAAATGACCAATGACTTATCGTATGGAAATGACAATTACTATATTTGAAAGTCAAATTGAAAAGCGAATATTTTTAACATACCAACAAGATATTGTGTACATCTACGGCGCGATTATTACTAAGCATGGTCGATTCTAACGATAACTAGTTCAAATTTATATAAGTAAAATAAAGATGAATAACATAGTGTAAAAGGCATAAATTGAAAAAAGAAAACCTCTAGCATTGCCATTTCCTGTGCACCAAGGCACCTTTCACTATACATCATGACTCATGAACATTGTTTCGACTGGGATGGGGCTCGGGTGTGGGAGTGTGCATGGTGTCCCTCTTTGATTTCCAATGAAATCTTTGTGCCTTATTTGCATTTCAACCGTGGTTTGCCTTCTGGTTAGTTATTCTCTTCTTCCCCCGCACACGCATTGATCGCACGGTGACCAGAGAGGAAGAAACTGCTATTTTGGTGTTCTCTTTTTTGCTTGACAGGACCATTGATTGGAGGGGCTGGAGATTACCTATGGGAGCAGTTGAGGTCATTATTGCGCCTACCTGTTAGAGAGAGGAAAGCTGAGTAGAGTGAGCCTCGGTCAATTTTAATGTGCGCCTGAAACTAGAACGAGTTTACTGTGCCGGGCTGGTGGGTTGGCTCAGTACCTCTGCCATTTGCAGAAATCTCATGGTCATGGAGATCTAGATGAGACTCCCTTTGGTAAGATGTTGTTTGAATGTTGTTGATTTGTTCGGTTCCAATACTTTTATACGCCAGATGTAATTTCTATTCTGTTTGATAGATCGCAGGTTACTGATTTGTTCTCTTCTCTTCCATCTGCCGCTTGGAGTGGAAGTCTAGGTTGGCAGTTGGATTTGTGGAGTTCAAAGAGCAGATTGGAGAGGAGGTAGTTCCGTGGATTTTAAGCAAAAATGTAGCAATAATATGAGGGGATTGCTCGGCTGCTATTCACGATCTGCTACTGGGTTCGTCAATGAATTTGAGGGACACAGAGGTATCCAAGAAAAAAAAAATCTGCAGATTTACGTTTAGGCCTAAGCTAAATGTTCTATCTGTTAAGTGTTCTCTGTATATTTGCGTGTGCTCTTCTTCTTTTCTTTCATTAGTTTCATCTTTTTTGGTGTGAGGTACCAACGCTATCTATTACAAAAGCGAGTAGACATGGGTGGTCAATGGTGCCTATTCCCGGAACTGGTCACTGTCATTTCCGTTAAATGTACTTACTGTACCAGTACTTTGAATTATGCAATTCAACTGGTTTGTTCCTGCTGTTCTTGCCATGTTCATTCAAGTCTTATAAATCATGAATTGAAAATGAAATGATGAATGGCTACATCTCGGTCGTAATTATGCTGGCAATATAATTCGGTGGATCTAGCAACAAGCAAGCTGGGTTGTTAATAAATTATTTGTGAGCTTTTAAAAACATGAGATTAGCAACAAATGAGTTTGTTCATGTGCGTTTGGAATATTAGTTATTTTGCAAAATATAAATATTAGTACAAATTTAGAAAGTTCCAGTCGTGATTGTTGAATGAAACTTGAGCTTCAATAAGTTGCAGAAAATAATCTATATTATTATAGAAACAAGGATATAGTATACAAAAAATATTATATATCGACTTACAATATATATTCGATATGCTTCTACGCGGAGCGCGGACAATGAAAACTAGTTTCTATGTACAAGCCACTTGGACTTGTTTGTCGAAACAGGAAAATACATGAACTATAAATTACCAGGACCATATCTTCTTCCCACTGTATTTGCGTGAAGACGATGCAATAATTAACAAAGGAAGCCGAATCCGTGTAGGATATTAATTCTAATTCGCCCTAATCCTTGTAAAATGTGGACTTTATTCCCACTAATTTCGCCTTTAAGTAACTCCACAGGCCGAGCTTAATAAATAACTGAACAGAACACGAACAGAGCGAAAATCCCAAAGCGGAAGAATTTCCCAAACCCTATCGGAGACAACGATTCCGTCGGCCGCCACCGCCACCGCCACCGCCACCGCCACCGCCATCTCCAATCATGGATCCAGAAGACTACTATGGCAGCCACGATGATGATTACATGATCGACGTCGACGATGAACCCAGTGATTTCGTGGAGGAAGAGGACCGAAAGCCCAACACCGCTGCTTTCTCAACCCTCAGCAAAGAGGACATCGATCGCCGCCAGGAGGATCTGATCGCCGATGTTTCCACCTTCCTCTCCGTCCCGAGAGCCGTCGCAATCGCGCTCCTCTACAAGTTCAAGTGGGACTCCGACTTGGCCCAGGAGAACTGGTTCTCCGACGAGGAGGAGATGCGCCGCCGCTACGGCCTGACTGCCGCTCCGGCTCCGCCTCTGGCGGCGGTGAACAGAAACAGCCACGAATGCAAGATTTGTTACGAGACGTTCGAGATAAAAAACCTCGCCTCGCTCTCCTGCGGCCATTACTTCTGCAGCACCTGCTGGTCGAGGTACATCGAGCTGAGCATCGACGACGGCGCAGGGTGCCTGACCCTCCGCTGCCCGGAGCCCAATTGCCCCGTCCTGGTCTGCCAATCGACCGTCGGAGCCCTAATTAGCGACCGCCGGTACGCGGAGAAGTACGCCCGGCTCCTCCGCCGGTCCTACATCGAGGGGAAATCGGGCCACAAGTGGTGCCCTGCCCCCGACTGCGAGACCGCGGTCAAATTCGAGGTCGGGGAGAAGTCCAATTACGACGTCGTCTGCGACTGCTCGCACGAGTTCTGCTGGAACTGCTCGGAGGACGCGCACCGGCCACTCGACTGCGCGACGGTGCTGCGGTGGATCCGGAAGAACAGTTCAGATTCGGAGAACGTGAATTGGGTTTTGGCGAACACCAAGGCCTGCCCCAAATGCCGGCACCCGATCGAGAAGAACCAGGGCTGCAACCACATGGTCTGCAAGTGCCGGCACCATTTCTGCTGGATGTGCCTCGGCGACTGGAAAAAGCACGGCCAAGGATCGGGAGGGTACTACACATGCAATTCGTACGAGGCGAAGAAGGCCGAGGGGAAATTGAGCGAGGAGGACGAGAAAAGGCAGCACGCGAAGCGGCTGGTGGATCGGTACGCGCACTACTTCGAGCGGTGGGCGGGGAATCGGACGGCGAGGAAGCGGGCGGCGGCGGATCTGGAGAAATTGAGGGCGGAGCATTTCCCGCAGCTGGTGTACGACTACAGGCTGACGTACACCGAATTGGACTGTGTGGTGAGGGCGTGGATGCAGATCAAGGAGTGCCGGCGGGTGCTGGAGTGGACTTATGCGTACGGTTATTACCTGGGGGAGGAGGAGGAGGAGGGCGGCGGCGGAGGAGGTGGGAGGAAGAAGGCGAAGAAGGATTTGTTTGAGTTTTTGCAGGCGGAGGCGGAGACGATTTTGGAGAAGCTGCATAATTGCGCGGAGAAGGAGATTTCGCCGTTTATTAATGCCGCCGCCGCCGGCGGTGGAGGGGAAGAACGAGTGGTGGAGGAATCGGAGCGGAAGGAGTTTTTCGAGTACAGGTTGAAGCTGCAGGGGCTGACGAATACGACGGGGAATTCGTTCGAGCGGCTGGTGAGTGGATTGGAGAACGGGTTGGAGGATTGAACACAGGTGAATAGTGATTTTTTTTAGGTAACAACGTTGTTCTCATTGTTAATTTTGAGAATTTGCTATTTTGTGTATTTAATCGATATTAATTTAGATCGTGGATAAATAAAATAATTTATTTAAGGTTAAATTCAAGAAATTGGTGGGTTAATTATTTTCAACTTACAAGGTCAATCGTTTGATGGTTTGAGGTTGGTCTTTATCGATCATATAAATATAAATTTATCACTTATCTTCAATTCAAACCTATCGATACGAGTGTGGATGAAGCTGATTATATATGGCACACAAAGAGTAGAGCAGTTGATCGAATTTGTTTGCTTAATCCAAATCAAAATGCATACACTTCATAGAATGAAAATGAGCGTAGTGTTGTTATTTGAAATGTATAGTTTTTTTTAGTAGACTTTGAAACAAAATCATGTATTAACTTTTCAATTTGCTTCGTAAAAAAAAAAATTCAATTTGATTTTCTCAATTATAATCACATATAATTTGTTTGAGTTTTTGGTGTCATTTTGAAACACAAATAGCACTCTTAGAACAAAAAATATAATTTTAATTATCAAAATACATCCCTCGTGTATATACATGAAATTAAATGTTGAACGATGGCTAACCCTAATATTTATTAACGAACTTAAGTCCATCTTTATACACACATTCCATAAACAATACTACACAAATTTATTTATATAACATATTATTGTTTTTTCTTCAACATATCATTCTATTGCACAACGTAACCCAGTGATACAATGATAATGTTCGCTATGGAAATCAACGTAATACTTGTCCAAAGCTATTAACCAACCACAAATCAAAACCAACATAACCCAAAGGGAACAATTAAAGGGTCTTCCTGCCCTTAAAGGACCAAGATATAGAACTGACCCGCCTCGCCCTGTTTCCTTCTTGATCTTGTCTGATCGGAGCAGGTTGGTGGTTTGGCCCTAATAAACATACTGATTTTAAAAACTTACATTTGGTACCAAATTATTTTCTTATAATTTAGTACCTAAAATTTATTTTTTTACAAATGGGTCCATAAAAATTATTGGTAAAATTACGTTTTGGTACTCACTTTTTTTTTACAAATTAGTACCTAAACTTTTCAAACTTTACAAACATATCCAATGTGTTGGTATGAGAAATTTCATAAGACTAGTTGTTGCTAAGGCTCATAGGATCAAAAGCTGACCCGCCCCTAAGTTGCTTCGACCCTTACAGGGTCAAAAGATAACCCAACCGTAAACTGACTCTATAGACAAATTGATCCAACCTGACCCTCAGAGTCAAGACGTATCAGTTGGTTTTAAGGGTCAAAATTACACCCCTATTACTGGCCACTCAATGTGCAATCCATCGACCAACAAATTTCACTCGATAACCTGCGCGCCCAAGCTGTCAATATCTTAACCTCCGTCACCACAACACACCCATCACTTAAAAAACCTCGCCCACATATATCTTATCATGCTTGTAATACATTACTGGGTTAATAACAGACTTGCGGTGAAAGGTCTCTAATATATGAATATCATATATTGAAGAACCTCCTACGAGCTCTTCAACTATGCTCTAAAGTATTGGTGTTCAAGATACAAATTGAATTTGTAATATAAGATTAAGGGGCCGTTTGGAAGTTGGGAGTCTATGAATATGTATATTGTCACAATGTATGTATTTTAAGTGCATGTTCAGTTTGTATCATAAAGAGATTTGTACAAAATGTGTATTGGTACAAACTTAATTTATACCATAATGTCAAAAAATACAAGTTTGGTTTGTACAATAAAAGAACCAGTACAAACTAAATTTGTACCATGAGTCCATGACTGCAAGTTCATTCTCTAACCACAAACATTTTTTTTTCATAAATCAAACAACCGATACTATAAAATATTGTAAAATTCTTCACCATAATAACAAACCATACTCTCAGTGGCGGAGCCACAGCCAACCAAGAGAGGTCTGCTGCACTCTCTTGGATAGGCAATCCCACACAAAAAAATACACGTAATAATTAACCATGCAAGAAGAGAGATTGAACAATTGACCTGGCACCTGGCTTGCATTAGAGTACAATTCAACAATTACAATATAAACTAGCTGTTAAGTTTAGTTATACATTAAGAATATTTATTTAAAAGAAGTGACATCTTTGATTGTTTGGATGACGAATATGTTTTAGATATTTTCGGATTATGCAAATACGTCGAGTAATGTAGATCATTGTAAAAAATTAAGCATGTTTTTTTTTGGGCAAAATACACCTAAATAGCCACAACTTTATAAATAAAGTAACTCAATCAGCCTTTTACTTCTCTTCTAAATCACCGTTCCCAATCTAGACTCCAGAAAAGTTCCCCGATCACACGCCTCCGTCGGCGACCACCACCCACAGTCTCAATTCTAAGCTTTACGCATAACTAAAAAAACTAGCTATTATTGGCAAAGCCCGAAAGTTGAAGAAGTACAAGTGTATTTTGCGTTTTAGTTTTGTCCAAGGATTAAAAAACAATACCGTACCTAGAAAAACCTCCTACCAAAAGCGAAATCGGTAGATGGCAGTTAGCCGTATCAAACAGTTGAACCACGATTAAACAATGATTTCAGCATATAATACCCTATCATTGATTTTTTCAATACAATCTCTGATACGATTTTTCGATCCTTGATTTTGACCCACCTTGTCAATATTCCTAGCTACGCCACTGCATACTCTCATCTTAGTTGTTTTTTTAATCCAAGATAAGCCCCTAGGGCCTTGGCCGAACAAATATATAAAACATATAATAATAAAGAACGTTAGCCTCTATGCAACCGGGCTCCCGATAAAAGAGGCTTTTTTGCCACGAGGTGGGCAGTTCTATGAAAGCTCCGAGGAGCAAAGACGCGAAACTGACACAGGGAGTCGAGAAGAGAGAAATAACTTCCCTTACAATATCCGACTTTAGAATGTGAAGACTTCCTAGATGTAACTACTCGAAGGCAAAGCCAATTAATTATTACTCTTTTAATCAGCAATAATTAAGAAAATAAATAAATCTTACCTCGTAAGTCAACAAGTGAGACATCACCGGAGGAAGGAATTTCAATTAAAAGGAAATTTGCGTACATGGCGTCGCATGTCTCGCCTCGGAGCTAAATTCGGAAACAAGGCGAACTTTTAAGGCCGGAGGAGAGCCTAGAACCCCAGGACTCCGATCGCCACCACATCTGAACGTAACTTTGGCTTCGCCGAAAAAACAAGAAAGTAACCGAAAAAATGAACGAACTTATATTCAAATATATATCTTACCTTAAACCAAATCCTATCGGAGGGAGAGAGTCGGAGATGGAGTTGCCGGAGAGATCCAACGTGACGATGTACAACAGCATAAACGTATCTCGCTTGTAGGATCAGACAAAGTTTCTTACTATGTGTTCAATATAATGAGACTAAAAGATCATATATGTGACCACCTTTTTTTTGTCATTTTCTGCTTATCATTCGAACGAGAAATTAAAACCTAACCGTTTGGGTTACAAAATTCACGAAAAATTATCTAATCTAATCTTTAAATGAGCCCAAAAAGTTGGCCAATTCGTTATAGTATAGATAGCTTGTTGATGATTGATTCGAGAGGCAATCGGTTTTTTTTTAATAGGAAAACCTATATTATTTCTTCAAGTGGTAAAAATATTACAGAAATCAGCTAAAAGATGAGAGACCAGAAAAATTGGTGGTCTTGCAACCCACACTTCTGTTTCTTCCCAACCACAGGCGGTATGGGCCATTAAATGAGCAGCCTTGTTATTGTTTCGGCCCGAGAAGCCCACTTGAATCAGACCCATATTACTCAGGTGGTCACGTAAGTCTTCGCAGAGAACTCCTTCTTCAATCATCACCTTCTCCTCTCTTCTCAATATCTGGGCAACACTCAGACAATCTGTCTCAATTTCACACTGGCCAAAACCATGCTCCACTGCTAAATCAATACCCCATCTAATTGCCAAACACTCTGCCATTTCCGGTGTTCATTGGACTCGACTCCTCTTCACTGCAGCCAGGCAGAACTTACCTTCTCGATCTCTTATCACCATCCCAAAACCAGAACCCTCCCCCTCGAAACATGCAACATCAATGTTAACCTTGAAATCCACAGAATCAGGAGGAATCCAACGATATTCCTTCTTCTCCTGGCCTCCTTCTGTCCGCTACTGATACTCTTGGTATTCCTCCAGCCATCGCTCTGCCTTTATCATTATTTCACATTCTTCAAGTTTTTTCTTATTCCATAATTGATTGTTTCTTTCTTCCTAGATAAACCAGAGAGCCACAAGGAATTTGCTAAGGAGCTCCTCTGAAGTTGTCGCCTGCAGTTCTGTCATCCGTTCCTCACTAGTAAGATCTTCCCCTTCTCGAACAAAGAATAGAGAGAACTAGGTCTCCAAACTCGACGAACCCACCCACATTCTTGAAAAAAATTGTTGTGGAGTTTCTCTTAATCCACAGAAAGAACATTCTTCACAACCCTTATCAATTCGATCAACAATTTTGGCTCTTGTTGGGAGAATGGATTTGATCCATTTCCAAGCAAAAACCTTAACTTTTGGTGGGATGTTTAGTTCCCAGATATGTTCCCAGTTGATGGGATTATAAAGTTCTCCCAATTCTTCCTCATGTCTAGTTGTCCAACTCCAAAGCTTGTATGTTGATTTTACGGTATAGAGTCCTGACTTCTCCGCCCCCCAAATCTTCTGATCCTCTGCCGGTTGTCTAGGAATAGGGATTCTTAAGATCCTCTGTCTATCCACTGGACTAAAGTGTGCTTGTAGGAGAGGAAAGTTCCAGGATCTACTTTCCAAATCCATCAACTCTCCTACTGAAGTGGTAGGGTCAAATTGAGATATAGAGGGTTCCACCTTGTAGTTCGAAGTCGAGGGTACCCATTTATCATGCCATATATCAATTTTGTGGCTGTTTCCAATCCTCCACCTTAAACCTTGTCCGACCACTCCTTTAGCCGCTAGAATACTCCTCCATGTGTAACTGGGATTATAGCCTTCTTCTGCTTCCATAATGTCTCTGTTTGGGTTGTATTTAACTTTTAGAACCCTTGCCACAAGCGAGGAGGGGTTTTGAATGATATTCCAAATCTGTTTTCCTAAGAGAGCTAGGTTGAAATCATGTAGATGCCTGAAACCTAGACGGCTAGACCTCCGAGAGGCAGTCATTTTCAATGAACAAAAGTCGAGAGATTGCTTATTGAATACCAATCCTAGGGGTGTTCAAACGGTTTGGTTATTGTGGTAACCGTTTTAATGGTACTATTTGGATAATTGGTTTGGTTTGGTTAAAGTTGTTAGCTTGTTTGGTTTAGGTGGTTTGGTGTGGTTTCAGACACTCCTAACCAGTCAAACCAAATTAATCAGTTAAGTAATTAGTCATATATCTAACATATATTATATACACATACTTAATACTTTCCATAACCACTCAAGAGTTAACATTCATCCCTTTTAGACTCATAAAATATAAAGCTCAATATTGCTCATATAGTGTATATTTGTATATGTAAAGTGTAGACCACAACATATGGACGCCTAATTTAGAAAAATTTCATACATTATGATGGATGAAAACTTGAAAGGAAGGTCGTTTCCATCCTATGATAATTGCTAAGAGACTAAGTTAATTTACACAAACACAACAATTCATTAACCCATACCATTGTCATAAATTTTTGTTAGGTGAATACTTCTATACTAATCGTAAGATAATTGTCTTAGTTGCATGTATTTTTGTTAAGGGTCAACTATAACTAAGTGTTGATTGTTATGTTTTATTCATTATATAAATTACGAATTGTTGCATTAACCGGAAAATGTGATTTTATATTGGTTAATATGGTTAACCAATTAACCAAACCGATTAAACTTTAGTTTGGTTAATTTGATTGTTGTATTAGTTTGGATGGTTTGGTTATGATATTGTATTCCATGGTTAATGGAATTTAGCCCTATTTGGTTTGGTTATAACCATGGTAACCATTTGAACACCCCTAACCAATCCGGAGAGAACTGGTTCAATCCTAATTTACTCGGATCAACCAAACTGGTTCTTCTCTTGTGGGCCAACCACAGATCGAAGTATATTCCGCCTCTCAACGCACCGTATCCATCTTCACCGCTTCCTTCCTTCCGACTCTTCGTCAGCCGGTGGGTGAGAAGGGCTCAGGGCAAAAAAAGCGCACCAACATCAACGGAACGCAGAAAGTAAAGCTTCTTCTTGTTTGGCAACAAATTTCTTTGGCTTTCACTGTACTGTTCCCAAGAATCCCCGACCTTCCTTCCGGTGCCGGAAGCAGAATCGGGCATTTGCCGCCGTCTAAAAAGGTCCATTCTTTTGCCTTCCTTTACCCTTTTTTTTCTGCGTGGCATATAGTTCTCGTAGAGTATTAGACTGCTGGGTAGTCCAATTTTTGCATTGGGTTTAGTCCAACGAACCTGAAACAGCCTGCTGAGTCCGGCTCACGAGTCGAACGAATTCCTGTTTTGGCTCAGCAGTGGATGTTCCCTCTCTATTGATCACATTGGCTGCGTGCGAGCTCGCCGACTGTGCCAAAACCCAAGTCAGTTAAATCATGGTGAGTCGCTAGGTTTTCTGAATTTCCCCTCTCCTTACCCTGTCCTGCTCCCTACTTATATAATATAATGTTTGGTTTCTCTTCCTTTCAAGAATCTGATTGTTTTCTTTGAACTGCATTTGGGCATTGATCAAGCAACGAGACATTAGGAAGTGGCTGATGAAGCCGCATGATAAAGGCAACGGCAAAGATGCACAGCCAGCCTCAGCTGATGCAGAGAATAAATCTTCTCCATTGGAGTCCGATCCGGAACCTCCTGTGAGTATTTCCTCTCTCTCTCTCTCTGCGATTTGTCTAAACTTTTCAACGTTGGCAAAAGAATGAAATGCGATTTGGGTGGTATTAGATTAGGTTATGAAATGGGTTTAGCTTCAGCATTTTGATTCGTAATGTCACTTTAGATATGTTTGCAATTTTCCCTCCAGGCAGTGTCAAAGCTACCAAAATTACCTCTTTTTATGATGAAGCAAGTGTTTGTCTACTGATGGTTTTATTGGCTACCCATTTAGGTGAAGGTTGATCAGCAAAGTGCAGGTAGAAGGAAAACCAGCAAATACTTTGCGGATAAACAGAAGCCGAAAGAGGAAAAAGAGGTGGTGACAACCCCAGCAAAGAGAAAGGCTCAGGGTGATGGTAGTCCAGCTGTGAAAACAACACCTCCTAGGAAGATGCAGAAAGTTAATGATGACGATGAAGATGATGATGACTTTGTGGTGCCACGTAAAAAGGTCACAGCTGAGGCCACCCCTAATAAGAAACTGAAGAGTGGGTCTGGCAGGGGGGTCAGTCAGAAGGCTATAGAAATTGATGCGAGTGACGAAGATGATGGTGAGGATTCTAAACAGCCTCCTAAGGCTGGCGGAAGAGGTCGTGGTGGTAGAGCGGCAGCTGGGCGTTCAGCTGGTGGACGAGGAAGAGGGGCTAGCCAGAAGGCTTTAGAAAATGATGTGAGTGATGAGGATGAAGCCGAGGACACTGAACAACCTCCTAAGGCTGGTGGAAGAGGTCGTGGTGGTAGAGGTCCAGCTGGGGCTTCAGCTGGTGGAAGAGGCAGAGGTGGTGGCCGTGGTGGATTTATGAACTTTGGTGAAAGGAAAGATCCTCCACATAAAGGAGAAAAGGTGCAAAGCATTGAAAAGATAGTCTTTTGTGCTGTTAGTTATGAAGTCTGATCCACTTACACAATTGGTTTTTTTTATTATTGTCTTAGGAAGTCCCAGAGGGTGCTCCCGACTGCTTAGCTGGTTTAACTTTCGTAATAAGTGGCACTCTTGATAGGTACTCACTCTTATTTTCTGTAGGTCACACTCTGTTTTCTGAATCAGAGTTAGCTCCTTATGCTTGTTTTATTTGTTAAACTAGCACTCTTGATAGGTACTCACTCTTATTTTCTGTCACTCACAGTCTGTTTTCTGAATTCAGAGTTAGCTCCTTATGTTTCTATCATTCATTAAAGCGTCCATAGTTTCAAGAATGTTTGGTGTTACGGTTTGTATTCTTTCTGCTTCTCATGATTGGTTTGTCTGTCATCAAATTTGCATCGTTTACAGTTTGGAAAGAGAAGAAGCAGAAGATTTGATTAAACGCCATGGAGGTCGCATTACTGGATCTGTCAGCAAGAAAACGGTCTTCCCCTTTTCCATTTTGACAGTGTTTCACTGTGTAGTCATATCACCATGTTATTGATGATCCTCATTTGCAGAGTTTCCTTCTGTGTGACGAGGATATCGAGGGGCGAAAATCTGCCAAAGCTAAAGAGCTTGGGTATATACTAATTTCAAAACTGAATATCGTACTTTTGTTTTCCAAGTTTCTGACCCTTTCCAAGTTTGCCTGATTTGAGGGCTACATGTGCAGCACTCCATTCCTTACGGAGGATGGTCTTTTTGATAAGATCCGCTCATCGAAACCTGCAAAGGTGCCAGCAAAAGAAGTGCCAAAGAGTTCTGTGGAGAAAGCTTCACCCCTCCCCAGGAAAAGTCCTCAGAAAGCAGAAGTGAAGGGTATGATCAGATATTGGAATTCTTTTCCTCGGTCCTTATACATTTGATTTTTTCAACATGTCTGTTTCTTAGCACTGGACACATTGATGTTTTCTGTCATTCACCTGTATATATAATATTTGTACCACAAAAATTGTTCTGCCTCTAGATAGGCAGAATGTGGAACTAACTTATGTCTTGAGGATGGTGCTTGTTATGATGGTTCTTAATGTCTAGAATTTTTGACAGTTTGGTACCAGTAACTGCCTTAATGTTTTCTTGCAGTGATGTACTGCACATATTGCTTATTATATCTGATTTAGATTGGTCCACTTGCCCATTGTGTTTGTCGTATTAAGAGGGTTAAAGCGGAGTTAAGGTGAATGAAGAAGATGTTAAACCCTATATTTTATTTCTGGAATCAAACTAGAAACCCTGGTGTTATCAGCGTGTCTCTCCTATTCATGCTTGCGTAAAGCTACATGTTCTGCAGTTGAGTGGTTTATGTGGTCTCAAGATGATGTTGCTTATAATTAGTTTACTGTCATTTGTGCTTGACTTGATGAATGAAAGAGGGGATTCTTTTCTCCCCTGTTCTCTCTCTAATCTTTTTTTTGGGTGGCGATCGGGGATTTTTTCCTACTTTGATTTGCTTATGGTCAAACTTCTTGTACAAAGCAGTAGTTAATTCTTTTTTCCTTTTCTTGTTTATAGGTAAATCTGTAGCACATTGTTCTGCTGATAAGGCTTCAGCCAAAGCTGTTTCTCCTGCAAAGAAAAGGCAAACCATTGAGCACTCCTCACTGCCATGGACCGAGAAATATAGGCCTAAAGTTCCGAATGACCTAGTTGGAAATCAATCTTTGGTACAGCTTTTTTATATAAGATGTGTGCATTCGACATGTCTCTCTATATGATTGGTATGATGATTATCATTCTTCTAAACATGCATAGGTTAACCAGCTTCATACTTGGTTAAAGAGCTGGAATGATCAGTTCCTTGGAAATGTAAAAAAAGTAAAGGGCAAAAACCAAAATGATTCTAGTGCCAAGAAAGCCGTGTTACTAAGTGGAACACCGGGAATAGGGAAAACAACGTCTGCAAAGCTGGTCTGTAAGATGCTTGGTTTTCAAGCAATTGAGGTGACTTATTTTTCCCTATCGTATTCCTATTGAACTATCAACCTTTTCTGTTTATTCCTTTTAAAGCCAGCTTAAATTTTCGCATCTTAATCAGTTTCTTTATCTGATGCTTAGGTCAATGCAAGTGACAGTCGCGGGAAGGCAGATTCAAAAATAGTCAAAGGAATTGGTGGAAGCAATGCAAACTCCATAAAGGAACTTGTCAACAATGAATCTCTGGGATCTAGAATGGACAGGTTTATCCTATTCTTTACAATCACAGTGTGGAAGATGTATTGTTGTGCCCTCCAACCTGAGATTTATTATTTTCAAATTGTAGGCTGCAACATGAAAAGACAGTTCTCATCATGGATGAGGTAGATGGGATGTCTGCAGGAGATAGAGGTGGTGTGGCTGATCTTATTGCTAGCATAAAGATCTCCAAAGTGCCTATTATCTGTATCTGTAACGATCGATACAGTCAGAAGCTAAAAAGTCTTGTAAATTACTGCCTGCCTTTGAACTTCCGCAAACCTACAAAACAACAGGTTATGCATTTTTTTTACTCTCCATATTCTGGTTTAGCTACTGTTTCTTAAATTTTGTTATCTTATTCTTGGATTATCTAGACTTTTTGAAACTAGATGGATGTAATATTTGGAGGATCCATTCTGTCCTTAAGCATGTTGGGTCTCCATTGGAAATCTCCTGTTTCTTACTTAACCTTTTGCCCGTCATGCTTGGCCTTTCTGTTGGACTCACGTTTTTTGGTACATTGATAGATGGCAAAGAGGTTAATGCAGATTGCAAATGCCGAAGGACTTAAAGCTGATGAGGTAAGTGCATCCTATGTTGCTCTTTGAATTTATTCTAGTGTTGCTATCCAGCGATATGTCAATGTCCATTTTCAGGGAGATTAGATATGGCTTCTGCAAGTCTATTTTTGACTAGGCATTTGGATACTTGGTCAAACTCCATTTTTTCTATATCAATTTTGTTACCCCGCTGCTATTTGTCGATAATGTGGTCACAAGTCTCATTTGTTATTGACATGTGTTCCTAAGAATCAATAAGCAGTTCTTAAATTTTCATCTATCAATTCTTGTTGATTTCACTTAATGTTGCATTTAACTACTGCATGTCTTTTCTCTCTTTGTGGCTCTACCTGCTTTTCTTTACCAGATCGCCCTTGAGGAACTCGCAGAAAGAGTGAACGGAGACTTGCGGATGGCAGTAAATCAATTGCAGTACATGAGTCTTTCCATGTCGACTATTCAGTACAGCGACGTGAAGCAACGCCTTCTAAGCAGTGCAAAGGATGAAGATATCTCACCATTTACAGCCGTCGATAAGTATGTGTTTCATGCTCCTACTTCACCTAAACGGTCTGATGCTTCACCTAGACGGTCTGATACCTTTGGTTGAAATCCTCTCTTTTAGCTTAAGCATGTGAAAAGGATGGCACCAATTTTCCAAGCCTTTTCTTTTATTACATCTTTTGTTAACTAACCTTCAGACCTAGTCTACCAAGAGGTTTTGCAATTCACCATGGAGTGTGCAGTCTTGGTAGAATTGAGTGCATGGTCGGGCCTCTTTCTTGAGCTTGTCCGTTAATAGCAATTTGTTCTCCATTACCGTATTTATTTTGTTAGGAACCTAGCACTAACTCGCTGATGTTGGATTTAGGCTGTTTGGCTTTAACGGAGGGAAGCTGCGAATGGATGAGCGGATTGACCTCAGCATGAGTGATCTAGATTTGGTCCCTCTTTTAATTCAGGTATTTGTATCTTTAACTATACTTGGTGAGAATATATATGATGTCTCATGACCATACATAAGATAATGTATGTATCAGGACCATGCCAAATCAAAGGTAGGTAATGGTGTGAGACATTCTTAGCTGCTTCTGGAAATGTTCCAGTTGAGATGTTCTTGTGAATTTAACTTCCCGTTTCGTATATGAGTCCTTTTAAGGAGTCTTCTTTAATTTTAAAACATTTCCAGATGAACTCGTATTTCTAGCTTTGTTTTTCGCATTGAAATTTAAATCGCAAGGAATTGAAACTTTGGTTGAAGTTAGGCAATGAGATAAATTAACTACATTCAAATTGACCACTTTATATGTAGTCAAATACTTGCAGCTCATAAATCCTGTTTGTTATTGACAGGAAAACTATATTAACTACAGGCCTAGTGTTGCTGGGAAGGATGAAAATGGGATAAAACGGTTGAACTTGATTGCTCGTGCTGCAGACTCGATTGCGGATGGCGATTTAGTAAATGTGCAGATCCGAAGACATAGACAGTGGCAGCTCTCCCAGGCCAGCTCCCTAGCATCTTGCATCATCCCGTATGTCACTTAAATATGGCTCTAACAGTTGTTTCTTGACTTTGTTTGGTTTTCTCATGGAAAGTGTTACATTATTTGTTGATTTTCCCTACCAGTGCTGCATTATTACATGGGCAGAGGGAGACCCTTGAACCGGTAAGTCTGTGTCTTGCCACTGTAGTACGGCAGCCTAATTATTGTCGTATTTGCTTGTAACTGGATCTATTTGCTTTTTCAGGGGGAAAGGAATTTTAATAGGTTTGGAGGCTGGCTAGGAAAGAACTCAACTATGGGAAAGAATGTGAGACTTTTGGAGGATCTACATGTTCACCTTCTTGCATCTGGGCAATCAAATATGCGGAGGTAAAAAACTTGAAGCAGTTTGCAGCTACTATGATCTCTTTAGTTTGTTTTAACCATGTTAGACATTGTAGAGTGCCTAGTCGTTCTGAGGGGTACTATTGATATTTAAATGTAGTTTCTGCTATTCACGTTGATAATTGTTTATAATTTTTTAAGCAACATCATCTAAATTATTAAATGACTGATGCTACCAGGGGTGCTCTTCGGCTTGATTATATTACGCTTCTCCTGAAACAATTGACTGATCCTCTGCGAATGCTGCCCAAGGTGTGTGCTCTCTCTCTCTACCTTTGTTTTTTTTTTTTGTTGTTGTTGCTATTCTACTGTGAAGGAGTGAAACATGTATCTAATCCCGCAATCTTTCTGAAACATGATCCAGGATGAAGCAGTAGATAAGGTTGTGGAGTTCATGAATGAATACTCAATAAGTCAGGAAGACGTGGAGACAATTATCGAGCTGGCTAAATTTAAGGTAGGCACCAACTACTTTGTTGACGTGCTCGAGCTTGATTATGCTTATTGAACTTATAAGATTGTCTTACATATTATTGGCATCTTGGATCAGGGGCACCCAAATCCATTGGATGGTGTTCCATCGGCCGTTAAAGCAGCTTTGACGAGAGCATACAAAAACAGATCAGGATTGGTACGCGCTGCAGATATGGTCCCAGTCCCCGGGATTAAAAAGGGCCCTAAGAAGCGCATTGCAGCAATGTTGGAACCATCTGATGAAGGTTTAGGGGAGGAAAATCTTGATGCAGTTGATGCGACCGATGAAGAGAACTCTTCTGACATGGAGGATCAAGGTAAATATTATATCGTCTTTTTCGTGTTTGTTGTTGCTATCAGTAGCCCATTGCTAGCTTCATATATTTGTTGATCGAGAAGTTATACATGGCTGCCAATCCTGAACTGACTTGAGTGTTCTTCATGGTCCATTTGCCAGAAAGCACTCTTGATGGGGCGAAACTGCAGAGTAGCCTGCAAAGTTTAAATTCCAAAGGTGAGTGAACCAGTTGGACAATGGTCGTTTTTCAACTAGTCCATTTTCAAAGTATTTTCACCTTGATCAACTGAGCCAGTTTTCTTCAGAATTTTACATCTGTGATGGACATTGATGGAGTTGCTCTGTTATTTTCTGCCTCGCGTGGATATATATATAACACAGGAATAAAAGTTGAGATGGAACTGAAGGGTGCCCCTAATTCAAATGGGAAGAAGAAAGCGGGAGGTCGAGGTAAAGGGGCATCGGCTGCTGGTTCAGCAGAAAAGAAACCTGCAGGTAGGGGAAGAGGTGGTGGGTCGGGTTCTTCTGGGACTAAGAGAAAGAGATAGTTAGAGCTACACCGAAGATTACCTGTTGAACACACTACCGAGTCCATGCACTTCTCTACAAGTTGGTTGTATAATTGCCTCTTTGGTAGCTTGCTGGTGAACTGTAGATGCATCTGGCATTGCATTGTTCGCCAGACCGAGTTTTCACACATTAGCCATTGCTCTTACCCTAGACCGAAAACCGAAAGAGCTGGTGTGTAGCTGTGAATCAAAAATTTTGCGCTGCCTAGTACGGAAGAAAGGGTTAAATAGTTCGCCAGTTGGATAGACTTTCTGGTTTTGGTAAGCTCTGTAGGTGCAAGCATTGGTTGTTGGCTTAGCTTCTGTCCCTTGTTTCTCCTTATTGAAGTGTGTTGGGATGGAGCTGATCTAGGATTGCACATTTTGCTTGAAACCTACATGTTTCTAAAGAGCCTCAACACAGACACTTTGATGGCTGTTCATAGATGTCATTGGTTACTGGTTAGAACTAAAACCAGGTTAATCTAGTAGTAATCACAAATCCTACCTATAGTGAAAAAGAGGCTCTCGTAAGTTTCGTCCTAAAAGATCCAATCAACGTGCCAAAGCGTACCTGATAGATTGATGTAACGATGTTATCCACCATATATCGAATCTGCTTTGATTCCATTATTTTCGGGGAAAATGTATAATTTTCTATCAGATTATAACGACATGATGTACGAATTATCAGAATTATTATCAGAATTTACATAATACCAGTCCCTAAACTTATACCACAAGAAATAATCACGAGTTTAGCAAAGGACCACCATGCCTTAATTAACAGCAACGAGCGTAGGACTGAAATGTTGAGAATCGTAGTTTGGGGATTCAATCGTTAAGTGGTGAAAAAAGGGATGGCTGATTTGTACTTTATCCTTGAGGCAAATAAGCCTGCAAGTGGAAAAGGCCATCTGGAGAGTGGAGACCGGCAATTCTGCACAGCGGCGTGGTGTTTAGCTCTGTGATTGAATTGAAGACGAAGAGAAAATTCGAAGGAGAGAGAAGAAGAAAGGAGAAGCCGGAGAAGAAGAAAAGCTATGGCAGATTCTGAGAAATCGTTTCTGATCAGGCAGTGGGATGAGTACAAAGGGTTCTGGGCAGAGAGGTTCTCGTTTCTGGACAATTACTCGAGGTTCGTCAAGCGCGACAAGCCCCTCCCGTCTTGGTCCTCCGATGACGTTCAAGAGTTCATCGCTTCTGATCCCCATCACGGCCCCACTGTAAGCTCTTTCTCTCTGATCTCTCTCTTCCCCCGTCGTCCTCCGATTGTTGGCGTCGTTGAATCTCATTTTGCCCAGTTTCTGTCATCGCGCTTGTTCCGTAATCTAATTTAGGGATAGGGTTCCCACCGCGATCCTTGTTTCACATAATTTGTTCAAATTCTTTAGTGGGAAACTGACTGATTGAATAGGAGATTATGCGGGAATCCTAATTCGTGTTTCCTTAATCTGATTTGTAGCTACTGATTATGGTAGAGGGTTAGAAGTAGCTTTTGAGGATGTAAATGTATCTAGGAGTTGGGAGATGTATTGCTTGTCTGCTACAAAATTCGTTTGATTGTTTGTTATTGCTCCTGCTGTTTGATTAACTCTAAAATTTGGAGGTTGCCAGTTAAGAGTGGAGATATTGCTTCTTTCAATTGCTGTGCTGCAGTCATTGTCAATGAATCTTGAAACCATCGGATAAGGATGCTGTCGTTCAGATTGACGATTTCATAACGTATTAGAACAATTTTGGCCGAGCTCGATCTGTTTTATGATGCAGAAGAAGACTCTGTTCTGTATCTTTTGAGTAATAGCTTATACACCTCTATATGAAAAGCATATATTCTTTCGTGGATCATGTGCTTTGGTTTGCTAAATCTCCTCCTTACGTTTGCCTGTCAAAGGGAAAAATTTAAGCAGCTGACCATTTTGGTGCAGTTGTTTTACCTGTTCTTTTATGTTTGCTTCAACCATCAAAAATTCAAAATCACTAGTTTTAACTCTCCTCTGGTGTTCCTATTTCGTATCCGTAAAAATGCATCAAGTCTGCTTAACTGAACCCATGAGCCGTCTGTTTCTTTTACTCTTCTGCTTGATTTTTCCTTCAAATCATTGGTTTCTACACTGGTTCTGTAAACTTACGTTATGAAAATGGTAAATGAAGAGTTGATGATTTTTTCAGCTGAAGACTGCTAGAGAAGCAGCATCCTTTGGTCTTACTGGAAGTCTTCTCGGAGCAGTATCAACTGCTGCTTTTGCCTGGAAATACTCAAAGAGCCCACATGGTAAGCATGTGCACATTTTATGACATTGAATTACCAAAGCTGTTCATCTCCTGGTGATAATTAGTCTTGGTTATAGGGTTGCACTACACCTGCTGCTCTCTTGGGGCTGTGAATGGAAGGTTGAAATAACAACGATGTAGTGAAAACGGATTAGGCTTTCCCGCCTGAGTTCATATATGGATGCTCTAGGTTTCTCAGCCTCTTGTAATAACCGCCTTTTTTCCGCAGGTGCTGGGCTGTCCTTCATTGCCGGCGGTGCATTTGGTTGGACATTTGGTCACGAAGTCGCTAACCACTGGTACCAGCTTTACAGGATGGACACTATGGCCGCACAGGTCAAGTTCTTGGAATGGTGGGAGAAGAAATCCGAAGGGCACTCGTAAGATTTCCCATGATCTCGAACCCAAATCCATCTCTTTCTCCTTCCCCCATGGTTTGATTTTGAAAGATCCTGTAACTGTTGATTGCTCTCTCTTACTGAACCGGAGAGGCTGTTGCGTTTCTTTTTTTTTCTGGAGTCCTTTCAATCCGTCGTAACAGTAATAATAGTAATAGTTACAGGGTGGTTTTTCCCTCCCGCCGTTGAATGAGATGGCAATTTCCTTCGTGTTGTTGAGGGTTTTCATCATGCTGTTCTTATTTATTATCAAATTCGTTCTCAAATCTTATGTTGAGATTAACTCCTAAACAATGGATTTTAGTGTGTTTGAAATAAAAACACAGATGTATTCCATTGTACGATCGGAAATCCCAAGTTTAAGGCCCAATCGATCTCCATTTCCCAACTTCTATCCATTCCATACAATAAGAGATTAAGGGGTCGTTTGGTAGTTGTGATTGTTAGAGTTGTGTTTATTGAATACATGCAGTGTGCACAATACAATGTTTGGAAGTGCCAAAGTGTAAAACAATGCATGTATTGTTTTAGGTAGATCCCATCAACAATTACAAAAAATCATGCATTTTACAATCTCAACTAAAAGTTGTGATTGTTGATTTTAGATTTGTGTCCATTTTTTCTTTCCATTTATATCCCTGTTAGTTTTTGTCTTATACTAAAAGTTGAGGATAAATGTGACATTTTTCCATAAAGTAACTTTATGCAAGCCAATACATAAAGTAGAATCTCAACAACCAAACAATGTATTATTGCAATGCATTCATCTTTAAAAATATATAAACACTTTCAGAAACTGCCCTGTGCCACGTAAGCTTTGCAGCCACGTCCGTGTTTTTCGGAATTAGCCTGATTTTTTTTTAATTAGGCCACTACATTCCGCCGATTACATTTCCCCGCTCACCATTATTTTTACCACATTTTACTCTCGGTGAATGGAATTTTCCCCATTACCAGATCAACCTTTTGCATAAATAAAAAATATTCAAATTCATAAGCATTGGAAAAGCCATTATAAAAAAAAAGCCATTATCAACTACCGAAAGAAACGGATGATTCTCTCTTAACTTTTGTTTCTCGAACCGGGTTAGATGTTGAAGAGAAAAATTAGTGGTTTATAATTCAACAATTAATTTTATAGGATCGTTAGTTAACCATTGATATAATTATTCATGTATTCACAAAAAAGACATATACAACACGAATTTAAAACTGAATTTATCAATGATCGTAAATAATTTCAAATCTATATTATTCATCATCAAAAGTTATAACAAATCATTCAAACTACCTCATAAAGAAAATCATAATTTTTTTTATCAAATTTAATTTAGTAATTATGGTAACAATCTGCATCATATAAACCTGAGAAGGAGGATGAGAAACAAAGAAAAGGAAGTCGAAATAAAAGTAGCAGGTTATCTCAGTTTACATTAAATTACTTTTTTTCTTCATAATTTCCCAAAAAATTACGATTTTAGTTATGAGTTTGCTATCCACCTATAAAAAGTTTATCATATATCACAAAAGAACTCGGATGTATATTGGAAAACGCTAATTTCGCTGGATGTTTTTGAATAAAAAATTATTAAAATTTAGAAAATTAAATTGTGGAATAAGTACTGAAAATTGTGTTCGTAACTGATATGGAGAAGAGTTTTCAAATCATTTTATATTTAAAAAAAAATTGAAACTCACCCCGCCCAAAGGGCGGGTACGAAGCTAGTTGTACCAATACATGTATTTATTTTATTGTGATTCATTACAATTCAACGATTTAACATTCGCAACTTCCAAACGACCCCTAAGTTCAAGAGTCTAATAATCTTAATCTATCGCATATCTTGCTATTTCTCCTCGAATATCTATGGAAAAAAATAACATCTCATCTTAAAATATATTAAAAGGCTTTCAAAAATAAGCCATGTCCACGTAAGCCTTGGAGGCTTCTCCGTGAATTTCCGCATTTGTCATTTTTTTATTATTTTCTTTAACTTTTCGCAGTTGCTGCGTCGGTTAGTTTGGAAATTTGGCTTTTTAAAATTATTATTTTTAACTTCCAAGGGGTTGCGCCCCAATTCATTTTCCAAACTTTTTTGTGGTTAAGATTAAATAATAATTTGAAAAGTTCATCCCCTAAGAAAATTTAATTTGAAAATTTCAATTTAACAACATGATTTGTGACATGTGAGAGTGGATTAATAATTACGTTTTTCTGGTGAAGTTAAGAAATGAACTTCTTAATTCTTAAGCCATTTTTTAATATGGATATTTTTACTGGGATGTTAAAAATTCTCTTTTATAAAATATATTTAGATGCACTAATAATACATATTTACAATATACATCATACCTTATTATTTTCATGGATATATAATAGATTTCTTAATGCATAGAAAATGTTATAATTTTCACCTATATATGATATTTCACTTGAAATGTATTGTGAACATTCAGTTAAATAGTTTGTGGGAACATTTTCACTAATTTTAGTATTTTGCCTAAAGTAATATTATAATGATAACAAATTGATAATTTAGATGTTGCCATATATATTTATAAGTTACGGAAAAAAAAATTAAAATTCTACCTGCCCAAAGGGCAGGGTGGAAGCTAGTAACTCAAGATTTATTTTAAGAAATTACCCATTGTTAATTGAAACCACAACTTAGATGAAGCCCAATTCGGCTATCAAAAAACTAGAGCCAACTTGGATATGGCGCTCAGACGACTTGAGAGAGCATGCTCACAAGTCACAAGGCATCAAACCGTCGGAGCGTCCAACACGTAATCCAACAATCATGTGTCTTTGTGAACACGTTCTCATAAATGTGTTGCGAGCATAAAAGCAAAATTGAACTAGAGCGATCAAATAAATAGAGAAAGAGGTGAGGGAAAGGGGGGACAGGAAACGTGCCTAAGCCTCAAAGTTCCACTGCACCATCAAAGAAGCATCTATGACAGCATCAAAGAAACAATTTAAGGTACATATGATTATTATATATAAACCTCGCAGTGAGTCTAATATACAATGATAGTAACAATCTAACGTTATATATATTATGTGTAATAGGTATGTCTTTCCCAGTCCAAATCCAGAATAGCCTTTTCTTTATTCTGAATCATGAAGCTGTCTCTCTATTGATCAATCAACAATTGCACTCAAACCGATCCATCCGATGAGATTAGTCCACAGACATCCCTTATCTGCAAAAGGAGAATTACACAAGGTGACGATCATAGACCACATTTTTTTCCAGGGATCAATCACTTTTTTCCCATGGCTTAATGGCAGGATGCTTTGGATGATCCAGTAAGCCATCGATTTTATTAATCCATACTGGAGTATTGTAACGGCGAAATCATATGGTTGTAGCATGCTCAGACTAGAGTCAAAGAGAGTGGAGATCATCATACCTGATCTAACTGAAATCCTTTTGAGTTGAAGCAATTGCTGAACCTTTATTATTCAAATTGCACCAGAAGCAGCAGCAGGTGGAGCATGCATATTGTTGCCAGTGCCAGTACCTGCTAGAATGCCTTCATCGCCACCAGCTTCTGATATCTGTTCATGATTATTCTCTTGGACTGCATTATTATCCACCTCTCCGTTTGATGCTGAAGAAGTGCTTGTTATTTCTTCTTTCTCTCTAGAATCCAGACGCTCCATCATGCGAGAAACCGTTGCAATTCCGGCATTGACCTCTCTTCTAACATCAGAACTGAGGTCTGCCATTGCGGTGTTGCGAGAAAAAAATCTCTCCTTCCAACCCCTTGTGCTCTTTGAAATTGATTCTTTATATCTGAAACCAAAAATAGGAGCTGAATTTACCAATCACAATTACCACCCTTATGAAAATGCAAGAAACAAGGCTTAGTAAACGTACCTCGTTGAAACTGCATTAAGCTTAGATTTTATGGAATCTGAGATGGACTGGAGTTCAGATGGCCCGGCTCTGTCTTGACTATCTGGCGAAGACTGACTAGGAGATCTAGAGAGAAGACACAAGTTAAGTTTAAAGGCTGTCAAACAGAAGGACAATGGTAACTTCATTGGAGCCTTGACAGAGAAGAATCACAACAAAGCAGTACCCAGTGTTTGGGGAAGTTCTATGTTGGCTGATAGCAACACCAGAGCCAGAAGCGGGTGAGCTAGTATGGCCACTTCTTGATAATGGTGTAACCACTTGGGGAGATGCTTCTCTACTATTTGGAAGGGGAGAAGAGTCACCAACACCTCTGACCGGAGAAGATGGTGCCGCTAGTGTAACCATTGAACCCGGTTCAACCTCTCCTCTCTGAGTTGGGGAAGCGCCAGTTGGACCAGCGGCTGGCCCATTATGATGACTAGAAAACACTACATATTGTGGACGGCTTTGAGATGATGACCTATGTCGGGAACCTTCTCTTCGAGAAACATGACGTCGTCCCATTGCAGCAGCAGCAGCCAGGTGCTGAATTATACGCTCTTCAAGTTCAGCTTCATTTATACCAACTGGCAGCTGAATTGGCAAAAGAACTTTAGAAAACTACACATTGGATAAGTTCAATAGCATGAAGAATTTTACTCAATCCGGAACTGAAGTAGAAGGAGATGAAAATTTATCCAGGTGAAATACACACATGTTGCAATTCGAAGTCCCCCAGAGTTGGATGATGAAATATGGCAGAATTCCTAGGTGGATTCAATCTTATATTCCTCTCACGTTCTACAGCTTCGAGCAGTTCCTGACTGTTATAGAAAAATCAAATCAGCAATTGTTTCCCCATTGTCAGTAATTCAAGGATGATATAAACAGGAGTTTAGGAGATGAACCTGGTTGGATCCTTCAGGGAAATAGATTGCCAACACATTGGGCACTGGGAGCTTCTTTGGCACCTGATTTGGATATAAGGTTGCAACTTAATACTTTTACCAACTAAAAGAAAAACAGAGTGCATTTGATCTTTAGCACGTCCAATCGAAATACCAGACACCCACACCAAAAATATGAAAACCAAAAAATCACATAGTTCAGTAGAAGGGCTTTCTACTTGAATGTCACCCAGGACATCAAAAGAGATTGATGGGCACATCAATTAGGGAAAGGCTTTCCCACTTGATCATCACATGGCCAAAATTGGAAGTCTTTACACATACAATGACTACCAATTATGCATAAAATCTGAGGACAAAGAAGAGATAGGCTTACAATAATAGTAATACGGTCAACGGTCATTCGGAACTTTGGATGATCTCTACTGACATTTTATGAGAATTACATGCATTTCATACAATAGAATGTTCTTCAAAATAAAACATCCCCTCAATTCATGTCTTTGGAGTAGATTCTACAACCAACCACATTTCTCCCTCATAATATCATTCGCAGATTTATAGAGCACATAGCGCTAGGATCCCAAACCGCTGCTAGAATAAATTTACACAAGAGGGCAGTTTCATAGCAACTGAAAACTACCATTGCCATCATCACGAGTAGGACTTTTCACCTGAAGCATCAAATATGGGTCACATACCATAACACTAGCTTCTTTCCTCAAATCAACAGTGTAGTTTAAGTTTTGGAGTGATAAAGTCTAGTTATCAGGAATCGAACTCCCATCATGTAAGAGACATTCAGTGAGATGTCGGTGAGAGCTCATGATAAACGCAGGCTTTAGATCGGTCCACTTTCCAATAGCGTTTCACATATGGACTAATAGAATATATCTGAGACCTATCACTAATATAAATGCCTCCCGCAAGACTGTAAATGTAGCAAATAATCTGACCACGGAAATCAAAATTCGTTGGTTTAAATCGACGCACCATTCAAGGACGCATTGAAGATGGAACTCATGCTTGCAAGTGGTCAGCTGCAAAAGAGAATTAAGGCCCCGATGAGAGGATGAGAGAAATAAAAATCAAGAAAAGCTCGCTTCAAGTAACAGCAACAGCAAGTAAAGGTGTATAAAAGCAGAAAACCCCTAGTAGTGCCTACAGACATACAGTTGATGGATCACTGTCACAAAAGTCTTCAAGACATATGCTGCAAGCATCATCACAGGCATCCTGAATGCCTCCTTCCACGAAAGCCGCAGCAGACGTTAAATGCGCTTCCGGCTTCTTGCTCTCTTCCATTCCCTACAAAACCCAACTCAAAAGTTTCAACCTTGAATCCGATAACGATGTCCAGGGTATGCAAATTACATTATCCGATCACTTGGATGTCACAAAATCATCTAACGATCCAAATTTCTATAATTAAACCCTCACTGAAGTGAAACTCCAACGAGTTCCCATCTCAATATCCCTCCTTAAATCACGATTAACCCACCAATCTCGGTCAAAAATTTCCCTTGCTAACATCTAAGCAGTCCCCATAGAAGGCCAATTTCTCCAGCGAATTCCAGAACTGTTTTCACACATCCACAACTAGAAGTAGAGTTCGAAAACGAACTGATAAACAAAAGAGCTTCAAATCAATAAGGAACAGTAACAGAGACGGCGGAAGAAGAAACTCTTGATCTCATTCAAACAAGCGGGCTGGAAACACAATTCAAACCACTCTCTTACCCTATCCACAACCAGAGAAGCCACAAAAAGAGACCCTATACGAAGCTCAGAAACAGAAAGAAACTATAAAGTAAGCGGAGATGACAACAAGTGAGAGAAAGGGGTTTAAGCTATAGTTGTTACCTCCATGGATGATGGTAGTGGAATCCGATCAAACTATGTACAGATCGAGCTTCGGGTTTGCAGTCCGAATATAAATATGTACGCCGAACGACGCGAGAAGAAGAAACCCCCCAATAAATCTGATGAGATGAGAAAGAGAAGAGGGGAGCAATTGCTTGTGGAGGGGAGAAAATGAAGAAGAAGAAGAAGAAGAAGTCTTTGTTCTTGTATGTGTTGATGGGTCTTTCCGAGTTTCTGTGAATTTTTTTGGTTTTTGTTTTGGGGGTTTGGATTAGCGTTTTTCACTTTTTTCTCCTTTCGTCTGCCCTTTCGGTGGTCTGTATGTGTCGTTAACTCGCTATGCGGGTGCGCGTGTGAGTCACCGCACTCTCATTTATTTCGCTTAACTTCTAATCAATTCTAATTGCGGAAATTTATTTAAATCAGACTTTTCAGGTCGGCATTGGGTAGTGGTCGGTTCGGTCAGAATGGGTACGAGATACGGTGACAACCCCTAAGGGGTTGTCAGATTCACAACCCATTTCATAGCCCTTGGATACGCTCTCTCTCTTGTCTCTTTCTTCTTTTTTTAAATTAACGGTTAAAATTAAATGAAGGATATTTTGGGAAGGGTAAAAATTTACCACACCCAATCATTAACCCTACCATATAAAAAGAACAAAAACCCTAACTCCTTCATCCTCCCTCTCTCTCTCTCCTCCCTCTCTCCCGTAAACATCACCGTCCGCCGACACCCTCCCCTTCTTCCCTCCCTCCACCTTCACCGCCGGCCAAGCTCCCTTTCTCCTCCTCCCCCGGCACCCCACCCACCACCAATCCCTCAATCCCCTTCCTCAAAGCCCTCCCCTTCCTCCTCCCACCGCCACCCCTTCCTCAAAGCCCCTTCCTCCTCCCACCACCAACCACCACATCTCCTCATTGATCCTCCCTCAATCCCCTTCCTCAAAGCCCTCCCCTTCCTCCTCCCACCGCCACCCCTGCCTCCCTCCTGCCTCCATCTTTCCTCATCCCTATTTTTTTCCAGATCTGATTTTTTGTTTTAGTCTCTACTACTAGCGCTATTGGTACGCTACCACTACTCACTGGTACCAATACCAGTGGCTCCCCTATCATCTGGTACCACTACCATCTGTTTTTTTTGTGTTATTCACTACTGGTACCGCTAGTACCACTACCAGTGCTAGTAGCGTTGTGTTATTCTCTACTGGTACCGCTACCAATATGGTAGTGGTAGCGTACCACTAGTACTGGTACATTTTTTACTGGTACCGCTAGTACTGATACATTTTTTAACGTACTGGTAGCGTACCACTAGCACTGGTATATTAATTACCAGTAGACTAAATAGATTGGTACACTTTTTAACGCACTGGTACATTTTTTCAGGTTGCCGGAGGGAGTCTGTTAGAGAGAATTCGCCGGAGAAAAAGTTTGTCGGTCGATGCGGAGTGGCCGCTGGAGAAAAGGAAGAGAGAGAGAGATAGATAGAGATATTAATGTATAGGATTTAAATTTCAAAAAAATTGTATTTAATATGGGTTTCTAATTCCCAATATAATTAATACAAAAGAGGTAATTAATATATTCCTTTTTTGCATACCCAAAATACCCTTGGTTGTGAATCTGACAACCCCCTTAGGGGTTGTCACCGTATCCCGTCCCGTCAGAATGGTCGAGAATTTCTTGTATCTTTTTTCATTTCTGAGGCAGTGGTCGACAACTCAACATATGCCCGGTTAGGTCACAAACTTACTATTGAATCAATATGTCATAGAATGTGTTCTAATTTGAGTGATTTCTCACTACATTAAGGTATTTCATGTCATACTAATCTTCTCAGAACGAACTTATATAAAAATTTCTCAATAGAGAGATATATTTTAAGTTGTTATCTTATGAAAATGAGGGAATTTAGGCCTTAAGAAAATCAGTTCAAGTTACACGTTGGTGTCATTTTTTATCACATCAAATTAACGTTTGTGTCCATCCCCAAATTGTTCGTAAATCGACGGTTACGTCTTGGATCGAATGGTAGTGAATCGGTCTTGCAACAATCGATACAGTAGTTATATATCATCTTAAATAGCTACAAGAAAGTAGTAGGAAAGTAAAAGTTTTGGTTGATGATAAGTATATAATGAATTCAACCCACGTCGAATCTTTTACTTTCGATTAGGGGGTCCTTTTGGATGAGAAACTGTAATAATGATCAATTTGACCCAGTTGTATCGATTTGGGACCATTGGACCCAAATTGATCCGTTTACCACCATGAATTTTTGGATGGATATATTTGGAATGAAGAACTTTGTATTGATTCGATCGTATTCAATTCCAATCGTCTCGGATGAGACCGATAAATTTCGAAATCAACTCATTAGAAAGAAAACAATCTGACTCTGTTTCGCTATGATAGAGCTATTGAATGTGTAGGAATAGCATAAAGGATTTTTTTTTTTAGGGGAAAGCTGATTTGGATTTCATTAAGTTAAGACAAGGTTGCCTCAAGGGCTACAGCATCAGCAATAATACATGGATAAGAATTGTTCCAAAACATCACTTCCTCAGAACTAGAAGTAAAATGAGCCAACTGATGAGCCACACTATTCGCCTCCCTGTAGGTAAACAACCAGTCTCTAATGTCCAGATTCTCAACCAACCTCAAAATGTCTTCACACACAGTGCCCACTTCAGTTCTGCAGATCTTTGCATTCTTAAGCAAATGAATAATCTTCCTGCAATCCGACTCCACAACTACGGATCCACCTCCCCAATCCGCTACTAACTTCAATCCAAACAGAACCGCCATTCCTTCAGCCACATCTGGTGGCCATTTGACTTTGACTCTCTTGTTAGCGCAAACACAGCAGCTCCGTTCCGGTCCCTTAAAATGCACCCCGGACCTACTTCCCCCCTGCTTGTGGTTCCAGCATCTGTGTTTAGTTTAAAGACTCCAACAGGGGGTTTTTTCCACTTGCAATTTTCCCTACAGTTTTGTCTAGTAATCGTATCATCCTTCCCCTGAACTTCCATAAAACACTGAATAAAATCATTCGCCCGGGGAAAAACCTCCCACTCCTGCATACATTTGTTATTAAATAGGAAGTTATTCCTGTCTTTCCAGAAAAACCAGATTAGAGAGCAGAATTGTGCAACCTCCTTATTCGAGTAGTTCTTCAGGATCTCCATAAGCCACTTTTTGCAAGTCAACCCTTCAGCTTTATAGAACATATCTGCCAGGGGGGTTTTACTCCAGATTCTAGAGTTCCAACTGCAATCCACCAGACAATGTTTAAGGGTTTCTCTAAGGCCACAGTTTGGACATTCATCACCCATTTGCTTCACCTTTTTACTGATTTTGGCTCCCACTGGAAGAATATTATGTGCAGCTTTCCAAATAAAAGCTTTAATCTTCCCTAGTATCTTCAGTTTCCACACCTCCTTCCAACAGAAGCCATCTTCTGCATTTGACACGCCACCTGTTCTTTCCTCTAGTCTTCTTCTCTGTTCAGTAAGATAACTAGACTTGACAGAGTAGTTCCCATCTTCAGAATCCGTCCAGCATAAGACATCCTTATCAATGACTGGAGACAGGGGAATTGCCAATATTGCCTGTTGTTCTTCTTCAGAAAAAATGATCTCTAGTAAGTCCTGTCTCCAAGTTCGTGTTTCTTGATCAATAAGGCTAGAAACTTTGGCATCCCAATCCAGAAAAGGGCAATAGGAGTAAACCTCATTATTAACCAGATTAGGGACCCATTTATCTCCCCAAATTCTGACTTCCTCTCCCGAGCCAATTCTCCAACGACTTCCAAAGTTCAAAAGATCCAATGCTCCCATTAAACTCCTCCAAACATAGCTTGACCTCCATCCCAATTTTGCTTCCAAGATTGAAGTACGTGGGTGGTACTTAGCTTTGAGCAGCCGAGCCACCAAAGAGGTAGGTCTAATATGAATATTCCAAAGCTGCTTTGCAAGCATGGCTTTATTGAAAATCTTGAGATCCCTGAACCCCATCCCTCCATCTTCCTTTGGCCTGCACAATTTCTCCCATTTTCTCCAGTGAATCCTTCTTTCCGTGCCTTTCTGCCCCCACTAGTAGTTTGCCAAAAGGCTGTGGATATCATCAATTAGGAATAGCATAAAGGATTAGATAGCAAGATCATTTAGTACTTTAATTAGACGATCATTGACCGGTGAGAATGAAGTAAAAGGTGGGGTTTCCTTAAGCTGGATTGAGTATCCAAGAATTTCTGGGTCGATTTTGGTTTGTTTGGATCTCTCAACCCGGCCAGAGACGGACGAAACCAACCCTAAACCGAATAATTGATGAGAAAGGAAATAATGGTTTTGGAGAGAAGTGTTGTGTGAAAGTGAAGACGGAAGAAGAAGAAGAAGCACCGAGAGGCAGGAACGAGTCCTCCACTCACTGTGGAATCTCCACGTGGCGCCTCCTCTGACGTGTGTTGCTGCTTTTGACGAGTCACCGCCTCTCTTTCTGTCTCCGTCTTTCTCTCTCTTTTGTATTAATTTTTGGATTAATATTTTCATATGGTGTGAACTTTAGCCAAATAAACATTCTTGCTAATTTTTTCGATTTATAACATCCTGGTCCGAACTATACTTCAAAATAAATAATTTAACCAAACCCGATGTTTGACCGTTAACTTGGGCGGTCAAGCGTGTTGACTAACGGTCAACGCGCCACGTCACTGCCAAGTCATAAGATCTGATAAATATTTAATTTTTTCGTATTTTATTTTTGGTTTAACTAAGGTGTTAGATGATTTTTTTAATTTATAATAATTTAAAATTAGGGAACGTGTGGAAATTATGAATTATTTTAAATATTTTATGCTGATTTGGCAGTGGCATGACGCGTTGACTAACGGTCAACGCGTTTGACCGTCCAAGTTAACGGTCAAAAGTCGATTTGGCCAAATTGTTTATTTTGGTGTAGCTAGAATGTTATAGATCGAAAAGATTGACCAGGATTTTTTTTTTTTTGTCAAAGTTCAGGTCATACGAAAATATTAACTCTTAATTTTTTTCATTCTGTTTTTATTTTTTTCTGCAACCGGCACCCATACGGCGCCGTCTCATCTGCCGTTTGCCCCGTTCGAAACGGACAATCGCTTCGTCTTCACCGAAGAAAACTTCCGGTGAAGTCTGGACTTTAGACCAGATTAATTAAATTAACATTTTATTTTCCGGCCGCCACCTTCTCTCCTCCGGCTAGACCTAGAACGTTCGTTGAATGAAAAAACTGAATGAATGGACAATACGACGTAAATGAAGAGCGAGGTGGCAATTTGAGACAGTGAAATGAACGCTTTTTCAATTCCGACGGTGACGATCGACGAATTGAATCTCTGTAATGAATCAGTTTGACCCATTTTGTAATCTTTTTTTATTTCTAGGGTCACTCTTACGATGAATGGGATTCACTCGTTCGAATATTCTGAATGTGCTCAACTAAGTTTTTTTTTTAATGCCTCATTTTTCCCCACCATTTTCCCCAATCTCTACGCTAGAATTTTTTCCATGATGACCTAACTTGGAAAAAAATTGATTAAAGAATAAAAGGGCAATGAAAGATCTCTACATTATAAATAATACTTCGAAATAGACAATATAAAAAAATAAAACACTAAATATACGATCACTTAATGTTGAAAAGAAGATGGATTATTAATTAGGTAAAGAGTACAACGTAGACATGACAATTTGATACTCATAATCAACAAAAATTTGTCACATATCATGTCTGCCTCATCAATTAATTTATTGCTTTTGTTGGGATTTTTAAGTTCTAACTACTCATTTAGAAAAAGCATCGTGCATCCGTCCACAAATTATTATTATATTTTACATGTGTCAAAACAGAAGCGTGCAATCGATAATCCAAACCAACACGAACGAACACAAATTCAACGTGGTTTACTAACACAATTTGTGCTAGCTAATCCACGGACAGGGGGAGAACAAATTTCACTAATTTGAGGAGAGTACAGATTACAAACCAAATTCCAAACGGACAAACCAAACAAACTAACCTGACTGACCTTACTACAGAGTAGGGTGATGAAGAGTATTTATAGAACTCTTCTCCTAATCCCAAGCAGAAAACCAAACACATTTTCCCAAACATACAAGGAATAAGGTCAAACAAAGCCCAAACACAAACAAAATAGGCCCAAACACAAAACAAAATCAATTCAAATTCAAGTCATATTCTAACAATCTCCACCTTGACTTGAATTCTCTCTCAAATACCAAATGTACGAGATGCAACCAAAGTTGCCAGATGTATCCAATTCCTCCGAATCAGCTGTACCAGAATCTCCACTGCCTCCAAATGCCCCTAAGGGCGGTCAACAACTCAAACCATTCGGCAAGTCCAATCCATATTGAGACTTGTCATTCAGAACCAACTTGCTGAACTTATCACCAACAGAACATGTCAAAACAGAACCTTGTAGACTATACAAGGCACCCTGCTTGACACCTTTCAAAATCACCTTAAAACCCTTGTAGACAGACAACACTCCACCTTCACCTTTGAAGCTGAAACCCTTGCTGTCGAGTAGACTCAAAGATATCAGATTCTTAGTCATTTACTGCTAAGGCTAAACCATCTTCAGAATCAGAGTTAGTTTCTTCCGCCACAGCAGCAGATGATTCCTTCTTCTCCTGATATTTCTTCAGTTTAGGACAACAAATTTCCAATGTCCTTTCTCCTTGCAGTAATGACAGATATCATCCTTCAAACCAGCAGAATTCGAATTTGTATTCGCCTTCCTATTACCAGATTGTTGTCTCCTACCACTGGTAGCAGCCAACCCAGATGCCTGATTTTCCGAACCTGAACCAGATGCCTTATGTCGAACCTCTCTAGTATGTAGAGCAGATCTGACATCTTCCAACGACAAACTATCTTTCCCAGCAATAAAAGAATCCACAAAATTCTCATATGAATGTGGCAAAGATACTAACAGAATTAAGACAGCATCCTCATCATCTATTTTAACATCAATATTCCGCATATATAACAAGATGGTATTTAGTTGATCTAGATGATTCCTGAGAGATATACCTTCCTCCATACGCAAACTGAACAAACGTTGCTTCATATGCAACTTGTTAGTTAAAGACTTTGTCATGTATAGACTTTCAAGCTTCAACCACAAGCCCGAAGCAGTCTTCTCAGTAGCAACCTCAGTGATGATGTCATCAGCCAAACAAAGCAAGATTGTAGAGTGAGCTTTCTCCTCCAAACTAATCCACTCTTCTTCATCTATACTTTCCTTCTTCGATTTTCCAGACAATGGAGCCCACAAACCCTGTTGTTTCAACATCGCTTGCATCTTGATCTACCACAAACTGAAACTGTTTCTTCCGGTAAACTTCTCAATCTTCATACTGATAGCAGCCATTCTTACTATCAAACAAAATCCAACCAAACTCCACAAAGCAAAACTTCAGTCCAGCGCCAAATTCCCAAAACCGCAACCAAAGGCTCTGATACCACTTGTCAGACTAGAAGCGTGCAATCGATAATCCAAACCAACATGAACGAACACAAATTTAACGTGGTTTACTAACACAATTTGTGCTAGCTAATCCACGGGCAGGGGAGAACAAATTTCACTAATTTGAGGAGAGTACAGGTTACAAACCAAATTACAAATGGACAAACCAAACAAACTAACCTGACTGACCTTACTACAGAATATGGTGATGAAGAGTATTTATAGAACTCTTCTCCTAATCCCAAACAGAAAACCAAACACCTTTTTCCAAACATAAGGAAAAAGGTCAAACAAACCCCAAACACAAACTCAAACAAAATAGGCCCAAACACAAAACAAAACCAATTCAAATTCAAGTTATATTCTAACAACATTATTATTATATATATGGTTATCTAATTAAATCACATTTTTATACCGCTGCCGGAGCATCTAAACGATCAAGACCAGCAGCCGGCGAAGAGACCACCGGGGCGACCTTCATTTTCCCGGCGCCGGGGAAACCCCACCGACGACGCCGGCGGACCAGCTTGCGGCAGAACTGGCACGCGAAGAAAACGCAGTAACCGCAGAGCATGGAGACGACGAAGAGCTCGATGTAGAACATGCTCTGGTCCCTGGCGCCGTCGTGTTTGGCGTCGCTCACCGCCAGCCACACCAGGATCCCGGCCGAGGCACCGAACGACACCGTTAGCAGTATCACACCCGTCGCCGACGGCGTCGGCTCTTCTCCCGCCGCCGCCATCGCCGCCAGGGTCCCGTCGTCCATGTTGAATGAATGTATTATATTGGGGGCGTGGTGTATATATATGTTGACTAGCTACCGGCCATTAATTATAGCATATGTTAAGCTAATTATATATGCTTTTGAAAGTTACTCGTATTTGTATGAATGTGTTGGTTATTGTGAACATCGATGGAGAGGAATTGGCCGGGCATTATCCATTTAGGAATTTAGGGCACCCTTAGGAAGTTACGGTTTGTGGCAATCTGTCCAGCATAATTTTAATCGATGAATAAATTCGAAAGTTTGCTCTCGTTTTTAGGGCTACTAAAATATGTTTTCTTCTTCTTCTGTAACTAGTTTCTGGTAAATGTGGGTGCTACTTACAGTGGCGGATTCAGAAAATTTTCACATGAGTGTCCTCTTCAAAAATCAAATTTAATTATATAATAAATTAAATAATTCGTATATTAAAAATATCATACTTGTATAATTTTAAAATTTTTTATTAAATAATAAATTAAAATTCATATTTTGAAAATAATATAAATAAACTCTGTGTCTGCACTGTTAAAAAAAAATCTATATATCTTTCTAGACAATACTTCACGAACTTATCACATATTTGATTTCTAACCTTGTTCTTAATGTAGCTCAAAGTAGAAAAGACTCTTTCAACAATTGTCGTGTAACCATAAAATCAATTCAAAATTAAGGGTAGCGTGTACGTAGTTTAATTATTAGGTATTGAAAATAGTTGGGGATAAAGAAATAGCGTTTTACTGTTGCATGATGTTTAAAATAGAATAACAAATGAGTGGCAATATAATTAGAATATGTTTGATAATAGTAGTGTCCTAGGTTGGAATAACACGGACTACCACTTATATTTTTTTAATCATAAGCAAACTATATTATCGAGGATAGGATAATCATTTTTTCAAATGTTAGGGTGTCCCGGATTACCAATTATATTTTGTATACCCATACGAAACTACTACCGGAGGTTGGATAATCGTTTCCCCAAATTTTAGGGGTGTCCCGGGACACCCCTAGAGACCCATGTATCCGCCCCTGGCTACTTACGAGATGTTTGGTATTCTTGAATAGACCTTTTGTTATGAATCGTTCGGATGCTTCGAATATGAGATCTCCAGATTCAAGACCAGTAGTATTACCTACCACTCCATAAAGTCCTTGTTCACGAATGTTATTATTGAGATTTGGATCCAACGATTAAGTTCCTGATCTAATTGCCATATAAGTGACTCTTCGCGTTGATGATGTGTACAATCATCGACACCTTTGTTGTGTAACTGATTGAACTTGTTATCGATAGGGGCAATGAAATTAATATTGGTGCCACTTGGGGTTTCATGGTTCATGTGTGGCAGTCCCTCGATGAATATCTTTGAAGCTCGTAAATGGAAATAAACCCGATCGTTATATTTTACAATTGTATGTAGCTGAACATCCAATTCAGTGACAACACCAACATGCATGCAGAGCTAATGCGCTGACATTAAACGGTTGAGATAGCACTCGTAGTTGTGTCAACTCTAGGTAGCTACTTATTGATGTTGATAACTGATTGATTATGTTGATTTCTAAGACTTTTTTCATTCTCGGTGTTGGCCACACAACACAATCTCGACATTCATAATTAACATAGATAGCGGAGATTCAACTGTCCACAACTAGTAACACCATGCATTAGCAGTATGGTTATCATACCGAAGAAATTCAAGTCCAACATTAAAAAGACAAAACACATTGACATCGCATAAGTGACAACTTTAGTTCGATAGCATTTATGAGACAAGATTAACAAAATATCAACTATTGCTCTCATGTCTTCTTCTAGTTAAAAGAAAACACCGAGACACTTGCATAAACGGCAACGCAATATCACACAGGAATTATGTACCAGAAATTTTCTATAGGGTAGTGATGGTTAGAGCAACAAAGTTTTTCAGAGAGAAATTCTTAATGTAGAGAGTTTAGGCATCCAACATATCCAAATTACAAAGAAGAGAAAATTCTCACACAAACAAGTTACATGTCATTTTCTTGGAGAAGAGTGAGTTTAACGTCTCCAATAAACCAATCAGCCTAACGTTTCCTACACTTAAACCACGAAAAAGAAACCTTTAACTAAACCGCTTAACGAACTAACAAACACGACAGCCGACAGCTAACAACCACTGTGTTATACTTGCATCTTGTTCAACTGTTGATTACTTTCAAACGGGAGGGACGTCGGCCGGGTTCCCGCCGGGGGCGATCTGGCCGATCACCGGAGTTGAAACAGGGGCGATCTGCTTCTGCTGCTTCCCCGCCGGCCGCAGCCTCTTGCACACTTTCCCCACCGCGTTGGAGACGAATATCAACACGTTGCTCATCGCCACCACTCCCACGGCGCCTTCCAGGCACAGCAAATCCGTGCTCATGTCGTTGTCCTTCCGGTAACCGGTCACCGCCAGGCTCATGAACACTGCGGCCACCGTCGAGAAAAATCCGGCCAAGATTAAATCAATCCCGATCGACTTGCAGAACTCCTTGTCCATTGTTGGTTAAAAAAAAAACAGATATGGGAGCGAGAGAAAAGAGAAACGAAGAGGAGGCATATGACAGAATCTGGACATTCGTTTTTAATACGGCTCTGGGTTTGGAATCTAAAGACAGGGGATGGATAGAAATGGCGCCGCCGAGGAAAATTTTTGGAGCTAGAGGGAGTAATTGGCTTTGGGTTTGTCGATGGGAATGGAATAATGAGGCGGAAAACAAACTTATTAGTTGAGAGCTGGCATTTGCTCAAATCAGAACTCATCGGTATCTTCAAACTTTTAACAAGAAAAACAGGGGAGAAAGGAGATGGAAAACAGAGCGGAATTGGTTTCATAAGTCCACTTGTTCGGACGAATTCAATATACCTCAAACAACTTGTCAATGCCATCCTTGTAAAAGGAAGGGAATCTGATTCAATGCCACGCTCAAACTTAAGCCACTTGTATGGGTGTGAAGCTCGACACAGTCTGGAAATAGAATCGTCGGGAATCAAACAGAAAATCTCTCAGTCACATAAAACTTTAATGTCATGTCAAGAATCATAGGGAGAAGTTCAATTATGAATAAATATATCACTTGCTAACACACCTCATCAAATGATTGAAAGTCTACTCATACGGGGTTGAAGTCTGCACATGTCCAAATGTCATGTGCTTAACAAGTAGGGGTTATTAGAATTCGAATAGAAGACCTAGCTATGGTACATATTAAGAACCAATTCGTCCTAATAATTCTAGTTGTTGGAAGATGTTTAACTATGGATCTTATATCACATACTACCATGCCCCCTCAAACTCAAGCCACTCATATCCGATGGAAGTTTGCACAATCCGAGAATAGTTGTCGAAAATGGAACAGATAGATAGAAGACTACGATATCAAGTAGGAGATATATGACATTTGACAATCATGAATTGATATGATAGGAGGGAGATTTATTTCCATCGTAATTGAATCTGAAATTTCATTGCTTTGCATTTACTTCATGTGAAAATGGAGGACCCAACTTGCGGGACAATGAATGTGTGGTGGTGGTGGTGGGCAAGAACTTTGCAAGTTTCTGGAACTGAAAAAGCCATCCTAACACCGCAAATTCTCCACATTATTATGTTAGTTAAGATGTGGGATTGTTGGTACGTGGGGTTTAGCATAGCATAGCATAGCATAGCATAGCCACACTCTCATTGTTAGTCCATAAAAGTGGAAGTTCTTAGGAATAAAATGAACCAAAGGATTAGTGGGTTCTAAAGTTGTGAAGACCACAACCAGCCAGGCCAGTTGGTAGCATAGGAGGAATCATTCCTCAGTTGCCCCCACATAACTTTGTCAATGCATTTGCTTCCACTTATTCCCGTTTGTGATACAAATAATGATAACCTTAATAATTGAAACCAATATCATATTAGTATGGTCTCCAATATGCTGGAGATCGAGTTGAGTTTGCGAAATGTTGGATGTTTCATGTTTATCAATTCATTAGGATCAATATCGTCGAGTCGAGCTTTCAATGATCGCTAACGCCTCAAACACCCCACCTCAAAAGCCCAAATTCCAAGTCCTTCCTTCCCATCTCGCAAAGTCAACCCCCGGGGGACTTAGACTGTATACAACACACAATCACTTGCCAGTTACCGCTTCCCACATTGTCTCTTACCATCCATGCTTTTACTTGTGTACCAACTTGAAACATTCAATTTCAAATTACATGACATTTTCTTCTATATTTTGCATGACAAGACCCAATCCATATCGTATAAAAACGGTAACAGGGTCATACCCGAAACTCAATTATGTATCACAATTATCCAATCATACACCCACAAACAATGTACCACCAATTTACCAAACATTTATGTGTGGCCCTTTTTTTTTTTTTTTGCTTCATGTATAGACAAACAATACAGTAACATGTACAAACACCTTTGGAAGAACTCCACACAACTCTCAAAACCCACCCAAACCATTCATCATCATCATCACCAAACAACAACAATCACTCATCTGGCCCACTACACAAAAACCCACATGGACCCACACCACAGTATTGGGCCCCCCACTCGGCCCATTTAACCAAATTTGAACCCACCAAAGTACACATCAGGAGTCAGGACAGTCTCCCTACTCCCTAGATTCATCCATCCATCATTCACCCCATGGCCCTTTGCAAAAAAATATAAATAAATTCCCCCAAAACAAAAATAATATTTCATCTATACACTTGGCAAACAAACACGCCCACATCAAATCAATCTCCGTCTTCATCCCAACCGTCCGTTCCCATATCCAATCACCACCGTCCGATCGACGCGCGAGGTGTCCGGTCCAGATCAAATCTCTCTCTGCGACGGGCTCCTCCAGAACCCCGTCCCGTAGAAACGGTTCCACATCTCCCTCTCCAAATCCTCCGCCTCCGCCGCCGCCGTCTCCGCGCCGTCGACGTCCTCGGCGGCGGCGGCGCGTTCCACCACCTCCCGGATCTCCCTCTCCAACTCCTCCCTGGACCGGCCGCCGCTGCTGCTCGTCGTCGGGGCCAGCAGCCCGTGCTGGCTCTGCTGCAGCTTCATCCGCCGCAGCCGCTGCTGCCGCTTCCGCGCCTTCCGGCACAGCCCCGCGGGGACCTTGTACACCGCCAGGACCACGATGTTCATCAGCGTGCAGGGGCAGCAGCAGCACACCGCCACGCACTCCGCCGCCGCGCCTCCGGCAACCTCCCCTGCCCTCCTCGTGTGTACCGCGTTTGTCCTATCCAGCCTCCTCCCCCTAATTCCGTCCCCTCCCTTCATCTCCGCCTCGGCCGCCGCCGCGGGTTTCGGGTGCGGTTTATCCGCCAGTAACGGTTGCTTCTTCCGGTTGCGTAGCGCCGCCGCCTGCCGCGCCATTCGATTGAAAGGGGGGAAACTCCAAAAAAAAAAAAAAAACTAAAAAGAAAAGAAGGTTCGAATCGAATTGAAGACGAACCAATCGAATTCTTTCCTCCCTCTGAATTTCAATTTCTCCCCCTGGGAGGCGGTATTTAGTTTTTTTTTTTCCCTCCGCCGCGAGACTCAGAGAGAGTTGTATTCCGCGGAAATCAAAGGATCGTCCATGGAGGACGTCCTTTTGGTCGCCGGAGGGAATACAAAGGTTTTCGGGAGCGGGGGGGGGGGGGGGGGGGGGGGGAGATTGGAAATCAGAGGGAAGGGGGAAAAGAGGAGAAAATGGAGATTATGATGATGACGACGATGGGGATTGGATCGAAAGAGACGGATTTCTTTATTGAGATTTACACGGGAAAAACTGAATCCGCGAAAGAGGCGGGTACTGAAATTCTTGCTTCTCCTTCTTCTTCGTCTTGTTATTATTATATTTTATTTTTTTTGGGTTAGGTTAATCATTTTCTTTGTTTTGGTCTGTTTTTTTTTTCCTCCTGGATTTGTTTGTTACGGTTAAATTCGAGTTCTGGTGTTGTGCAGACAACTGTTCAATTTTGGGAGAGGGGGGAAAAGTTTCATGTTGGTACCCAGGGCAGGCAGGCGGCAGCTTGTGAAATTTTCCTTTCGACGCATGATTTTTACATGTCGTTACAAATGTGTCTGGAAGTTTGTTTTTGGTTTCTTAGAGGACGTTTGGAAAAGATTAGGGTTTCGGATTTTGGAATATAGGAGTTTTTTTTCCCCAAATATATTTTTGGAAGATAGGAGTTGGATAACTGTTTACGGGGATTTTTTCTTTGCAGACACGCAAACTCCTTGTAGGTTAAATTAAATACTTAAATGGTAAAAAAAAATAAAACTAACCAATTTTATCTCTTTATCATGCCAATTCAATGTTGTTCTTTTGGTGAATATAAAAAGTAAAATAAGATTGTACTTTTGTTATAGCGGGTTAACTAAAATCACATGTGATTCACTATTTTACCCATTGACACACGAGTCTTTTATCAAATGTTTTATGTGGAGAGATTTTATGTCTGTCTGATTTCATCTATTCTAATGGAGGATATAAAAAAAAAAAATCAATGACCATTGAAGTGTTGCCAAATCATTTTCAGTGAGCTACGAATAGAAGAATAGGGGAGAAAACAAACATTAAACAAAATTAAATCATGCTACTCTTAGACAATTGTGAGAAATTAAAGGTTCGAAATCGTGGTTGGCTTCTTCGCAGCGAAAAATTAAAGTTAATGACCAATTAAACTCATCGAAATTTCAGCACATCTATACCATGTATTTTTTTTATTCGAAAGTCAACTATCCAAGCAAAACAACAAACTCTAAAATGACTCTTGTATTCATACAACTCATTGAGCATTACTTATTACGCACCGATCAGAAGTAGAAGAAGAAAAAAAATACCCGATGGATGCAAAATTAGATATTGCCAAAGTGTGAAGCATTGAAATGAAATGTATGCATAACCATTATGACCATAAGGTGGTACACAATTAATGCGAACGAGGTGTAATTGTTAATTATAGTAAGCTGATAGACATTTGATTGCTATGATTGAAGGCCTAACATTGAACCTGTTCAACTTGGTTTGCATACCAATGAAGGGATTGTGTTTGCTTGAAAGAAACAAAAATATAGATGATAGGTAACTCGTATTTCTAATGTAGCGACGTAAACCTTCTCTTCTCTTCCTTTTTTCCTTTTGTTGTTTTTGTTTTCTTCTGCTTTGAAAGAGACTTAACAAACTCCATGCACGTACGGGAATGATTAGTTATTTTAGAATTGTTGTTGCTAGTCTTATTCCCCCTCCAGTACACAAGGTTATTGAATGATTCCTCCAAAGATAGAAAGGATGTACCATTTCCGGCGTAGCGGTACCTCAAACCTCGGAAACCATTGAATGCAGCGAACCGGCGAGAACCACACTTGACTCGATTTTCTCTTTGAAAAGAATGCAGGAAACTAGTTTTGGATTTTAGCAGAGTTTTCATACCGAAAAAATGTCTATCAAATTCAAAACTAGAGGGGGTTATGTGCTATTTATATAAAAATGAAGGGGTGCGCGTATGAAGGGAGGCGACTCTTCATATGGGTGGTTACACCCCAACCAACACATTGATTCATTTTAAGATATGAACCATTGCATCGGTTCGGCTTCGACCCATGATAGTTGGACCGATTTGGTTATTCCAACCGCCATATTGGTTTGGTTCAATTTGGTTCAACTCAGTTTGATCCGGTTGGTTACACAAACCAATATTACCGATTACCAACATATTACATTAAATCGACCGAATTCGCGACCACGCCTTTCCACAGCTTACCAACATGGTACTTCAAAAGATTCTCTAAGATTTTTCCCCTTTCATTTCCATTCACACCACTAAAAATTCCAACATTGACAACCGAGTAGAAATTCAGGGACTAAACCATGAATAAGCAAAAATATGAGGACTTTCATCTGTAGTCTTCCCCCAACAACCTACCTGCTATTTTCTGCCAGGATGGGGACTGGTCCGCCATAAGCTTTTTGACCAGCCGAAGAAAACAAGAGAAACTAGTGCGTGTGTGTAGGCCATTAATGTAAGAATTAATTGACGGTTCAAGAAATTAAACAATTAATAAATAATTAGCAACTGTGGAAGTATCTAATCAGGATTGTAGGAGCACTCAAGAGACCAAGCGGCGACTAATTAAATACGCCTCTTTCTGCTCACACTAATAAATTCTGGATTACGATTCCAGATATATCATAAAATGACAAAGCGTAAATATTTTCCCACATGCAGTTCATGAGAATTTTTTAAGATTTTACGTCATAGGTAGACTTTAAGTTGATTCTACAATTTGATCGCTCACATATAGGTTACGATTTTGAGAAAAAGTTGTCTGATGATAATGTGAGAATTTTAACATCTATCATACTAGGGACCTTGGGGCCAACAATTAACGGAGAAAGAGCCTGTAAAAGGGTTGAGTGGAGTCCATGTCAAAAACTAAGAAACGTGCATAAGTCGGCACGTGATAAGTCGCGGTGAATGGCTATGATTCATTTTCTTGAATCATAGCCAAGAAAACCACAGGTAGCAATAGTGAAGTCGTAAAAGATGTGTGAATTGCATTAATGTGTGTAGAATAAAACAAAGTTGAGTTGGATTGCAAAAAATTTGAAACGAGAATAAGAACATCATATACAATTGGTTTTGCAACTTAGGGGTGGGCAACCGGTTCGGTAAACCTGAACCAAACCGAAATCGAATTAATGCTATTCGGTTCGGAATTCGGAAGGAAAATATGGATAGTTCGGAAATCAGGGTTCTTCCAACCGAACCGAATTTCCTTCCGAGAAACCGAAATACTATAATTGCAAGCTCCAAATGGTGGATTTTTATGTTTTTAGACTTAAATATTTGAAATGTTTTATGACTTATGTGTTGAAAAGTTTGATTTTATCATTGATGATGCATATAATTGCATATTTATTGTTTATATTAAGGGTGAAAATAATTTAAAAGTGAGAAGATACAAGTAGCTACACAAATTCGGCTTTGTGTGAAAAACCGAACCGAATTATAATTCGGTTCGAATTCGGTTTGAGGTTTCCGAGAGTTCGGGGACCCGGTATTCATAATTTTAGTTCGGTCGAAACCGAACCGACCGAATGCCCACCACTATTGCAACTGCATTTCTGCATTGATATGGATACTCTAAAAATTAGAGTAAATTGCAGGGGGTCGGGTTTGGGGTTGGGTCGATTATTGGGTTGGTTTGCAGGTTGGGTAGGGAAGGGTGATATGGTGGGCAAATCTGACGTGGCGGGTTGGGTAGTCATTTTTTAGGGTTAAAATATGCTGACTGTGATCTTCTGTTAGCCACGTCATCACTTAATGGTCGTCATTAACAGAGTCTAACGGAGGTTAACGAAGAGTGACCGAACTTAGACTGTTTAACTAATTTAAGTGACTATTAATGGAATAAACCAATTTTAGTGACCAAACGTGAAATTTTGTAGCAATTCGAGTGACCAAACGTGCAATTAAGCCCGGCCTTTTATACGAGTAATTAGCATAAATGGTGGTGATGGATAGCATTGTGACAGTTTTGGGCAGGGAGGCCCCCTATCTTTTTATTATTCATTTTGCAAAATTGACAATTTAGCCCATTAATAAAAGTCCAGATCTTGATTGTAAAAAAAAAAAAAACCATAAAAGGTGAGAAATCTATAATATGCTAACAAAAGTTGTGGTCACAAATTAAACAGCGTGACCAATTCATACAAGTGATTAGTGTCATATACCTGACGAACACACAATCCAACCTCAAAACAGTCACACACCTTTAATCTGTAACGAATTGGTAACAAACATTTGCAATTAATACAAAATGATCACAAATTAAACAGAGGTGACCATACAATTTCAAACTTTTGTTACCTTATCGTTACAAATTAAAAATTTGTGTTTGTCTTGTACTAAGTGCAAATGTTTGTGATCGTTTATGCTAATTATCCATGATTGGATTACCATCTCTAGAGGTACTTGACAAAATTATACTGAAACCATAATTCAAGAAGACGTAATTCCACATAAGTCGTATACACTAGGCAGCGACAAAATGTCTCATTTAGGCTCTAAGCAGAGTATTAGTATTAGACATTTAAAATGCCTAGGTGAAGTTAGGTGGCATCTAGACATGATCAATCTTCCTGAGGCGTGATTAATCGAATTCAGGCGTGCTTAAGTGCATTGACAAATCGATGATTAAGACGAGGAAGGAGATTGTGCTAAAACAACATCGTTTACAATAAGAGTGGGAAACGGCGAGGTCTGGATCAGACCATACCATATATACGTATGTTGTCCAGACCAAGATACTAGATGATAGAACCAAGAGATTTGGCTCTATCTAGGGATTAGAAACATAGAGGATTAACTAGGAATTGATCTCTCTAGGGGTGTTCAAATGGTTATCATGGTAATTAACAAACCAAATAAGACTAAACCGTCCAAACTAATAATCATGAAATACAATATCATAACCAAACCGTCCAAACTAATAATCATGAAATACAATATCATAACCAAATCGTCCAAACTAATACAACAACTAAATTAACCAAACTAAAGTTAATCGGTTTGATTAATTGGTTAACTAGATTAACCAATATAACATCACAGTATCATTAAGAGAAAAAATTTCAGTTTATGCATCAATTCACAATTTATATATTAAATAAAAAATAACAATCAACACATCATTATAGTTAAATCTTAATATAAATACATTCGCCTAATAATTATCTTACCATCAATAGATGTATTCACATAGCAAAAATATATGTCAATGGTATGGGGTTAGTAAACTATTGTGTTTGTTAGAATTGACTTAGTCTCTTAGCAATTATCATAGGCTGAAAAATACCTTACTTTCAAGTTTTCATCCAACATAATGTGTGAGTTTTTATCTAAATTAGGCATTCATATGTTGAGGTCTACACTCTACAAATACAAATATACAGTACATGAACAATTTTGAGCTTTATTTTTTTTATGAGGCTAAAAAGAAGGAACATTTGTCTCTTGAGTGGCTATGCAAAGTATTTAATATGCGTATATAATATATATATATTAGATATATGACTAATTACTTAACTGGTTAGTTTGGTTTCATTTGTTATGAGTGTCGGAAACCAAACCAAACCAGCTAAACCAAACATGCTAAAAAACTTAACCAAACCAAACCAATTATCAAAATTAATTAACCAAACCAAATTATCCAAATACGTACTATCGATTAAAACGATTATGACGGTAACCATTTCGTTTGAACACCACCCTATAATGCAGGCGAGAAGAATGGCGAAAACAATGGCTGAGTTCCTCTACCTATGAATCATGTAGGCCTTTTTCCCCCTTGTCGTCATTAGAACTCCAACTGAGATATCACTAATGCAATGGCTTTCTGTAGATTAATTATCAGTTACTTTAGTTACAATAAACAGTCCCACCCTTAATGTAGATGCCATTAGATTGTTTGGGAATTGAAGCTGTCAACCAACAAACACAAGGGTATTTTCTAAAATGAATTCTCAGCAAATGAACTTCTTTGATCACTTTCATCAGCTTCTTAGCTGATTCAGATTCAGTGTTAATAGCAATTAGCGAAGAACCCATGTTTGCTAGCGTTCGAACTAGACATGTGCAACCTTCTGGTCGGTGATGAAGCCATGCATCGTAAGTAGTCTTCCAAGCATCGAGTTAGGTGCTCCGTCTGGCCATCTGATTGAAAATGGGGCTTAGCCTTGAAAAGCAGAACAGAAATCATGTAGTGCAGAGTTATTTGAGGTATACCTGAGATATGTGCGGGAAGGCAAAAAGCCTGCAACTTGTTCATGGAAGAGTGAAAAATAAACGTCCAACGATAAGCTAAAAGTCGAGCAAGTCAATGTTCATTGATGCTCATGCTTCAAATTACTCGAGTTCGAAAAAGAAAAGGACCAGGTAGGTATGACAAACTCTTAGACTTCCATGCTTGTTTTTCCTGTTTTTGCAGGTTATGCCATCTTTTGCGTCCTAGCACACTATCATTATGCATAGATTATGGATATTCCGAATGTCTGCTGCGAAGATCTGTGCTGATGCTATATATCTGGCCTAAGTTCTGTGTTGATGGCAGGGGGCTGTTAACACTCTTTAGATAACATTTAGCTCGATTGGCAGATTGATTGACCAAATGGGGAACAAGAATCACCATACATAGAAGCAAAAATATCAAAATCTGTGAACAAAAAAAAGAGGGGAAAAAACACTAACTTAAGAACAACGAAGGTAGCAAGTACTAGATGGATGGTAAGATCCATACAGGGATTGTAGAAATCAACGAAGGTCTTGCGTGAACCGAGCTAATGGAGTACAGTGGCTGAACCGTCCGAGTGGCAAGGTTATAAACTCCCATGTCCGAACCTGCATACTTGTGCCTAACATGGTCGTCATACATATCATCCGTGTAATAAACAGAATTCGGAATCAACCCCAATTCAGGATGATCCGTGGTGGAGACGCAGGCAGCAGAGTTGATACCCAGAAAGATGGCGAAATCATCGATACTCTCCACCTCGACCCACGCCATCGTATCCTCGTTCAGCTTGTAAACTTTGAATTCACCGGTCAGCGACTGACATTCGGCAGGATTTACATCTGCACGTACCGCTGCAGCAGTGTCCCCGCCATCACCATCATCATCGTCGTCGCGATCCATAATGTATGCATCAGCTCCATCAAGGGACACGGCCTTACTTACGTGGCCATGATTGAGAGCTCGATTGCGAAGGAATTCATCGAGGCCACCATCATCATCGTCGTCGTCATCTTCTAGCTCAATTACATTCCTCGCCACCATCATCAACGCACCTCCATCCGGACTCTTAACCAAGTAGGACTTGCAACTAATTTCCGGACAGGGATGAACTACAAACTTGGACAGCTTCGGCGGGGCAGCAGTAATGCTGCAGACAGAAATCCTCCCAACTTCGTCCATCACATAAAACTGTCCCCTCCAGAACACCACATCCGTGAAATAACCAAAACCATCACCATCGCGAGGAATCTCGGTCCACACTTCATCATCGCCGCCGCGCCTCATCATTGGCCTGCAAAACGCCAGGGTGGGATACTCTGGAGAATGTATGACCATCACAACACAGTCCTCCGATGTCGGCTCGGATGAAAGGGCAACCTTCATTATGTACCTTCGCTCCATAGCCATCTTGCCACAAGCAATCTTCTCCCCGCGCATTACGAATCTGTACTCACACCCGACCTTCTCGGGCCGAAACCCCTCCACGTGGGGGAAACTCGTGATCGGAGGCAGCCAGATCCGATCCCCTGTGAGAGGGTTCAGCAGGAGCAACGATGGGCCCCTCTGCAACATGAACAGCCAGCCGAAGCTCGAACCGCGGCAGCAAGTGGGCGTTCTCCTGCTGTTTATGAAACCTTCCGGCATCTCGACCTCGATGTGGTGGAACCGCTGCTCCGTCACATCGAAGAAGCACCTGCAGCTATCGGTACCTTTGCATCCCGCCATGGCTTCCGAGCTGCGGATCATGTTGCTGCTGCGGCAGTAGGGAAGCATCAGCCATGGGACCGATTGGGTAAACCTGGGCCGCCGCCGCGGGTGGTTCAGCTTGTCCTCCGCCGCTAGGGCTCGTCTCCAAGTCTTGCAAACAGCTTGGAATCGGATGAAATCCTTCAATTTGATTAGAAATCGATGAGCGATGACACCCAGAATCTCGCCCGGCAAAGCCGACCAATCGGGTTCGGGGATGTCGTCATCGTCGCTCATGTTCGAAGGTAGGGATGGAGCTCGCTCGGAGATAATTTCTGTGATAAAAGCGTGTCACTCATGTAACCGCTTCCTAGTCCGTTCATCGGCAGGAATTCCGAATCCAAAATGAAATAGGACGGCGGGAGACGGCTGCAGGGGAAAAAGAAAAGAGAGAAGGACTTACAGATGATGAGATTACAGAGGACGAGAGGCTCATCGGTTGGTTGATGCATGCAGAGGCATAAAAGGTTACGTTTTTGTTAACGGACTCTGTTTTTGTCTTTCGGGATTCAAAGAGCAGAGTTGCAGATTAGAATAGATCATCTAAGAAAGACGAAGATTGAGGAGCACTAATACGATGCTATATAGTATTGGTGCTTTAATGTACAACTTGAAGTTGTACCATAACATTAAATGTATAAGTTTAGGTTGTACCATAAAGAAATTTGTATAATTATGTTATTGTTGATGCCAAACTTAGAGCAGCCTGCTTCAATATGTTTAAGGTCCGGAGAGCGCTGATTTCCCAAAGCCTTTAACCACCTCCAGCTCCGTGCGAATACCTGAAAAAAAGGTCCCACCGGGGGGTCCTGGTTGGAACCTCCTCCGACGCTCAAATTAGTAACCTGAATGGAATAAAATAAATACGGTGACGTTAGACCTGGTTCGGTCCCACGGTGGTAATTGAGCGTCGTCGGCTATTTAATGCCGCCCGGTGGAGACTATCCACGATCCCATGGCTTAGTCCGCCAAATTGAGGGTGTGTTGAGTGTTAAGAGATTTAACACGCTTTTGGGAGATCGGGAGGAGAGAGAAAAACGTTTTTAGAGAGAGAAAGTAGAGAGAGTGTATATGGTGTGTGAGTTGTGTCGTGTGAATTAGTCGTAAGTGACTTATGTGGTGTGTGTGTTGTTGTTGTAGTTTTGAAAGGGGGAGGGGTGCTCCCTATTTATAGAAAAAAGTCGTAGTTAAATTCCTCGACTTACGTTACATTCACCAACATTCTCCATTATTCTCCTATACTCGTTAATAGGGCTGGTAAACGGTACAACGGTTATCGGATTAACCGTTTACCGAACCGGTAACCGGCGGTTATCGGTATAACCGGTAACCGGCGGTACCGGTATGCGGTAGCTAGTTTTAGGCAAACGGTTTACCGTTATATTCCCGGTTAAATACCGTCGGTATTCCGGTATACCGAGTTACCGAAACCCACACAATTTGTTCTCCTCTTCCCCTGCCTCACTAAGCTTTTTTCATCTCTCAATCTTCGATTCTCTCCTTCTCGATCCTTCCACCACGCATCTGTCAAGTAATCCTTCCACCACGCACCAGTCACCGATCCCTCGCCTATTGCTGCTTCTGTTTTGCAAGGACAGAGGGACGAGGGCGAGAGAGATGGGCCAATCCTTTCTTTTTCCCACATCCACAAAAACACAAAAAGAACAAAAATCAGAATCAAACAAAACAGAAGAACAGACCAAGAACAAACTGAAAAGGTACGTACCCTGAGTTCCTCATCGGTGGCTTTGGCATATCCACCGTCGGCGAGGCCAAGTCGTTGGAGACTGCTTCTCTATCTTTCTCCCCTCCATCGAACCCCAAAGATAACCCAACAACCAAAACGAGAAAATCAGAAACGTATTCAAACCAAAAATCCCCAAATAAACCACATGCAACCATTTCCATGGTTAGAATCCACTCACCGAGGTTGGCGACATCCCATCTTGCCGCCGGCGAGGCTCAAATAAAACCGGCGTTTCCCCTCCTCCCTCATGTGAGATAGAAATCCAAAACATAGAAACCAGATCAACACCCTAAAACAACTAAATCAGTAAATCAAACCATCAAATATAACATGCAACCTAAAAGGAAAAGCTCACCTTCATCATTCTCGTCGCTGGTGACCATCGGGTTACAATCATCGTCTATATATCTTGCCGCCGAACTCTATGTTTGTCTCGACAAAGAGGAAACGAAAGGAGTTTTGGGCAAGTTTGTCTGGTTCGCAGAAGGAGAGAGAGAGAGAGAGAGAGAGAGAGAGAGAGAGAAGGACGAGGAGATGGGATCTAGGAGGAAGGAGCAATTATTATTACTCTGTATCGTTGGTTTGCAAAGAGGAAGAAAGGATGCTCTGTTTCCTTGGATGCCGGTTCTAGAAGGAGATGGGTTTCTTCACTAGTGGGAGAAGGGGACTATATCCGGTACAGCGGTGTAACCGGGTTCTAACCGATAACCGGTTATTCGGTTACCGGTTTAACCGGTTCCTTTCCGGTATCGGTATCGGGCAGCACTTTAGGGGGAAACGGTATACCGATAACCGGCTAGTCGGTAACCGGTTAAACCGGTAACCGACCGATTACCACCCCTACTCGTTAATATTCTCCGTAATACCTTAACATTCTCCGTCATACACTAATATTCCTTATCTAGTATAGTATTTGAGAAAGTGTAAGGGTGTATGTGAAAGTAGAAGAAGTATAAATATGTAGTGGAAATTGAAGGAAAGAGTAGGGATGGGAATTGTACGTATATGTATGCATGAACATGCATGATAAAGGAAAGTGTAGGAAATGGTAGGGAGAAGAAGGAAGTTTACGTGGGAGTGTGGAAAGAAATAGTAAGGGAGGGAGATGAGGTGGCATCTGCCACTTGTGGGAGAAAGGGAAGGAAAGAGGGAGAAAGTGAAGGAAGAATGAGACAAATAAGAAGTTTAGGAAGAAATTAAAAAAGTGAGTAAAGGAAAAAACAAATACAGTAGTTAAAGGAAAAAAACAATGAAGGATTCTGATGGTATAATACAAATTTTCGGGTATTTCGGGTACCGCAATGATGAACAATTTATCGAGTGTATTAATGAAAGGACAGGTGTTTAATATTTTAAAATTTTATCGGTTAAGAACTGGGTCTATCAGTTATGGTACAACTTTACAACTTGAAGTCGTACCATCACAGAAGGTACAAGTTCAAGTTGTACCATAACAGAATTTGTACAAAAAGTATAGGTACAATCTGAAGTTGTATCATAACGTTAAAGGTACAATTTCAAGTTGTACCATAAAAACAAAAACCTATAGCACCAATACTATATAGCATTGTAAAATTCCTCGAAGATTGAGTGTAGGGTTAGGTTTCAGATGACGCACGGCTCATTCGGTTCACTGCGGGTCCCACCGGCTGTGACGGGCACTCAGTAATTCAGTTAACCCGTTCCTTGCGGCTTTTACCGCCCATAATAACATTGGTTTAGGCACAACTATCTTTGGGCCAATGCTGGAGTCCAAAAGCCATGCGGCCCAAAATAATTCGGTCCAATTTGTCAGATTCACAACTCACTTCATAGTCCTTGGATACGCTCTCTTTCCTGTTTTTTTTTTAAATTAACGGTTAAGATTAAAGGAAGGATATTTTTGGAAGGGTAAAAATTTACCACCGTCGAGACTTCCACCATCGTCGTCTCCGCCATCCTCAGCCTCCCTTCACACCCTGTTGTTGCAAATCTCTCCCGCCAGCCCGCTGCAACGTCCGCCTCCCACCACCGCGGCACAATCATCCTCTCCCTGTTGGAGCCCTCTCGCCGCCCTTCGTCCCCCACCACTGCCACCGTCGCGAGGTCACCCTCTTCCCCTACCTCTCTCTCCCGTCACCGACTCCCCTTTTCTAGATTTGGTTTTAGTGGTACCATTTTTCTTCTGGTAGCGTACCAGTTACAGTGGTACCTACGCTGGTAGTGGTAGCGTACCACTATCATATGTTTTTTTGTGTTATTATCCACTGGTACCGCTACCAATGCTAGCGGTAGCGCTACCAGTGCTAGTGGTACGATACAATATGGTAGTGGTAGCGCTGTACTGGTAGCGTACCACTAGTACTGGTACATTTTTTAATGCACTGGTAGCGTACCACTAGCACTGGTATATTAATTACCAGTAGACTAATGGATTGGTACACTTTTTAACGCACTAGTACATCTTTTCAGGTTGCCAGAGGGAGTCTGCCGGAGAGAATTCGCCGGAGAAAAAGTCTGTCCGTCGATGCGGAGTGGCCGCTGGAGAAAGAAAGAGAGATAGATAGATAGAGATATTAATACATAAGATTTAAATTTAAAAAAAATATATTTAATATGAATTTTTAATTTCCAATATAATTAATACACAAAAGGTAATTAATATTTTTTTTTCATACCCAAAATACCCTTGGTCGTGAATATGACAACCCTTACGAGTTGTCACCGTATCCCTTCCCTGTAAGGATGGCAACTTTGCCCATACCCATGGGTTTCTTACTATCCAACCCAATTGGGTTGGGTATGAAATCCAAATAAATGGATATGGGTAGAGTTTGATGGGTTTGTACCCATACCCATTTACTTTGGGTTGAGTTGGGTTTATATCAAATGGATTTGCGTTTGTACCCATGCCCAAATACAAATTACAGTTTGGTACCCAAACTTAATAGATATGCATAATTAGTACCTAAATTTAAATTTTTTTTGCATATAAGTCCTCAAAATATCGATGGAAAATTACGTTTTGATACCTGAATTTTTTTGGTCTTACATTTTGGTACCTAAACTTTTCAAGTTTTGCAAATAGGTCCAATTTTGCATGTGTAGTTAAAACATCCTCAAGTAAATGGATATCCATATCCAACCCATACCCATTTAGATTATTGAAGCCCCAAACCCAAACTCATCTATAAACCCCCAAATCCATATGCACTTCACCCATACCCAACCCATTATCAATGGGTCTACTTTGGTTTGGGTATAATTACCCATGGGTGGGTAATTTGCCATCCCTACTTCCCGGTAACTAATTCATGGCCAGAGCAGAAAAAAAAAAACTTAATTTGTAAAATTCAATAATTTGATTCAACGAAAAAAACAACAACTAAATTATGGGTTTCCCACATTCTACAATCCGAGTATACAGCATGTCGACAAAATTTTCACAAGAAAGGAAAAAAAGGAACCATATAGAAAGAAGAGTTTCATCCGTTCAAACACTTCATCACCTAATACGTTACCAAATCCTGGTTATACGATCAGCGATCCTGATCACCATTATCTTCCCCGAATCAGTATAACAAGCATGGTTGTCAAACCGGTTTCATGCCGACCGGTTCAACCGGTACCGGTCAGCAAACCGGCTGGAAAGGGACTGGTATTTAATTGTGGTCAAATCCGGTCAATACCGGTCAGACCCGGTCAAATCCGGAAATTCCGACCGGTTAGACCAGAAACCGGAATTTAGTAGTACACATTATATCCAAAAATAAACATCCTCCATAGGATTTGAACCAAGTACCTCATGTTCATTTAAGTTTAACTCACACACCAGTAGGCTACAAGCAATTTTGTTGTCTATATTAACCTTGTATGTTATATACCTAATACTAAATTTTACACAAATCATTATAAACATTAATCAACTTCATTTAATAAAATTTTGTTTTTAAGCATCTAATTGTTTAGTATTAGTTATCAATTCTTGGCTATAAATTATTTTGTGTGAAATAATTCTTCTAATTGCTTTTTGAGGATTAATTTATTTGGAATTGAGGATTTCCATTTTCCTCATGTATTTTATTAAAACCGGCACAACCGGCATGAATACGGTCACACCATTCCACTTACAAAACCGGCACACCGGCATAAACCGGTTTGACAACCTTGATAACAAGCCTACCCTTAAACTCTGCCTCCCTATTTCTCATTTTCCCCTTACTTTCCTTCTGTGTCTTCCTCTTCAAACTCGTTCCCAGAGGAGCACAACGTGCGTTGACTCGAAATTAGCAATCCCAATAACCTGGGGAGTCCGGTGAATCGGAAAGTTTACCTTCCGATGAAGCCAAGCCAGTGAAGGAGAATTGCCAATAGCAACATGAATATAGCCAGGATCAGGCCCGGTTTGCCAAGTAACAAGTTCTTCGCCTTCTTTGCACCTGCAGCTCCTCTTTGGAGCCTATCCATCCATCTCATCTGTTGTAACAATTTCCATCAGGAACCCCATTTTCATTGGGTACCAAAAAACTAAACCGAAAATTTTGTTGAACGGAGCATAAGTAAGAGAACACACACCATTTTGTCCAAGTCTTCAGGGGATAGAGATGACATGGCTTGCTGAGCTTTTGCTGCATCTTCTGGAGAAAGTTGGACTCCAAACTGCTTACTCATGTTAAGCAATCATATCCGGACTCATGTTTTGCATCATTGAAGTGAACATCTGGTAGTTTAGCAAATAGTACACTTTAGGATTCAATAAACTGAGAAAAGAAAAAGTCCAGGACTTCGTACATAACTAGCAACGTGGAGTTCTTTTGGTTAACAAATATGCGGTTTGCTCTCAGCAGTTTCCCAGGGGAAGCTGGAGATTTCCTTTAAATACAAACCCACTTCTTTTTTCTTCCTCTAGGGGTGTGGTAGTTCATCATCATGTTGGAAATTACAAGCCCAACGCGATAAACCGAAAGGGGATCAGAAATGCATACCTGCCGTGTCGCTGGATCATTCATTTGATTTCTCAACTGCTCTTGCAGGTCACCACCCGAGCTTGAAAAACTTGGCTGATCACTCATTGACCTCGAAAAGAGACTGCCAGAGGAACTAGGGTCACCACTATTTTTGTCATTCAAAGAATTACTTTCCCGAGCTTCTGTATAGTTTGAAACTTTGCTTGAACTAGATGCATGTTGACGCGAGGTTCCTCCTTTTGCAGCGGAGTCCTTTCCTCTAAGAGAGGATGCCATTTCAACCATCTTTTGAAGCTCTTCTGGCGGCATGTTGCTCATCATTTCAGAAGCGGTTTTAATCATGTCCGGGCTCATATTTGGAGGAACGGCACCAGGTCTGATACTATCAACACCATTACTGTATGGATTCCCTCCCTGGAATGAAGATGTCATCTGAAGCATTTTTTGCAGCTCATCGGGAGACATCTTTCCAATCATATTTGCAGCAGTCTTGAACATATCTGGAGAGATATCAGCAGCTTTCCCACCACTTATTGAAGCTAAAGTTTCAGGATCAGCATTAGAGATGAAATTCTGGAAAGACCTGCAGAAGGGGAGAAAATGCAATTAATTATTTGGTCAATAGGCAAGAGTGCCTGAAGTCCAAGAGAGGGTTAGACAGAAATGGATCATCACCACAGCATGCAATAAGCTATATCGCAAGAATTGGTTTTCCATCAAAATTAGATTGATCTGTAGACAATCAAAGTATTCCATGCCCCCAAATACAGAACAGGGTTCTGTTCTCAAGTTATTTCACATTTTCACTTCCATCCCTCAATTCAAACAGCTCATTTCTCTCAGCTGTTTAACAAAGGCAAGGAGATATTCCGCGCTTCTCAGGAAAACAGAAAAAAGTAAAACTAATAGATATCTTTGGAAAGAGAAAACAAAAGTTAACCTGTGCACAGGAAATGTATATTAGGGAAATAACATTGCACGTACAGTAGTTCTTAAGGGCCATAGAACAAACCTTACGGCTTCCGGGTTATCTTTTAAGGCATGCAAAGACTCTGAACTGGTCATTGAACCCCCAATATTAGTCTGGCTTCCAGTGCTTTCCACATTCCTCCTATACTGTTGAGGAATTTCAGGATTTCCAGAAGATGAATCTTCAGTTATCTCTTCAATTACAACTCCTGATCCAACACACAGATTACTGTTACTTTAAACCTTTGAAATCAAGCACAGTAAGAGAGAAAGGAACATAGGCTGGATAGAAACAGAGACAAGGAGACAAAGAATAACCTACCCTTTGGTGCCTGGTAACTACCCTGTTCAGTGAAACTTTCTTCAGCATTACTGTACAGAAATTTGCAGGAATTAGCCAAAGACAGAGCACAATGAACCTGGTTGTTCAATAAAATTTGAACAGCCAAGGAGGAAAAACCAGATTGACAAGACAAAGCCTATCTTCAGTAATGACAGGTTTGGATGCCAAACAAGTATATGCAATGAAGAGGTCCAGGTCAATATAGAGCACTCATCAATTACATATTAGCTTAAGAGAGCCCCAAGGCACCAATACCTTAAGACAGCTGCGATAGTCTCATCATCAGGTGAAAGTTCATGTGCTTTAGCCAAATCAGAGACAGCATCCTAAAGACACGTATAAGTTTGACACGCTAGTTTAGAATACGTTAAACAAAATCAAATCCTCAGAGAAACTCAATAATAAGCTGGAATTTTTTCTTACTACAGACTTACTCGCAATTGTCCAAGTTCTTTGTAGGCTTGACCCCTACGATAAAGAGCCTTGACATTCTTACCATCATATGCCAACACCTAAAATAGACATACAAAAGATGGTTCTGATAAAAAAGAATTGCAAATGAGAAAATCATGGCGATACGGTATAGAGTAAAGAAACAAATTCAGTTCTTCCTGGCTATCAGGAAAACAAAAGAAGAAACTTGTTCTCGTAAAAACCAGTAAGGAATAAACCAAACAAGACCGTCTTCTAATATTCCCTACTCTCACAGATCAACTGCTCACTACCCGAACATGTCCATACCTCTGTTCCTTCTTTAATGCACTCATCATATTGTTTTGTCTTTAGGTAACAGGACATCAGATTGAGAGAGCATGCCAATAAAAGTGCACTGCCTTTGGAGGCTGTGTTTCCTTTAAGATTCTTCTTTGCCTAAGATACCAACAAAGGAAATAGAGGCCCGTCAACCTCTTAGGGAAACAATTCATAATCTTTAACAAACTCTATTATTGCAGCAGCGGGAACAGTGACAGAGAAAACAGAAAGGAGGGGGAACACTAACTAGCAAATATTTTTCTGATGCCTCGCTGAATTTTCCCTGGCTGTGAAGTTGATTACCCTGCCAAAATTCCAGTGACAATTGTAAAACTATTAAGTAAACGCACCTCATTAGTTTGTACCTATCCAAGTGAGTGTTGGCTATCTAAAAACAGAAACTTAGACAAATAATTGGAGATAAAAGGTAAATAAGATCGAAGGGAAACGAATGATCCATCTTTAAGGGGCCTCTCACCTGTTTCTTCAACATTTCAGCCGCATTCATCTTCTCACCAATCTCAGCCATCTCATCAGGACGTGTATACTTTAATTGCTCTGCCGCTTGCCTCAAGTCTTCAGGTCTCATGTTCTTCATGCTTTCAGATGCCATTTTCATCAAATCTGGATTAGAAAACATCTGCAAAACAAAAAGCAAGTGAACCCCAAGGCATACTGATAAAAGCAGCACACAAACTTGTAACCAATAAGCTCGATTAATCCCACGATATTGAATACCCAATATCACAGGTAATAGCCCCAATAGCAACACAATTCACCTCATGCTTGGGTTGATAGAGTAACAGTAGCATCAATCAAAATGTTGCCCAAATCTGAAGGCAGTAAAAGTTGGGGACCAGCACGAAAGTTCATTCATTATCCGAAACATTCTGCGAAATCGAAATTCACCCATTCGCCATCACAGAGAAAGGAACAGAATTGAAAATCCAGCTCGGTGATCAGACGCCAAAATCTATCCATTCGCTGCTATAGTAAAGAGGGGAAGACAGCGAACCTGCTGCTGGATCTTGGCTAACTCGCCTGGCGACATCCGACTCATCTGCTCCTGAGCAAGCTTGATGAGCTCAGGATCCATCATTCCGTTGAACATTCTCCTCTTTCCCCCTGCCAAAACGATGCCAATTCAACCTCAGGAAACTCGATTCAAACCGAGGATCGCCGCAAATAAATAAAAGACGATCCCAACTCCCAAGTAGAAAGAGAGCGAATTACGAATTCACAGACAAGATTGGGAGAAGGGAAGCACCGCTCGCACACTAAGGAAAACAATTTCGAATTCCGTGGACTCTTTCCTTTTCCTTTCCCTCCCAGAAACGAAGTCCGAGCGAGAAACAGAAAAATGTCGAATATGAAAAAGATGTGAGAAGGGATTCTGGTCAGATTCTTATCCAATCGATTTTCCGACGCCGGCGTCTCTATGTCGCCAAAAAGACCTGAGATTGACAATTCAATCGGGACAGCGATTGATTGCCCGGCGGTGGGTGGTGGAGAAGAGCTTTGCTAGGAAAGGAGAAGGAGCGAGCCGGGAACTTGGAAGGTTGAACAAGCGTAGCTTCTGGAATTTGAATTTACTCTTTTCACCCTGTTTGAACTTCCAGTTAGTGGAGAGCTGACGTGGCATGCACAGGGTGATTTTACTTACTGGGAATGAAACTGACTTGTCGTTTTGTTGTCAAAGCTAGACCAATAGTTGGTTAGGTTGAACCGATGGTGGGATGAGTTATGGTGATAATTGTACAATAGTTAGCACCGTCCTAACTAAGGGAAAAACTGCTACTAGTTTGAATTAGTAGTGATTTAGCTTAGATGTTGTATTGATTTTATAATAATCCGTAGTGATTTCGTTATTTTTAGTAGTGTTTTTTGCTAGTTATCACGGTGCTAACCCCTATAAGGATTAGCACCTAATCCCATCCCACCGATGGTCAGTTCGAATAGTTGATAGATCAGAGCCAACTGTCACATGTGGCAGATGACATGGCGCCAACAAGGTGACAACATGGCGGTTGCACATGTGGCGTGTATGGAAGACTAGTAGCATAGAGATGCTCCTAGGATTCTCCACCTAAATGAGAGCTTAATGGTGCACTTATGAGTCACATAATGGGTGACATTTATAGAGTGCATTATGGGGGAAACTTAATAGGATGTAGTAATGGGGAGGGACCATTATGAGGGGCATTGATGCCTTGTATGAGGAGAGGCCTATATAAGGAGTCATCTCCCTCACTTGTAACTCATCCATCATTTTTGTGAGCAATACAACTATAGAGTTTCTCCCATCTTCTTGTGTCTTGTGTCTTGTGAGTTGAGTGAGTTTGAGAGCTTGTGAGAAGGCTGCCTAGCATCTCTAACGGAATTGAGAGCTAGGGCCGCACGACCAAGAGTAAGGCCGTGACAGTTGGTATCAGAGCCTGGTTCTGAAAGAAGAACCGGTGTCCTCACTCCCCAAGAAGGAAGATAAGAAAGAGCGAGAGCCTCACCAAAGATGGCTGGATCAGAAGTCCATGACAATGCGGAAAAGCAGCGTGGAAGGGATACTGTGAAAAATCCCAAGTCAAAGGGTGACAAGTCCAGCACTCGTGATCCTATGACGTCTTTAGAGCGGCGTGTCTCTAGAGTGGAAGTGAAGTTGGCGGAAGACATCACTGCCATCGAGGATTTGGGAGGTAACTTCGCCCAAGTCGAAAGCGATATTCAAGGTTTGAATGCTCGTTTGTCGAGCTTGGAGATCAACCATGATGGGATGCGAGAAGAGCTCGTGGCTCTCATCACCAACACCATCTCCGAAACCGTGAGCACCGTCATTGCAGTCGTGAAAGAGCATGTCCAGGCCGAGCTGGTGGGCGTGAAGGAGGAGATTGCAGACCTCAAGAGTGAGGTCACTCTCGTGAAGAGAGCCATGGCTAACGGACCTGCCATCGCACAACCTACCTCAACCATGGAGATTCCTAGACCAAAGAGCTTTCAAGGGTCGAGGAATGCAAGGGAGTTAGAGAACTTCCTATGGAGCTTGGAGCAATACTTCGAAGCTTCGGGTATTCGAGATGAGAATACCAAGGTAAAAACTGCACCTCTCTACTTGAGTGATGTTGCCATGCTGTGGTGGAGAAGGACCCAAGGCGATATCAATAAAGGGGTGTGCGTGATGGAGTCATGGGATGACTTCAAGAGGGAGATCAAGAGGCAATTCTACCCAGAGAATGTTGAGTTTGAAGCCCGGTCGAGACTAAGGAGGCTTGCTCACGAAGGAGAGATTTGAGGGTATGTGAAAGAGTTTTCTGAATTGTTGCTCGAGATCCCCGACTACACCGACAAGGAGGCCATGTTCACCTTCCTTGACGGCCTCCAACCATGGGCGAAGTTGGAGCTACAACGGCGAGGCGTTCAAAGTCTTGTCGAGGCAATGGCGATTGCCGAGTCCCTAGTCGAGTACCACGAGCCAGAGGAACGTGTGGAGTTCGGAGGGAATGGAGGTGGACGCGACTATGATAGAGACACACGAAGGCGTGGTAGACTGGACCAAGGAGGTAGTCATAAGGTAGAGAAACCACTTACTTGCTTTCTTTGTGATGGTCCACATCGTGTGAGAGATTGCCCAAGAAAGCACAAGTTGTCGGCCATTAAGGCCGTACTGGCAGAGTGCTCGAGCTCGGAAGAGGAAGCAGAGGAGACTCCTAGAGTGGAGCCCCATGTCGCGAAGATGGGTTGCATGAAGAGATTGAGCGCCATCAAGCGGGCGGAAGAGCCTCTCCAACCCGAGCAGCACAGCCAATGCTTCGTAGAGGCGAAGCTCAACCAAAGGAAAACAAAAGCCTTGGTTGATACTGGGGCAAGTTGCAACCTTCTTGACGTAGGTGAAGCACAGAGGCTAGGCATCACGTACGAGAAGAAGCAAAGAGGGTGGATGAAGGCTACCAACTCAAGGGCCACAAGAACTCATGGAGTAGCGCGCCAGGTGCCACTCAAGCTTGGAGGATGGACCGGGGTGGCGGACTTTGAGGTTGTGTCGTTGGATGATTATCAGGTCATCATCGGCATGGAGTTCATGGTGCGGGAGAAAGCTTTCCCGATTCCCTACGCAAATAGATTCTGCATCAATGGTGGAGCAAGGTTGGTTCCCATGAAAAGAGAGCAACTTGCGTCAAACAAGAGTTGTTTGGCGAGAAAAGGGAAGCAAGAAGTGGCAACGATGGTGGAGGCAGCGGCTCACTCAAAGACTCGTTGGAGAAGGATGAGAAGGAGTGCACCACATCGTGGAGCCATGAAAGACGAGGAGGGGTCACCTTCGACTTGCCAGGAGAAGCAAGGAAAGGCCACCATGATCGAAAAGGCGGGACACTCGGAGACGCGACGGAGAAGACCGCGGAGGAGTGCGCAACATCATGGGAGCACAAGGCTCGAGAGCGAGCCAGGGCCATCCTTGGTTTGGAGGAAGGTGCAACGAGACCTTGCAAGCAACGAAGCTAAGGCAAGGAAGGCGTCTGCCAAAGAGCCACGACGAGGGCGTCGTGGATTGAGTGAAGGAGAATGTCACCAACGAGGCTCAAGAGTCGAAAGAGGCTGCTCGAGGTCGAAGGAGGCATTTCGTAGCAAGGACGCGACGAGGGCGTCGCGAGCATAGGTGGGGGAGGATGTCACATGTGGCAGATGACATGGCGCCAACAAGGTGACAACATGGCGGCTGCACATGTGGCGTGTATGGAAGACTAGTAGCATAGAGATGCTCCTAGGATTCTCCACCTAAATGAGAGCTTAATGGTGCACTTATGAGTCACATAATGGGTGACAATTATAGAGTGCATTATGGGGGAAACTTAATAGGATGTAGTAATGGGGAGGGACCATTATGAGGGGCATTGATGCCTTGTATGAGGAGAGGCCTATATAAGGAGTCATCTCCCTCACTTGTAACTCATCCATCATTTTTGTGAGCAATACAACTATAGAGTTTCTCCCATCTTCTTGTGTCTTGTTCTTATGAGTTGAGTGAGTTTGAGAGCTTGTGAGAAGGCTGCCTAGCATCTCTAACGGAATTGAGAGCTAGGGCCGCACGACCAAGAGTAAGGCCGTGACACAACCCAACGGGTTAATTAGATCTTCACAAATCTTGAAATGTCATAGTACGACCTAAACGGTGTCGTTTATGGTCAGACCCTTGCCAGCCATTGCCAATCCGCCGTTGGCGCAAACTATTCCCTAACCAGTTTGACGGAACTCGGAAGGAAGACTCCGTCGCCTCGAACCTCCACAACAGTCCACACCTCTTTGCTTTCACTCCCGCAGCAAAAAATGGCGTCGAGGGTCGCAATTCTGAGAAGCATCGTCGGCAATATTGGGCGCAGCACTTCAGTATCCAGACGTTGGATACACAATGTCGCCGCCGCCATCATAACTCCGTCGTTGAACAATTGCCTCCACCATCCGTCTCTTCCTCCGCCTCTGCTATTTCCGTGGTCTCTTCCGAACCCGGGGAGGGATGGCGAGTGGAGAAACGACGTGGGAATTGGTGGCGATTTGGGAGGATTAGGGTTCCCGGGTTTCCCTGGCGGCGAAGCCATGGAGCTAGCTGTTCCTAAGAGAAAGGTGAGAACTTTCTCTCCGTTTTTTGCTTCTTTTCTCACTGTTGATCCTTACCCTTCATTCGGCAGAGAAACGAACTTTGCACTGCGTATATGTGAACAGAAAGATTTGATTTTTTTAATGTGTGAGATTGAAGATTTGGGATGGTGGAGTTATCTGTTGTCTTGTGGAGCTGATTAGGGTTTAGGGTTTGGGGTCTATGTCAAATTCTTGCTCAGTTTTAGGGTTTAGAACTTTGCAAATGTCTAGTTAGGATGACAGCATTTCTGTCCTGCATTACTATCTGATTATGTTATTGATCATCGTGTTTTCTGTACCAATCAATGCAGGTTACTCCTCATAAGAGAGGAATAAGAAATGGTCCAAAGGCTTTGAAGCCAACACCTGTGATTATTCGCTGTCGGTAAGGGATTACACATCTCTCTCATGCTTAATGATAGTGGGATTACTACTCCATAGTCTTACCTTATAATGATTGCTGGAAGTTCCAAGTGTTCATCGGCTAGTTCGAGTTACGCATTTGGAGTTGAAGCTGGGCACGATGTGTGGAGAAAGTCAGATTATTGATCACCATTGTGAAAATTTTGAATCTTTATGAAATGTTTGAGCTTCTTATTTATTGAACTTCAATTTCCTGAATGCGGAACATAGATATGCACTTTGAGTTGTTCTGTTGGCTGTTGTAATTGAAATTCGGTGTAGAATGTCATGAAAAACTTCTGCTTCGTGTTTCCCTCTATTGTACTGAGAGTTGTCAAGAAATTGAATGCCACGATCTTTGAAAATGGAGTTAAAACCAAAATGACATTCTTTTCTTCTTCGAAAAACTGTTTTGCTGTTTGAAATGAGTGTCTTGGCCCTCATGAGGGTAAAATATTTCCTCTTCATCACATAAAACAATGCTTAAACTTTTCCCTTGTCTGATAACATATGCATTTGTGTCCTGTTCGTGCAGGGTTTGTGGCCGTGTTAAGCTGCCACACTTCTACTGTTGCAGTGGACGCAAGGAGACCGTGAACGAGAAAAATGGCTAAAGTCGTAATACAATGAACCGAGTTCTCTATGTGAAGCAGCTTAAGGGATTGAAGATCTCAGAGCTAAAGCGAAATTCTTGTATGCCTTTCCCCCCCTTGTTATCATTAGAGCTTCTGCAGAGATATCTTTACTTGCTGGTGGTTGTGCTTCATTTGTTTTGTTCTGTTTCCTAGAAATGCCCTAACTTCCTATCAATAAGTTTCATCACCCCCCTTTTCATGTTCAGAAGATCATTATCTGTTGTGGCGACACCAGCTTGCTTTAGCAACTGAAGTGGTTTAAAAGATTTTAGTGTTGGGCTGAGATTTGATGCCTCGTTTACACAACTGAATTCTGTGTCAAAATCCAATGGCTTTATGTAGCTTAAAGTTACTTCAGTTCTGTTTAGAGACTCTCTCACTCAATGTAGATGACATTAAGGCAAGCCTTTCAGTTATAGTTACTTTAGTTACAGTTTAAAGGAGCATGTAAGGTATTTAGCCTTAAGCCAGAGTCGGAAGGATGAACACCCTAACTATGAAGTCTTTTCCATAATTAGATTGAGATACATGATGACAGATTGATCCAAGTTGAAACAGAGCAACAATGTCAAGATTTGACTAATGAAAGGAAACAAGTTTATTTGGGAAAACGAAGCTGCCAAACAACAAACACCGAAGGTAAACTCCACAATTCAACTCGAATTCTCAGCAATGAACCTCTTGATCACTTCCATCAGCTTCTTAGCAGGTTCGGCTTCAGGGTCAATGGTGAAGAACCCATGTTGCTGGCCTTCGAACTCGACGTATTCGATCTTCTTCCCCATCTCAGTAAGCTTCTCTGCATAAACTTTTGCACGATCTTTCAGAAGATCACTTCCCCCAACCACTACCAGGACCGGATCAAGAGCCACCGGTTCCAGATCCTTGCTGCTCGGCCCAAATGGGTTTATCAATGGGTGATCAGTTGTGTCTCCAACTGGAACTGACAGTCTCCAGAACCTTATAACACAACACAATTCGCAGTCAATTTAACATACCAAGAAAACAGAGTACTTGAACTTTCAGAAAGAAAACAGAGTCTCGCTTTCAGTTACCAAACCTGTCAATGAGCTCCAAATTCAGAAACGCATCTACAGGCCCATTAGCTTCCGACTCGCACAAAACCGTCCCGCCGAAAAACGGCGCCAGAAGCACATAACCCTTCACCACAACCGGACCCAATTCAACCGACCCGGCTCCGACCCTAACCGCCAAATTGTGAGCAATGTTCCCGCCGGCCGAGTCACCGGAAATGAACACGTTCCCAAAATCCGCCACGTCAGTCAGCCACGTGTCCGGCTCTTCCGCCAGAGCCTGCCCCTGAAGCCACTTCAGAGCCGTGTACCCGTCCTCAATCGCCGCCGGGAGACGGTCCTCCGGCGCCAGCCGGTAGTCGGGGGCAATCACCACCGCCTGGAGCTCGGTGGCGAGCTTGAAGCAGTAGTTCTGGCAGTTGGGCCAGGTGCGGGAGCCGATGCAGAAGCCGCCTCCGTGGATGTAGTAGAAGATTGGGAGCTTTGTGGTGGCGGTGGCGGCGGTGGTGGGGAGTGAAGTGGGTTTGTAGAGGCGGAGTTGGAGGTTGTTTGCAGGGTCAAAGACTGAATCTTTCCATTCGACGGCGGCGTTTGGGGTGATTGGGACGTTGAAGCTGGGCTGGGAAGATCGCCAGATTGTGCCGTCTTTGTATACTCGGAGGACTCCCCTGCAATCTTCGAAATCGGTGGGAGTGGTTTCTGACATTTTTGGGGTTTGTGTGGGTTTGATTGAGAGAGGATGGTTGGAATTATAGGAGGAAGTTGGCAGGGGATTTTGTAGGGGTGGCTATACGGTTCGGTTAAATTGGACCAAATTGATCCGGTTCCAGTCCGATTTTTTCGGGAATATAAGGATAAAAAATTGGATTGGATATACTCTGGTTTTGATCCGGTCCGGTCTTGACCCGGTTCGTTCCCAATTTGATTTTGATTTTAGATTGAGCTTGTGGGGATTTGAGTGTTGGGGTCTTTTATCCGGTCTTTATCCGGGTTTTTTACCTCAAATCTAAGCCCGAATATGATATTGGATTGTTTGCTATCCGGTCCCAGTCAGGTCCCGGTCCGGGTTATATGGTCCGGTTTCGGGTAAAACCAAACAGTCCTGGACCAAATTGCCAGCCCTAGGATTTTGATGTGTAAAAGAGGAAGTTTAGATACTTCTTTTATGGCAAGGGAGTTGGCGACGGATTTGGGTCCGATATTCAGTATTTTGATACGAATATGGTTGTGTTTTTTAAATAATGGTTTATTCTCTTAATTTTATGTTCATTTACACCAAATTGGTGTTCTTGCAACCGTGATGGTTATTACGTAAAAGGTAATGGTTATTCATGCAATCTAATATTTATTCACACATGTTATTTAAGTTTGAAAAAGATATCAAAATGAATGTCATTGTGTTTATTATGATCAATGCAACTCGTTTCTTAAACAAAAATTGAAAATCAAAATTTAACTCTATAAAATATAACCAATAAAAATTATTAGAGGGAAAAAGAAAAATTTATCATTCCATTTACGTGAATAACCACCACTCTTACCTGAATAATCAGTAAAGAACCTCTACCGTGTGTGAATTAAATGTTAGGACTCCTATAAAGACAAGGAACCTTTTAGTTAGAATCGTTCAGAAAATATGGAGAACTACCCAACAAAGAAATGCATGGTGCTTTCTTTCATCACCTTCATTTCTTTATTTGTTTTAGGTAATGATGAAGACAAACAAAAGAGTTGGTGGCAAAGGTTGTTGTCTTGTTTGCATGACCAATTTATAATGACATTGGATTAGGTCCATCCGTGTTCTTCCACTAATTAGCCGGCCTCCAATGCTTACAAAAATGGTGATGATTTCTTTTTTTGTAGTGTTGTAGGGGTCGTTTGTTGCACAATAGAATCATGGGATTAAAAGTTGTAGGAATTTAAACAGATTTCAAAACCTCTATTAATGGTTTGTCAAGTGGCTTTGGAGGTACCGTGCACATTTTATAATATATATATATAAATGAAAAATAACAAGTTCGGTGTGCAAAGTTCTAATAGTACTTAATAGAAAACAGTTACATAACACAGCCTCGAGAGAACAGAAAACACAAGAAACCGGAGAAAATAAAAATGAGAAACTTAATTAGATTGAATTTTTAACGACAAATTTGCTAATTAGATTCATCACCGACTCTGCTGCTTCCGAGTCTGGATTAATGCTGAAGAACCCATGTGGTTGTCCTTCAAATTCAGCATATTCAACCGACTTTACCAAATTCTTCAACTTCTCGACGTAGTCTCTGATACGATCAACGAGAATATCACTCCCGCCGGAAACCACAAGAATCGGATCCATCTCCGCCGCTTCCACGGCTTTGCTCCTCGCTCCAAATGGGTTCACCAAAGGATGGTCGCACGTGTCTCCCACCGGAATCGAGCATTTCCATAACCTACACATCCATATGGAACCGTACCATGTCAAAATAGTTAGCAAAAATTAAACTCTAGAAATTAGGGATGGTGAAATTGTACCGAAAATTATACTAAAACGTTAGCGTGGTAGGGTATTTTGTATTAAAATCGTTATTCGGCCGTTTCTTGCCGTCAAAATCGCCTACTCCGACTAACTGGTATGGTTAGGGTTTCTTAAACATTGTGAATATATATGACGTTTTACCTACTTAACCTAAAGATCCATGCATGTGGTAAGGAAAATGGTTACATATCATTCACGGACCTCCCAACAACTCGAATTATTGAAACTAGCTAGTATGGGTTTATGATAACATGGTATCAAAGCTGGTTTGTTTTTTTAGGTCACGTGGTCGAGTCCTCACATAAGACCCCAGTACGCAAACTATTCAAATCCATTAGTTGACTTTCATTTGAGAATGTATTTAAGAAAGTGGTTAATTATTATATATAAATCTCTTTCAACAATTCGAATAATTGACACCCGCGAGAACTAAAAAGAAAAACTTACCAGTCAACGAGTTCAAGGTTGAGCATAAAATCTTTGGGAGCCTCGGCTTCCGATCTGGTCCTCACCGTCCCTCCAAAAAACGGCGCCAACAGCACATACCCCTTAACCTTAACCGGCGCCAGCTCCGGCGCCCCGGCTCCAAGCCTCACCGCCAAATTATGAGCAATGTTCCCTCCCGCCGATTCCCCACAAACAAACACATTGCCATAATCCGCCACGTCACCCAACCACCCATCCCCACGTCCCTCGGCTTGATCCTGGAGCCATTTCAGAGCCGCGTAGCCGTCCTCGACCGCTGCGGGGAGCCGGCTCTCGGGAGCCAGCCGGTAGTCGGGCGAGACCACCACGGCTTGGAGCCGGGACGCGAGCCGGTAGCAGCAGTTGTGGCTGATGGGGTCGGCTCTGGAGCCGATGCAGAAGCCGCCGCCGTGGAAGTTGTAAATGACGGGGAGCTTGTTTAAATTGTTGTTGTTAGGGGAAGTGGGTTTGTAGAGGCGGAGGGAAAGGTTGTGTTGAGGGTCAAAGGTGTAGTCTTTCCACTGGACGGAGCCGCCGTCGTCGTCGATGACCGGGACGTTGAAAAGGCTGCCCGGAGAGGCGCGCCGGACCGAGCCGTCTTTGTAAACTGTGAAGAGTCCGAGGCTGTCTTCGAATGCAACGGCGGCGTCAGACATTGTCACTGAGATGAAAGGATTAAGAGAATTAGGACAATAATGGGAGAAATGAATGCCACTCGATCGTGATTTGTGATCCATAATCAATCATCGGTCTTATTATATATACACACACATCGACTTAGGTCTTAGGTAGTTTCCGGCACGGCCGGCGTTTGAAGTTGTTGACCGGTCTTTTTTGCCGGCGAGCTATATATATTTATTTGCTTGCTTGAAAAAAATTGGAACAACTAAGTTAATTATTGGAGGCCGCCCTCCTTTATATACCATGAATTTAATTTACTAGGACGCTAAACACGGAAAACTCTTACCATCAATCTTGGTTGGACTCAGAATTCCAACTACGATCCACATATCAGTTTGTTATTGGTAGAGCATTGTCGGTGCAGAGAGTGGTTCTCATAGGTGAAGCATTGTTGGTGAGGGGTTCTTTTGTATCCCACGTGCTTATGGGAAGAGGAGTCTGCTGAGCATTTATTTTTCCATTGTCGTTTGGCTGAGGCATGAGGGATTTTGGGTGGCGTCTAGGCTAAGTTTTCTTTGAAATGAGTTCGCTTCTGGCTCAGTCGAAGTGTTCTGGCGACGATTTCTTGACCATCCAGCTGTAGTGGAAGGAATGCTCATGCAGGTCCTTGCTCTCTTTTGGCGTATATGGAAAGCACGAAATTGAGTGATTTTTTACTCCACACTGTTTACACCTGATGTGCTCCTTTCTCAGTTCAATATACAGGAAGCGGAGTGGGAGGCGGTACCTTCGAGTGGGATTACATCTTTCCCTGCTCCTGGGATTGGGCTGGGGGGTAGGGGTGGGGTGCAAGATAGGGTGGGGCGGTGTGGGTGTTCACGGATGGCGTCGTTAGCTCAGGGTCTCATGGTGCAGGTGGTTGGGTTCTGGAGGATGCCTCAGGGACGCTGCTTGAGGCGGATGCCTCTTTGTACCCAAATGTGCAAAATCCTTTCTTGGTGGAGCTCCTAGCTTTGCAGAACGGGGTCCGGTGGGCGCTTGAGATGGGTGTGCAAGATGTCTTCGCTGGTGATGCTCAGGTGGTGCTAGACAAGGTGAAGGAGGACTTGTGTTCGGATGCTCGTGGTGGGGCGAACTTGAGCAAGATTAAGGTGTTGCTGCAATGTTTTCTCCGATCTAGTGTTTGTTTTGTTGGTCGTTCTCGTTATCGTAACTAAATCAAGAATTAAAATATAAAAAAAAAAGATGAACTCACCAATAGGAAACTGACATGTGACTGGTTGGCAACTAAGATTGGAGCTAATAATTTTTCACTAAACCCTTATCATTTCAATATTTTATATTAACCGGCATTTACTAAAATTGTCGTAGTATATATCGTAATAGAATATATATATCCGGCTTTCATATTTGACCGGCACATAGAAATATGAGATATGCAACTAACAATTTAGATGAGATTTTTAAAGAAAATAATAAGACCGAATAAAGCACATCATGGAGTAGCCGTGTTTTGGTTGTTAAAGCAATATAAAAACTAGAACTAACAGAAATGATGTCTTAGTTTCTTCATTACTATTGAATTCAATCAGCCAATTTTATACTAAAGGTAAGATTGTCTAACGGTAAAGTTGCAGGATTGGGAGTTGTAAAGGGGCTTGCTATTTGCCGCCAACCAAATTGCTATTTGCCGCCAACCAAAAAAAAAAAAAAAAAAGTATATATATACATAGTAGGGTAAGGAGTTTCACAATCTACAACATATCCAACTTTCAGAGAACATACTGAATCAGAAAAATTCAACGCTCGCCGGAAAAGTCGCCGGAAAATCATCGGGAAAGCCTATCCTCGACATATACTGCGTACACGCATCAATGAATCATCACTAAGCAGGTGCGTAATTTTTTTGTAGTTTCGAACAATTTTTCCGACGATTTGAAACGAACAGACGGTGGGCCGAAAAATTCCGGCGGCCGGAACCAGGCTGAGCCGCAAGATATTTTCGGCCCGGCCAGGTTCCAGCCACCGGAAATTTTCGGCCCGGCCAGGTTCCGGCCGCCGGAAATTTTCGGCCCGGCCAGGTTCCGGCCACCGGAAATTTTCGGCTCACAGTATGTTTTTGCAATTTTTCGGAAAAATTCGATTTTAGGAGTTGAATTTAGAGTTTAGGAGTTGAATTTAGAGTTTAGGAGTTGAATTTAGCGTGTAAGAATTGAATTTAGAGTTTAGGAGTTGAATTTAGCGGTTAAGAATTGAAATTAGCGTTTAGGTTCACAGGAATATTGATATATTATATTGTAATTGTAGGAAAAATGTCAGAGTTGTTACCGACCGATCATGATTACACACATGAATTTGAGAATGGGATCCATTATGCAAGTGTGGAGTTAGCTGAGTTAGCTGCAAGAACAATCGCTCAGCAGTGTGGGTTCTTTATTGTTAGAGGATCATGGAAACCGAATACTGCTGGACAGAATCCTGTTACTGCCCTCTGTATGTATTGCGACAGAAGTAGTAGGATCGTTAAGTCTTATAAACCAGACCCTACGAAGGAGACGCGTGAGAATATTAGTTCGAAGGGTACTGGTTGCCAGTTTCAGATATGTATAAAGGAAGTATGGAAAAAGGATGGTCCAAACACATGGGTCATGGTGGGAGTGACAAGTCGTGAAACCGGAGCTAATAGAGGGTTTCACAACCATGAAAAAGGTGTTGTATCCAGAACATCACCGACACAACAAACAGTTTAGTGAGGCTGAAAAAGAGAGGTTAAGATTAATGAGGAAGGCGGGGGTGAGACCAAATCAGCAGAAGACGACACTCAATACTGAAGGGGGTGTGCATCATGATATCAAACAGATGTACAACATAAATTCCAAGACAAGATTGGATGAGATGGGTGAAATGGATGCGATACATTTTGTGCTTCACGGAGCTGAACATCGTGGGTACCATATCTGTTTGCAAAAGGACTCTAATAATGTGCTCACTAATATGTTTTTTGCGCACCCGACGTCCATTCAGATGTTGCATGCATGGCCGTACGTCATCCTCATTGACTCGACCTACAAGACCAACAGGTACGGCTGGCCATGGGTTGAGATTATTGGGGTTACTCCAGTGAAGAAGAATTTCAACATTGCATGTGCAATTATTAAGCAGGAAACATATGAGTGGCTGCTGCGATGTATTAAAGGGTTTCTCGGTGATACGGTTCCGAATGTCATTGTGACAGACAAAGAAGGTGGTTTGCTTGCTTCTATTCCTGTGGTCTTCCCTCTCCCACATACTGTCCACCTACTATGTTTATGGCACGTCAACAACTGTGTGAAGCAAAAGTTTGAAGTGTTACTTGGTGGAATTGCAAAAAGAGAGGTAGCACAGGCGGTATGGAAGAAATATTTCGACAAAGCTGCATGGAGTTGGACTCAGGAGGGTTTTCTTCAAAAGATTAATGAGTTTGAGAGGGTCTGGACAGTGAAGAACAAAAAAATGGTCGACTACGTGCGAGGTGAGTGGTTGCCTCATCAGACAATGTGGGCAATGTGCTACACGAACCATGTGTTTCATCTTGGTAACACGAGCTCGAATAGAGTTGAGTCATCTCACTCTTCATTCAAGACTTTCCTTGTGTCTGGTAGAGGAGCGATCGACACTTGTTTTGCGAAGAACCACAACTACATGGAACATCAGTTTCTGGAAGTGGTGAATGAACTGCACAAGTCACTGAACCGCAATCTGAGTAGGGCAATTGAGGCTCCGTGCACGTTTTTGAGGAGGGTCGTTAGTTCTGAGGCAATCAAACTGATGTTAGATGGGGCGGCGGAGTTGAAGGACAGTTGTGCGTGTCATTTTCAGATGACACATGGGCTCAAGTGTGCTTGCCAGATTGTTCAAGCTAAGGAAGAAGGACGTCAATTCTATGCTCAAGAGTTGCATGTATTTTGGCGGACTTTGGATTATAAAAACCCCCCACGTCAACAACAAGTCAGTGATGAAATTGAGCTTCAACGAGAACACTTTAGGCGTCTTACTGTTGAGGTGGAAGAAAGAGGTCCTGAAGCAGTGAGACAAGCAAGAGATGCCCTATTCTATGGGCTTCATCCAGCAGAGGACAATGTGAGGGAACCGGAAGTGAATGAGAATCCGAGAGGACGCCCTAGAACAAGCACCAGTCGCATTCGTTCATATTATGAGCGGTCTCGTTCGAGGAGTACTGGGCCTGGTTCGAGTGGAGGTAGGGGGCGATCGAGTGGAGGCAGATCCCGATCGAGTGGAGGCAGATCCCGATCGAGTGGAGGCAGATCTCGATCGGGTGGAGGCAGATCCCGATCGAGTGGAGGTGAATCCGACGAGCATGATACAGGTGAGTAATTGGTTTAATATCTAGTAGTAATTGGTTTATGTTTGTAAATTTTTTTCATGTAATTTTGACCGTTTGGTATATTTTTGTAGATTACTCATCCCAGAGCCCCCCAGGGCAATATTCTTACCCTTACATCGATGAGCTTTTTCCAGAGTTTGTTCGACCTTTGCTGGTAGGCGATTTCAACCCTAGTCCAGATGGCCATTGTGGTTTTAGGGCACTTTCTCATTGTATTTATGGGGATGATAGTCACTATCTGCTCATGAGATCGACGATTGTCCAAGAAATCCAACAACATTTTTGGAAGTACGAGAACTTGTATAATGGTGGTCCACTAGCTCACATTGACCGCATCAATTGGCTCGAGGCGGGTCACGCACCACCGGGGCGATGGATGGATTCTGAGGACTTGTTCGTGTTTGCCACCATCTACAACATCGCAGTCATGGTCTTCACATACCAGGTGTTTGATGTCAATAATGGAAACCGTCCACTACCCAACCGCTACGATGATGCCTATACTGTATTGCCTATTGATGCGGACCCAGGTACTTTGCCACCAACCATGTTCTTATCACTGCACTATGTGAACAACCACTACATTCGATTGTACTTCAACCAGAATCAGTTTCCTATACCCCCTTTGCATCCACTTTGGAATGGGATCACAAATCCTAATGTGGCGGAGTGGGGAGCTATTCTCGAGGTTGGACAGAATTTGTTTGCGAGCCTTGGTGGTCGGCAGCGAGCACGGCAGAGAGACCCCCGAAGAGCTAGGGGAAGGGGTAGGGGTAGGAGCAATGCATAGTGTTGCAATACTCTATTTATATGTTGTTGTTTTTCTAGTTGTATTTTTAATGACCCTAGTGTCATTATGAACTTATGGATTTCATTATGTTCTAGTTGTATCTTTTTAATGACCCTAAACATGCAGTCTAAACACAAACATCCGATCCAAACATACATAAGTAGTCAAACATCCGATCTAACACACAAACATGGAAACATGCAGTCTAAACATAAACATCTGATCCAAACATACATAAGTAGTCAAACATCCGATCTAACACACAAACATGGAAACATGCAGTCTAAACATAAACATCCGATCCAAACATACATAAGTAATCAAACATGGAAACATCAAAACAACTAAAAATCCCCTGGAGGAGGGGGGAGTCCCTGAGAAGCCCAGTACTTAGTCCACACATCCTGCACTCCGTGCAGTGCCCTGTAGGCTCGTCGATAATGCTCAAGAAACTCCTCTTCGGTCCCTGCTGCTGCTCGAACCGCAGGTGCAAACGTGTACAAAAGGTCGCGACCACGCTGCATAAAAAAGAAACAAGAACAATTTTTAGTTTCATGCTAAGTATATTTATAATAGAGTAACGATATAATGGTCAATTCTTACCGCTGCGGAGTCAATAAGTCGATCTGCTTCTTCATCATCCCGTAGGACTCTACAATGAGAGTGCGCCACGAACCAGTCAAGATAGTCTCTCGTAGTCTCATATGGATACGTCGTCCACGGCCGAGAGTACATGTCTATATGAACCATGTGGGATAGCAGAGCATCCCATGCAGCATCAAAACTCTCAGGAATCCAAAGGACATATCCACCAAGTGCCTCTGGTCGGTCTGCTCGCTGAGGACGCGAAGGGGCAGGCGGTACCATCTGAACATATCCAAACTGTCGGAGGCAACGGGCTGGATCGTAGAACTCGCCTATGTCAGCGAACCGGATGACTCCAGTGTACAAAGAGCGACGCACTGCCTGATGAGGCCTCTGATGGAAAGGTGTCCAAAACACATCAGAAGGGGTCAAGCTGTCAAGAGCTCGACGGTAGAACGCCAACCTCACACTGGGATCCGCCACAGAACCAGGTGCCGGCTGCCCAATCCATCGTGAAGCCCAAGCATCATCAGGTCCAACGGCGGCAGGCTCGAAGTGAGATGGCCTGAAACCCGGAAAGTACTCGTAGATCCAACACTGCAGAAGTGTGAGACAACCAGCCATCCCCCTGGCACCAGCACGAGACGCCTGACCAAGGTATCTGTACAACCAAGCAAGTGTACCTGACGCCCAACTATACTGATCTAACTCCTCCAACTCGTCCAAAAATAGGTTCACCACCGACCGAACCCTGTCTCTACTCTTGTCCACAAACAAAGTGGACCCCAACAACAACAACAAGTACGACTGCGCCTCTGTCACATGTGTCCCGTGGCTCTGCAAGTATCTGGACGCCATCTCTGCAAGAAAACCACCCTTCTCGTACCACTTACCCCTATTATTATATCCAGGGACCTCCGTACGACCACTCAACTGCTCCGAGTTCATCCCAAGAAGCGCACACAAACCCGCCTCCGGATGGTCAAGCTGCGCAGAACTCCTACTCATCAGTCGTCCCTCAACAGGAATCTGCAGTAAGTACTGAACATCGTGGAGGAGGATCGTCATCTCTCCAAAAGGCAAGTGGAAGGTGTTCGTGTCTGGCTGCCACCTCTCCACAAAAGCTGAGATCAAAGCATCGTCAATCGCTATCCTGCGGAACATAGAGTACATCAGGTGCTGGAGACCTGACTGCTGAACCAGATTCGCCTCAACATGACTAAACACGTAGTTACTCAAATAAGCAACCGCCGATGTACGGCTGTAGCAACTGATGACCCCTCGAACGTGTCCACGAAAGCTCCTAATGAGGCTAGGATCCGTAGGTCCACCAGGACACTCACCAACAAGCTCCCACGGTGGAGGACCACTCGAACGTCCTCCCCTACTCCGTCCAGTCCCCGAGCTCTCTGTCTCCTGACGAGCAGGTGGTACGAAGCGCCCAGCTCGGTCCCTATACAAAGCAGGACGTGATGTTGCCGTACGAGACGACACTCGTCCATGTCCACGCGTAGGTGGAGGGACCTCGATATCCTCATCACTATTGTCCTCATCAAACTCAGCCGAGACCACTCTGGATGCAGCACCCTGGTTCCTCCCATGGGAACCAGACGCCCGTGATGCCGAACGAGCAACTACAGTAGGAGCCTCTAACTCATCCTCCCCTAAATTTGCCTGTGACTGATGTCCAATATCTCGAGAGCGCTTATTCTCCTTATTCTTCCTTCGTGCTGATACATCAACAACCCTACCTTTGAATCTATTCAACTCATCCCCACCCGCATGACCCGCATCATCCATATCTAATTATCTACAAATTTACAAAATATCATACTTAGATGCGCACTAATTAATTAATTTTCTATTAACTAATGTAATATTAACATCAATTGTTAATTAATCACAAATTAATTAAATTTCTATTAACTAATGTACTGAATATTAACATTAATTGTTAAATCAATTCTTAATTAATTAAAATTCCATTAACTAATCTAAGTAATTAAACATTCAAACGCCTACTACAAAAAAAAACATTTATAAACCAACTGAAATAAATATTAACACTAATTGCTAATTTCTACTAACCAATTAAGTATTTATTTATTAATTAATTATCGTATTAAATTAAATTAAATACAAAAACTGGCCGGGCCGAAAGAAATTAAATTAAATTTCTATTAACTAATGTACTGAATATTAACATTAATTGTTAAATCAATTCTTAATTAATTAAAATTCCATTAACTAATCTAAGTAATTAAACATTCAAACGCCTATTACAAAAAAAAACATTTATAAACCAACTGAAATAAATATTAACACTAATTGCTAATTTCTACTAACCAATTAAGTATTTATTTATTTATTAATTAATTATCGTATTAAATTAAATTAAATACAAAAACTGGCCGGGCCGAAAGAATTTTGCGGCCGGTGCGCCGCCGGGCCGAAAAAAATTTGCGGCCGGAGCGTCGGCCGGCCGAAAAAAAATTGCGGCCGCGGCATCGCCGGGCCGAAAGAATTTTTCGTCCGGCCGTCGCACCGGCCGAAAATTTTTTTCGGCCGGCCGACGCTCTGGCCGCAAATTTTTTTCGGCCCACCCTGTTTTTCGCCGGAAAACTGGAAAACTTGCCGGAAAACTGGCCGGAAAAAATAAACTTACTTGTTTTCCGACGATTGAGGGCGACGGGAGGTTAGCCGACGATGGAAGAACGGTGCCGGCGACGGAGGCACTGGGCTCGTCAACAGAAGTTTTTGTTGGAATGAGTCAAATGTTCATGGGTATCCGAATTTATAGAATGAAAGGAAGGGAAGGGAGGGAAAATTCAAAATTTGAATTCAAATTTTTTTTTTTTTTTTTGTTGGCGGCAAATAGCCGTTCACGTTGTAAATCCCAGGTTCGAATCCAAACGAGGCTTGTTGGTGTTCCCGGAGATGAAAAGCTGCCGGGGGCGAAGACCCGTTGGCAATCGAAATTGATTGCAGGTGGCACCCAGGTTTAGTAGTACCCACTGTCACAAAGTGGAATGTGTGACTAAGGTTCCTCTATTTAATCCAGTAAACTACTTATCCATCGTTACATCATAATTGGAGAAATTGTTATCCGACAAACCCGCACAATTGCAAGAGAATTAATCTGTTATGATCATGTAGTTTACTCGGATTTTAGTAGCTACTCAAGTTCGATTTGATCAGTATCCTTAGTTGGTACAAGGATGTGCTCGCTATATATCACTTTCACCAACAACAATCGTTGGATTGCAGAAAAAAAAAAAAGCAATCCAAGAAAATAAACATATTCTTGCACTTAACTCCACGAATACTTTAGCCGAATTCACTCATACTACCATAAAAAAAAAAAAAAATGATAAAACTAACAAAAATATGATTTTCTCAAAGACACATCAAACACCAAACTTTGAACCATCAAATGTGTACAAGTCAACGAGGTCCAGGATCCGATCTTTGGGAGCCTCAGTTTCCGATTTGGTCCTCACCGTCCCTCCAAAAAGGAGCCCAATAACATATATCACTTAACCACAGCCGAGCCCAATTCAGGCGACCTGGCCCGAAGCCTGACAAGCAAGTTATGACTTATGAGCAATAGTACCTAGGGTTGTGAAACGGTGCGATTTGGTTCAGACCACACCATATATGCGTTTTATGGTACAGATCGAGAGGTTGGAGTATAAATTAGAGACCAGACCATGAACTATATGGTCCAGATCAAACCACGTCTGTGCAGTCTAGTTCGATACGGTTTGGTCCAGATAGACCACAATGAACGAAAAATTAACATTGGTTTAGTCAACCACACAAAAAATTGAATCAATAATAGAGAAATAATTGTTTTTTTTGTTTTAAAAGTTAAAACATAAACTCCAACATGCATGAGAATTTTGACGCCTTAAATCTCTATAAACAACAAAAATACAAAGTCAAAGCATACCAACTTGCACCATAACGTCATAAACATTAACATAATGTCATATGAATACATGATCGTCTCTACTCTGTTGAAAGTGGTTATGAAAGAAAGGGGGCATGTTTCTCAAAATTAGGGTTGAGACTTGGGTATTGTTGGGAGGAATCGGGAGAGTGGCCGAGCGGGCTACTAACAAGTATTGGGAAGTCAATTGGGTCCACGGTTTGGTTCGGTAAACCACGGTCTAGACCAGACCAGCCCATGAGATCAAAATATCATATAATACAAATCATGGACCAGACCAGACCATTCTTAATAATCTACGGTCCGAACCAAACTGTACGATCTGATTTGGTCCATGATTTTTCAAACGATCTGATCTATTTTCTCAGCCCTAATGGTACCTCCCCCGATCCCCTGAAACGAACACCTCACCAAAATCCACCACCTCACTCAACCACGTTCCCTCTCCATCCAAGGCTTGATCTCGAAGCCATTCCATAGCCGTTTGACCATAGACTAATCTTGTCTTTTTCATTCGGAATGAGGAAATCGTGTAAATTTCGTCTCGATTTTAATTCAGTTTTTATTTTCACTATTTTTATGTATCGATTACTTGGTGTATGATCCTTTTGTGATTGATCTTCTGTTTGAAATATGATGATCTTATATGCTCTTTTAAGCATATGGTTATTGAATCTATGTAAACTCCGAGTCCATATAGTGCTTGTCATTTGAGAAGGTGTGTTAGACTGGTAGTAGTAAGTGTATTATGGTTCATATTAAACCTTTCCCAATAATTCAAATTATTGGAGCCAACAAAAAAAGAGTTTCATGACAGAATCACCAAAGCCCACAGTTACATTTTCTTTAATGGCGGATGAATAACAAAATGAATAATGCATAGAACTGATACAGAAAGGGGACCAAATTAAACACAATGATCGCCAGAAGTGAAAGGAATTTTGCATGAAACCCAAACGCAACCACCAATTTCTTTGGATAAAAAACAATTAGATCATCAATCAACTCGAATTCTCGGTGACGAATTTCCTAATCAGATCCATCACCGACCTCGACGCTTTCGACTCTGGATCGTAGGTGAAAAATGCATGCACCTCTCCTTCAAACTCTGCATACTCAACTCTCTTTCCCAGCTCTTTCAGCTTCTCGGCGTAGTCTCTGATGCGATCGACCAGAATGTCGCTTCCACCCGAAACCACGAGGATTGGGTCCAGCTCCACCGGTCCAACCAGTTCGGTCCCGGCTCCAAATGGGTTCGCCAACGGATGATCGCACGTGTCTCCAACTGGGATCGAGTATTTCCAAAACCTTCAAAAATTGGGTAACCACGTCAGAATGAACCACGACATATGTGATATATGCATGCATGCATACGGATCCAAAAAGGAAATGAATCAGAAACTTCAACCGGTTATAAGCAAATGCCATTAGTTTAGCCAGAACCGGTTAAAATTTCAAACGGTTCGACAAAATGATTCGATCGTTATAGACTCGTGCGGCTTCGATGAGTTAGACAGGTTCGGACAGGAACATGCGAACTGATTTCAAGCTGTCAGAATGGTCTCTCCAACTCATAAATGGTTGGGAGTTCTCACTAGGGATGACAATGGATTGGTTTGGGTCGCGTTCTCTGAACCCAAACTCAACCAGTAGGTCAACCGGATTTTTTAGACGAGCAAACCCAAATCATATCGCAATATTATTTTAAAAAAAATTCAACAATTATATCTCCATAATAACATCCCTAAATTATTCATGTTCTAAGGAGACATAATTAAAGACAAAAAAAAACATTCATAAATTATCCATATTGTTCATGTTAAATACAAAATGACGTCGTTTTGAACGCGAGTCAAGTGGAAAGCGCATGTTGGATTTTTGAAAAATCCAAACCCAGCCCAATCTCGCTGCCTGTTTCAAAAGCAGGTTTGAAACTCACAACTGATCCAAAACCCGTCAATAATACTGAATTTTTACTCACTTTTGACTAGTTGAATTGGATTGGTACCGTGAGTTTGGGTTCAATTAATATGGAAGATGTTATACGTACCAGTCAACCATGTCAAGGGTCAGCATCTGAACTTTGGGAGCCCGAACTTCCGATTGGGTCCTCACCGTACCTCCAAAAGACGGCGACAACAACACGTAGCCCCTAATCTTAACCGGACCCAACACCGGCGACCCGAATCCGACCCTCACCGCCAAGTTGTGAGCGACGTTGCCTCCCGCCGATTCCCCGCAAACAAACACCTTCCCGAAGTCCGCCACGTCACTCAGCCACGTGTCGTCTCCAGCCACGGCTCGATGCTGGAGCCACTCCAGAGCCGAGTGGCAGTCCTCGATCGCGGCGGGGAGCCGGTTCTCCGGCGCCAGGCGGTAGTCCGGCGACACCACCACCGCCCGGAGCACGGCGGCGAGCCGGAGGCAGCAGCTGTGGTGGTACGGCTCGGTCCTGGAGCCGATGCAGAAGCCGCCGCCGTGGATGTTGTAGACGACGGGGAGTTTGGCGGCGGCGGCGGAGGGCTTGTAGAGGCGGAGGGAGAGGTTGTTCTTAGGGTTAAAAACGTAATCTTTCCACTGAACGGAGCCGTCTTCGTCGTCGTCGGTGGCGGTCGGGAGGTTGTCTAGATTGGCGCGCCAGACGGAGCCGTCTTTGTAGACTCTGATGAGTCCCACGCAGTCGTCGAAGTCAACGGCGGGAGGTTTGGGCATTGTTGAGGTTGTTTTGACTTTTGGTGTTGGGGGGAGGAGGTTGACTTTGAGAGAGGGAGAATTGTGCGACGAATGGGGGAGTAATCGATCATCTATTTATAGCAACGTAGATTTTGGCTGGCCTTATGGCTGCCGGCCGGCAGATTAATTTGGTCAGCGTTTGGTTGACGTTATTGTGTTCCGATATAGTTGAGATATTGTATATGCAGAAGAAATTTGGGAGGAATGATTCGTTGGTGGGTATTAGTAAGTGTTATAAGATTTATTATTTAATATCTCTATTGGAAATCAATTAGTTCTCGACGTGGTATTAGAGCTTTTTGTGATTGTGAGGTATTGTGTTCGAATCTCCGATATACCCTTGTTTGTTGAAGCCTTCTGTAGCCGGGAGATCTTGCGTTCGAATCACGATAGGTAACCTTTTTTGTGAAGCACATGATATTCTCGTATTGAGGGGATGTGTTAGTGAGTGGTACAAGACCCATTATTGAATCTCTCTCAACAACTCGAGTTATTGGGATCATGGTATCCGAATTTGAGCAAAATTCAAACCCTTCTGAGTTGGCTTTCGTTTGAGGGAGTGTGTTAGTAAGTAGTATATGATCCATAATTGAACTTGTCCCAGCAACTCAAGTTACTGGAACCAGTTGCTGTACGACATAGTATCAGAGCTGGTTTGTCCTTGAGGTCACGTGTTCAAGTCCTCAAGACCCCAATAGAAATTGTTGTCTTAAAATCACATGGTATAGCAGGCCCGTGCAAATTTCAAGCTTAGGAATTGACTTTCGTTTGACAGAGAGTGTATGAAAGTGGTTAAGATACATATACGAACCCTCGCACACCAACTTGAGTTATTGGGACCAATTAGTTTATGGCATGGTATCAGAGCATTTTGTGGTCAGGGAGGTCTTGTGTTCGAATCTCCGGTAAACCCCTATTTGTTAAAAACAGGTTATTCAGATCTCTACAAACTTCAAACTCTTGTGAGTATATTTTGTTTGAGGAGCCTTGTTAATTAGTAAGCGATATAAGATTAATTATGGAATCTATACCAACAATTCGATTTATTGGATCAACTGATACTCGACAAAATTAGAAGAGAATACATTTATTTATTATTTTTATTTATTCCTTTGAAAGGATTCAATAATTATTAATGAAACCTAAGAATAATACGATAGGGACACTCTAACTATGATGAAGTATTGGAATTAGTAGAGGATAGGGACACTCGAACTATCATGAAGTATTGGCTTTGGTAAGGATGAGTTTGGGTGGGAACGTTTTTCTGTATAATACATTCATAAGTACCGTTTTAAAATCGCAACTATTCCGGTAATTATAAATGTGTGGGGTGTAATATTATGACATATCGGAGCATAGTTAGTAAAATACGGTACGAGAAAGTTACGTATAAAATATATATGGGCATTTTACTTTATTTATGTGCTAATGTTACGTTTATATGTGTATTAAACGGAGTATTTACTAATTATGGTATGGAGAAAACCTCCCCTCGAAGAATCATATATAAATTTCTTCATATAATGTAAATTTGTCTTAAAATTTTAATGTTATTTGAAGTTTATTTGCAACATTGTTTACATAATAAATAGAAAACTAGCAAGATTTTTGGATAATATTTAAGGGATACGGATGATCGAAGTGTTAATTGAGTGAGTCTAGACCATAGTTGTAACAAATATTCTGACAGGTTCGGTACGGATAGGAAAAATACTAAAATTGCACCAAATTCATTTCCCTCCTTGTATGGTTCTAGAAAAACCTACCCAAAGATAAATACCGGTTGGGTTTTCTCTGACAATATAGATTCAGATTCGGTTGGGTACCTATAGTGAAAGGTTTTTTTGTTGTCATCCCGAAGTGTTGGATATGGGGAACGAATTTCATCAATAACCTTGTGGTGAGTAACCATGAGTAACCCGTCCACATCAGCATGACATCAACATCCCTCTCTCTCGTGGAAAGCCTTTAATTTTCCCCTCCTTAATCTTTAACGGACGATTTCTCACTCGTTTTAAGTCAAAATTTAATTTTTTTGAACAGTTAGATACAGATTAATTGTGCTCTTCAAAATGATATTCACTTTGATATATTTTTCGAACAAAAAAAATTGAGTCATTTTTTACTAGTCTATACCATATGGTATTGACTAGTATTGAAATAAGTGCATACCTATGGTTTGAAAAGTGGACCATAGTGGTATGAACAAACAAAGACTGTAGGATGGTTGAATACATGATAGTAGAAGTATATTAACTGTTATTTACGACTTTTAACATTATGTACCACAAGATACCACCCCGTACCAGGGTGTTATTGTATGGTATTGTGTGGTATCAAAAACGAATTAAAAATGAAGAAGATACCATATGGTATGCAATTGGCACCGAGAGGCAAGAAAAAAATTTCTCAAAAAATATTGAAAATCTATCTCATTTTGTAGAGCACAACGAAGACGTTCCATCTGTGCAAAAAAAAAAAAAAAACCGAGTTAAAACGAAGAAGATATGAGTCGATTAAGAAAGCTAGGAAAAATTAAAATGATCTTTAATTCTCCATCTTTAAATTAAGATTTTCTAAATGAAGGGTCCAGATTTAGTTATTGATGAGTGCATAACCCATGATTATGCACCCTATCTTAATAGTAGCACAAAATATGTGAGTTTCATGACATTTTTTTTCCTGAAAAGTTTACAGTTAGAAATAACGTTTGATCGGCGAAAAGATGGTCTCCGCTTAGATACCACCTTAATGACAAATCATATTATTTTTGGTTAAACGTTAGCCGTCGTCGTCGATGGCCATTCGTCGATGGTCCGTCATCTTTGTAAACTCTGATGAGTGATTAGGGATGGCAAAAATATCCGTAACCATGGATATCCGCCCGAATCCGACCTAATCGGGTAGGATAAAACCCGAACCCGAAAGACTTTTAGTGGGTATGTGTAAAATCCGAACCCGAATATTGCGGGTAATGGGTGGGTATGGTTTTCTCACTATCCAACCCGAACCCGCCCGATTATACACATGCATATGTATTTTTCTAGAAATAATCAATATTTTTCTCTAAAATATTTTATATCTAGCATATAAATATAATATTTTCATAAAATTGTGTTGTTTTAATTAATTTTCTTCATTCTAATGAATCATTGTCGTACTTTTCGTCTTACATAACGTGAGAATACGTGTGAATATGTTAAATATTAACATATTGTTTAGTGTTATAAAGAAAAACTACTACCCATGGATAACCGTAGATACCCTAAAACCGAACGGGTATGGATATGGTTGGGATTTTCTACCCGTTTCTTATGTGGGTATGGGTATGGGTAAAACCCGAACTACTTTGGGTAGGGTAACGAATATGCACTATCCGTCCCCGACCCGACCCATTGCCATCCCTATGAGTGATGAGTCCAACTCAATGGTCAAAGTCAACGGCAGCTTTAGAGTTTAGACATGTTTGGTTTTGACTTTTGATGTTGGGGAGAAGGTTGACTTAGAGAGAGAATTGTGCGACGAATAGCTAGTAATTAGAGGTGGCAATTGGATCGGATTCGTGGATTCGTGGATTGGATTGGTGGATCAATGTATCAAATGGATTGGATCCAATGGATTGGTGGATTCATGGATTGGATCAAATGGATTGGTGGATTGATCCATGAATCCAAATGACATCCAAGACTTGGATCAAAAGGTAAATTTTGAAAAGTTTAGGTACTAAAATGTCATGATGAAAAATTTTAGGCACCAAAATGTAATTTTCCAATATTATTTTCCAATAAAAATATAAATTTTAGGTACCAAAATGTAAAATATAAAAAATATAGGCATCACATCGTAATTTGTCATTTGAATCCATGGATTGATCCATGAATCCACCAATCCAATTGGATTTGGATCAAATGGATTGGATTTAAATGGATTAGATTAGATGGATAATTTGGTGGATAGATTGGATTGAATTCATGGATTTGAATCCTAATTGTCACCTCTATCAGTAATCCATCCTCAATTATTCAATTTGTATCAACGTAGATTTTGGGCGGCCTTGTTGGCTGCCGGCCGGCCGGTGGATTAGCCCGGCGTTTTTTTTTTTATTGGGTGGTCATGCTGCTGATTGTCACCTTTTCGTCATTTAATTCCTTAATTACCCTCTGTCTATAGTCACTTTGGCCAGCATTTGGTTGACCTGATTGTGTTCCAAATTCCAATGTAGATGAGATATTGTATATGCAAACAAAGTTTGGGAGGAATGATTCTTTGGTGGCAAATTAGAAGAGCATACATTTGTTTATTATCTTATCTAATATCTATCTTCATTCCTTCCTAGGATTCTATGATTGTCAAGGAAAGCCTTAGGGATGTGGATCCCGTAAATAACCTTATAGTCAATAACTATGTATAACTCAATCAGAATCCGCTACATTAATGTCTCTTCTCTCTCTTGTAAAGTTTTTAATTTTTCTCATTTAATTTTTAAAGGACGATTTCTCACTTGTTTTAAGTCAAAATTTAAATTTTTTGCACAATTAGATCATATTAATTGTGCTCTTCAAAATGATATCCACTTTGATATATTTTTGGAACAAAAAAAATTGAGTCATTTTTTACCAGTCTATACCATATGATATTTACTGGTATTGAAATAAGAGCATAGCACATGGTATGAAAAGTGTACCATGGTAGTATAAACATACCAAGACTGTAGGATGGCTGAATACATGATAGTAGGAGTATACTAACTGTCATTTACGACTTTCAACATTGTGTACCACAAGATACCACCCCGTATCATGGTGGTATTTTTTGGTATTGTATTTTGTTCACCCAGAAATGTGTAGGTCCAATAAATCATGATGAACTCGTTCATTCCGTGCAAAAAATTTAAAAAACGACTTAATAACGAAGAAAATATCATATGGTATGCAGTTGGTAACATGGGGTGTTAAATTTTTTTTCTCAAAAAATATTGAAAATGGATTTTATTTTGTAGATCACAATGAACTCGTTCCATCTGTGCAAAAAAAAAATTGAAATCCGAGTTAAAACGAAGAAGATATGAACCGATTAAGAAAACAAGAAAAAATAAAAATGTCTTTAATTCTCCACCGTTAGATCTGGATTTCTAAATGAAGGACCCAGATTTAGTTATACACCGTATCTTGAGCCGATTCTTTACTATCATGGGTATGGGGTTGGCGTGGCATCTTACATGGTCGAGAATTATTGGATAAGAGACTGTAGGGTCGAGTACTTAGGTGGATGGTCTTACGAAAAGTTATTGCTTGCGTCAATTCTTTGAAGAGTATATCGTCTGGGTCGTCAATTCTTTGTAGATGGGGAAACATCTAGCAGCTCCCATGAGGCTGGACGGTTCTGCAAGACGTGTGGGGCGAGGTAGTGGCCGCTTCTACTGCAACTCTGTATAGTGACATCTTTGCTCTGTTTCTTATAGAGTTGTTTGTCCCCTGCCTGATGCCATGCAGTGGTGGCTAGCTAGGGGATTGCAGTCTATGGTGTTTGCTAGTGATGCTAAGTTGGTTGTGGATAGACTTCTCGATGAACATTTGACTCATGCTCGAGGGGAGCATCTTTTGAGGATGTTGTGTCCTTGTGAGGGAATTTTAGCGAATTGAAGTTTTGTTTATTGATCGTTTGTTTAACGATGTAGCCCATTTGATGGCACAAAACGCTCTTTCGTTGTTCCTTTCTTTGGTAGGTCGATTTTGTTTCTTGGTTGTTTTCGGCCTCTCGACTCTTTTGTATTTCGCTATTTTTTCGATAATACAAATTATCTTGGAAAATAACAATCATCATATCACTGGGACACTCGAAATATCATATGAAGTATTGGATATAACAACATTCCTATCACAAGGTTTATAAATTTCATTACATTTGTGTTCTGAATTTTTACGCTTATCGTTAGATATAACGGTTGGTCGAACAATGCTAAGTCATTGTGGACTTTCTATAGCGTGGCAAAAACGTTACTTATAATGAATGTATATACATGTGGATGTCATTTCTCCACCCATTCCACAGACCACCACCTTCTTAACCTGGGAGAACCTCATACCACTAAACTTTGAGAATTGGGGGAAGGATACCACTAAACTAAATTTAGTGCACCAGATACCATGTAAGTCCACTAAATGTGCACTTTTCTGTTTTCCGTCCGTTAAACTAACAGAGAGAAACAAAATTAAAGAAGCCAAATCAACATACAACTCGCCACCTAGACTGCTGAGTTGGTGGAAAATTTACTAGCAAAAGAATTCTTTCTAGTGTCGAGCCCTCTCAAATCCCAACCCCGTTATATTTCCTAGCACGCAAAACATCTTATTTCTTATTATGTAAATATTTATATATGGATGACCAATGACCTACCACATTAGATGCTCACTTGGGAGTTATATGTAACTCTCATTCCTATATTATTATCTCTAATTCATATGCATTGATGTAAGGATGTAGTGGTTACCAAAGGGTGCCTATAAATAGAGCACACTATTGTATCACAAATGGAGTATGAATAAGAAGAAATATTCCCCTCACTTCTATTGTGTCTTTCCCTCTCTAATATTCTCTTGTAGTTGTTTACATTTTCAATTAGTTTTATAACACGTTATCAGCACGAGACTCTTCCTTTTGAAAAGGTTAAATCCACAAATTTTCTGCTCAAGGTATGTCGATTCTCCCAAATTGTTTCTTTTATTGTCCTATTTCAATTTACATAATTTCCTTTATTAATCAACACATGAAATCTTTGTTTGAGAATGCGAAGGTATAATTTCCTTCTTAATAATTTTTTTAGCAAGTCATGATCATATATACTTCGTAGTAGTAGTATAAAAATCTCAATATATTTTGCCTTTATAATTTTTTTTATTTTGAAATTCGAATTTATTTATATATTTGTAAAAATATCAAATTGATATATCATGGGTCACATAAGTCATTTTTCTTGATAGTAATCTTTATTTATTTACTTAATTTTGACTTTAATTTGTGTATATTTTTATGATAGTATGTCGAATCTTTCAAAACTTGAGTTTGTGGCTCTTGATGTCACTAGAAAGAATTACCTATCATGGGTGCTAGATGCTGAAATTCATTTAGCTGTCAACGGTCTTGGAGACACGATTAAAGAGGGCAATGAAGCATCAGATCAAGACAAAGCTAAAGCAATGATCTTTCTTCGACATCACCTCCACGAGGGATTGAAGAATGAGTATCTTACGGTCAAAGATCCACTTATTTTGTGGACTAATTTGAAGGAGCGGTATGACCACCAAAAAATTGTGATTCTTCCTAAGACTCGTTATGATTGGATGCATTTGAGGTTACAAGATTTTAAATCTGTGAGTGATTATAATTCAGAGCTATTCAAAATAACCTCACAACTACTGTTATGTGGAGAAAATATTACTGATGAAGATATGTTGGAAAAAAACATTCTCCACTTTTCATGCATCTAATGTACTCCTTCAGCAGCAATACCGTGAGAAAGGTTTCAAGAAATATTCTGAGCTGATTTCTTGCCTCCTTGTTGCTGAACAAAATAATGAGCTCTCAATGAAAAATCATCAATCTCGTCCTATTGGTGCCGCCCCATTCCCAAAAGCGAATGCGGCGACGTTCACCTAATATCCTTATGGGCAAATACATGGACGTGGACATGGACGAGGACGTGGTCATGCTCATGCTCGAGGCCGTGGCCGTGGCCGAGATCTTGGTCATGGTGAAAGTTCCAAAAGCTCATTTTCCCCAGAAGTGGAAAAAATGATGGTAGAAGAAGCAAGGAACAAAGTGTTCATGGTAACTAACACGTCGAAGTCGAAAATGTGTGTTACCGTTGTGGTGGAAAAGGTCATTGGTCTCGTACCTGTCGTACGCCAAAACACTTGGTTAACCTCTACCAAGAATCATTGAAAGGGAAGAAGATAGAAACCAATTGTATTTTTGTGGAAGATGATTCAGGAAAAGACTATAATGATGCTACTCATCTAGATGTGTCCGACTTATTTGCCCACCCTGAAGGAAAAATAGATCACCTGATTGGTGATGGGAATGTTCGCAAGTGAAAGACTTAGCATTTCCATTTGAAATTTCTATTTCGTTGTCGCTTTGTTCACAAGTGAAAAGTTTAGGTTTCCCATTTGAAATTTCACTTTCTTTGTCGTTTTCCTTGAGTGTGTTTTTCCTATTAATGTGTCAGTTTAATATAATTTCTCTTTATAATCCTTATGTGGTTTAATTTCATCTATTATAATCATGTCATTATTTTTATATTTATTTAGAGATAATTTCTTATATTGATTTACTTTCTATCTTTGTGAAGAATGAATATTCTCATGCTTGGCACCAAGATAAAAAACCATGATGTGTGTCCTATTGATAGTGCATCGACACATACAATCTTGAAGGATAAGAAATATTTTTCTCATCTTGAAATGCGAGAAGCAAATGTTAGTACTATATCTGGGAATACAAATTTAATTGAAGTCTCCTGAAGAGCTAGTGTATTGTTACCCGAAGGAACCAAGTGATATATCAATGAAGCCTTATACTCTTTAAAGTCTCAAAGAAATTTATTGAGTTACAAAGATATTCGCCGAAATGGATATCATATTGAGACAAAGGAAGAAGAGAGTAAATAGTATATTATGATAACAAATATGGTCTCCGATAAAAAATACATATTGGAGAAATTGCCTGATATTTCTTCTGGGTTGTACTACACGTTTATTAGTACAATTGAAACACATGCAGTGGTAAACCAGAAGTTTACAAATCTTGATAATTTTATAGTTTGGCATGACCGGTTAGGCCATCCCGGATTGATTATGATGCAAAAAATCATTACCAATACATGTGGACATCCATTGAAAGGTCACAAAATTTATCAGTTTAAAGATGTACCATGTATTGCATGTTCTCGTGGCAAGCTGATTATACGGCCATCACCTGTGAAAGGCGTGAATCTCTCACATTTTTAGAACGTATACAGGGTGATATATGCGGGCCAATTCACCCACCATATGGACCATTTAGATATTTTATGGTTTTAGTTGATGCATCAACTAGATGGTCACATGTGTGCTTACTATCAACTCGCAACCTGGCGTTTGCTAGATTACTTGCCCAATTGATACGACTACGAGCACATTTTCCTGATTTTCCAATCAAGAAAATACGTCTAGATAATGCTGGTGAATTTACTTCACAAACTTTCAATGACTATTGTATGTCCACTGGGATTGATGTTGAACATCCTGTAGCACATGTTCATACACAAAATGGCATTGCAGAATCATTTATTAAGCGTTTGCAACTTATTGCAAGACCATTGCTTATGAAAACAAGCTTGCCAATTTCTTGTTGGGGACATGCTATATTGCATGCGGCAACATTAATTCGCATAAGGCCAACAAGTTATCATGAAATTTCCCCCTTGTAAATGGTTTTTGGTCAGGAACCTAATATTTCCCATCTAAAAATATTTGGGTGTGCCTTCTACATCCATATTGCTCCACCACAACGTGTTAAGATGGGTCCTCAAAGGAGATTGGGAATTTATGTTGGATATGAGTCCCCGTCAATCATAAAATACTTAGAACCCTTGACGGGAGATTTATTCACTGCTCGTTTTGCTGATTGTCATTTTGACGAATAAGTTTCTCCAACATTAGGGGGTGAGAGCAAACAGCTGGGAAAAGATATTTGTTGGAATGAATTATCATTATCTCACCTTGATCCTCGTACTAGACAATGTGAACTGGAAGTTCAAAAGATAATTCATTTACAAGGTTTAGCAAACCAACTGCCGGATTCTTTTATTGACCAGAAGAGAGTGACAAAGTCACACATACCAGGTGTAAATGCTCCAGTGAAAGTTGATGTCCCTGTTGGACAATCTGAAATTGCAAATGAATCTAAACCACAAATGAAGCGTGGTAGACCAAGAGGTTCCAAGGATAAAAATCCTCGAAAAAGAAAAGGAGCTATGAATCAAGTTGGTCAAATCGAGGATATGAAAGGTCAAGAAGAGTCCCCAAGCATAACTAAGATTGTAGTTCCCGAAGAACATCAGGTACCTGAAATTTTTGATAATGAAGAGATCTCAATCAATTATGTCTTCGATGGAAAATGTTGGAACCGAAGTAAAATAATCGTCGACGATGTTTTTGCTTACGCTGCAGCGTTGAGTGTGATGAATGAAAATGAGGATCATGAACCAAGATCTATTGATGAATGCAAGCCAAGAGATGATTGGCCAAAGTGGAAAGAGGCCATTGAGGCAGAATTAAACTTGCTTTCAAAGCGAAAGGTTTTTGGACCGGTAGTCCTTACACCAGAAAACGTAAAACCAGTGGGATACAAATGGGTTTTTGTGCAGAAAAAAAATGAAAAGAGTGAAGTCGTGAGATATAAAGCACGTCTGGTCGCACAAGGATTCTCACAGAGACCTGGCATTGATTATGAGGAGACATACTCCCCTGTGGTGGATGCAACTACGTTTCGATACTTGATTAGTCTAGCAGTTCGAGAAGGACTAGATCTGCGTCTAATGGATGTTGTGACAGCCTATTTGTATGGATCACTTGAGAATGATATATATATATATATATGAAACTCCCTGAAGGATTCACTTTGCCAGAAGCAAACAAAACACATTCTCGAGAAATTTTTTCTATAAAATTGAACAAATCCTTGTATGAATTGAAACAATCTGGACGAATGTGGTACAATCGTCTCAGTGAATATTTGATGAAAGAAGGATACAAGAGTGACCCTATTTGTCCATGTGTTTTTCTAAAGAGATCGGGTAGTGAGTTTGTTATAATATCAGTTTATGTTGATGACATAAACATCATTGGAACTCCCGAAGAGCTTCCAAAAGCAGTTGATTGCTTGAAGAAAGAGTTTGAAATGAAAGATTTAGGAAGAACAAAGTTTTGTCTTGGATTACATATTGAACATTTGAAGGATGGTATTTTTGTGCATCAAGAAGGATATGTTGAAAAGGTGCTTAAGCGATTTTATATGGACAAATCACACCCGTTGAGTAATCCAATGGTTGTAAGATCACTTGATGTGAAAAGAGATCCATTTAGACCTCGAGAAAGTGATGAAGATCTGCTTGGCCCTGAAGTGCCATATCTTAGTGCAATAGGAGCATTAATGTATCTAGCCAGTCACACACGACCCGATATATCGTTTGCTGTGAATATATTGGCAAGATATAGCTCTTCTCCCACTAAAAGACATTGGAATGGTGTTAAACATTTACTCCGTTACCTTCGAGGAACGATGAATATGGGCTTGTTCTATTCGAGTGCATCAAAGATGGATTTAGTTGGATATGCAGATGCAGGATATCTCTCAGATCCCCACAATGGTAGATCTCAGACAGGATATTTGTTCACTTGTGGTGGTACAACTATTTCGTGGCGATCCACAAAACAAACTATAACAGCCACATCATCCAATCATGCTGAAATCCTAGCAATTCACGAGGCAAGTCGTGAATGTGTTTGGTTAAGATCTATAATTCGACACATCAGAGAATCGTGTGGACTATCTCTAGAAAAAATGATCCCGACGATCATGTACGAAGATAATGCAGCATGCATTGCTCAATTAAAGAAAGGATATATTAAAGGAGATAGAACAAAACATATTCCACCCAAGTTCTTTTTCACTCATGATCTTCAAAAGAGTGGTCAAATAATTGTTCAAAAAGTTCGTTCAAGTGAGAATCTAGCAGATTTATTCACCAAGTCACTCCCGACGACAATATTTGTAAAGTTTTTCGTGAAATTGGAGTTCGACGACTCAAAGACCTGAGCTGATGTGGTCATGAGGAGGAGCATATACGCGATGCACTCTTTTTCCCTTAACCATGGTTTTTCCCACTGGGTTTTCCTAGTAAGGTTTTTAATGAGGCAGCATGAGATAGCGTAATAATGCAATCTAGTGGTCATCCAAGGGGGAGTATTATGTAAATATTTATATATGGATGACCAATGGCCTACCACATTAGATGCTCACTTGGGAGTTACATGTAACTCCCATTCCTATATTATTATCTCTAATTCATATGCATTGATGTAAGAATGTAGTGGTTACCAAATGGTGCCTATAAATAGATCACACTATTGTATCACAAATGGAGTATGAATAAGAAGAACTATTCCCCTCACTTCTCTTGTGTCTTTCCCTCTCTAATATTCTCTTGTAGTTGTTTACATTTTCAATTAGTTTTATAACATTTCTAGCTTTCTCCACTAGCTTTGTCCACACTTGGTTTTTGTTTCCTAGCCATCAAGACAACTTCAATAGCTTTTTCCAGTGTGCTTGTTCATTCCCATTAAAGCAAACTAATGACACGTTTACAATTTAACTTTTCATAATACTGATAAAATGCTTACACAAAGTCATGAAGCAATCTGTAATGTGTTTATGCAAAATATCAATAAAAAGCTTGTTGAAATTCTAGCTCAAGCCAAATCCCCTGACTACTAATTCAAACTGTACTCTCATAATAAGTGGCTCCAGGGGTAAAAACACCAACTAACCTACAAACTAAGAAATAGTTTATAAAAGCAATTTAATGGCAAAAAGCTTGATGAGGATGAAGTGGCCATGAGAGCTCAAAACTGGATCCTGGAATATAGACATGAGCAACAGGCTGCTGGGGGAAGAAGAGGACAAGTGGCAAGAAGCAAACAGTGGCAGCCGCCGGAGATTGGAACTCTAAAGGTAAACACAGATGCTGGGTGTATGGGGGATGAAGGGACAGGCTTGGGAATGGTAGTTAGAGACTGGACTGGTGCTTTCAGATACGCAGCGGTGAAGAGGGAAGCCGAGAAATGGTGCCCAGCAGTGGCGGAGGGACGAGCAGTGCTTTTTGCGATCGAGAAGATGAATGAACAGCAGCTAGGCCCTTTCGTTGTGGAATCGGACTGCTTGACTTTGATGAATACTCTCCGACAACAGAGAATGGATTTGACAGAGCTTGGAACGGTTTGTGATTCTATCTTGCAGGCGGAGGGTGTTGAGGACTGTTATGATTGGAAACATACACACAGAGAAGCAAACACAGTGGCTCATAAATTGGCTCATGTTCAGATAGGTGTTAATCAATGTAATAGTTGGGTAGGCTTTCCCCCTTCGTTCATTTTGAACGAAATGTATCTGGATTCTAGCCATTTGGCTTAATTAATAAAATTATAGGAGGTGCGGTCCCTCCTTTCCCTAAAAAAAAAAAGAAATAGTTTATAAAAGCAAACATCATAAGCTTCTATTCCCCATTCTCCTTTCCTTTAACGATGGTTGCTGCCTGCTTCCCCCTCCACTTGAGGTTCCTCTTCTAGGTACAAAAGGTTTTTTCCCATTTTCTGGTCTAGCCCCTACTCTTTCTCCTTGATGGACCTGAAGAGGAATTGGGGAAATAGAACAATGAAGTTGTTATTACAAAAATCATACATGATTATTACTTGAAAAGAAAATTAGTTAAAAACTGTATTTGTATACCCGAAACCCCAAATTAGTTGGTGCTGAGGAGACAACATTACTTGTTTGCTCAGTATGGAGTTAATTCACACCAGAAGCGGGTTGTGTCGAGGGATAATTTTGGTTAATTCCCTACACAAACCAAAACCACAACATATATTGTAAAGTTATGCAAATAAAAAAGGAGCAATCTTTAAACTTAACATACATGATACAACCAACATTTGGCTAGCTCCTTGTGAAAACCACATCCATTATAGATATTTGAGAGAAAATCAAAGAGAAAGAGAAATATACACTGCAAATCATTTCATTTATTGAAAAGAAAGCTTAATATTAAACTTACTGTGAATCTTGGTGGAGGATTGTTAATACTTCCAGCTTCAGATGTTTCAAAAGGAATAAGCAAGTGTGTTGCCATTTCAGCTAGATTCGAGTGTCGTCCTTCAGATATATTGATTCCTTCTCCAGAATACCAAACATCAGCTGTGTAGGGTGCCATTGTTACTGATTGTGACCCTCCAATGATTCCAACTCCAGCTGGTTCGTTTGCAACACGATGTGCACTTTTGTTATGACCCTCTTCACCGCATTGACTGCAACGGATTTTTCTTTTTCTTGTTCATTCTTTGATTTTTGGGCTTCTGTTTTCTTGCTCGCTTTTGTGAGTCTTCCAATATCTCCTCCAGGCCTTTTCTCCTATTCATTCTACGTCTCCCCCTTGTTGTCTTAGCATCTACACCTCCCACCTATTCTATTTATTATGAGGAAGGACTTTGGGAGCATCTATTGCCTACAAAAGTCAAACCGAGAAACAAATGAAAACACACCACAACAAACTCTCATTCTATTCTCTCTCTCTGTTCCATATGTTGTATCGGTGTACTATGCTTTCGAGAGTATGAAATAAAAACAATGTTACTCATTCTCTGTTACTTCGTGTTAACAGTGTTGCTTATTCCCATCTTCGGGATAACTATTTATAACAACTTAAACGCCACATAGCAGGAGCAATTTATCTAGTATATATATTTGAAAGATAAAATTTCAAAACTAATCAAACCCTACAATTTAGAATCTCCCCTCCCCTGATTCACCATCCAAAAAAAACAAGCCAAATTACAAGAACTATTTTGGAGCAAATCACCTTTTCAATAAATTCTAGGTAACAATTTACCACCATATCAATCAACAAAGCCAAAGACTAAAAGGAAAAAAATTGCTCTTCCTACTTCCAAGAAGTTCCACGATGAGAATGTTTTTAACATTACAGTAATAAAAAAATAAAAAAACAACACTCATTTGGAGCTCGAAATTAGCCGTTAACAAGTTTCTTCATCATTTCCATCACCGACTTCACAGCTTCCGAGTCCAGGTTATTGACGAAGAACCCATGCCCCTCTCCTTCAAGCTCTGCATACTCAACCCTCTTCCCCAATTTCTTTAACTTCTCGACATAGTCTCTAACTCGATCCACCAATATATCATCTCCACCGCAAACCACAACCATCGGATCAAGCTCCAAAGCTTCGAGACTTTCGCTCCTGGGTCCAAATGGGTTCACCAGCGGATGATCCGATGTGTCACCAATTGGAACAGAATGTCTGAAGAACCTGCAAAATTGTTGGAAATGTGATTTACTCAGAAAATTTCGATAGCTACTCACATGATCCAATTCGAACAATCTAGTCAAACATACCAGTCAACGAGATCCAGATTCAGAATCTGATCTTTTGTAGCCTCAACTTCAGATTTGGTCCTCACCGTGCCTCCAAAAAACGGGGCCATCAAAACATAGCCCTTAACCACAACGGGATCCAATTCCGGCGACCCGGATCCGAGCCTGACCGCCAAATTATGAGCAATGTTGCCTCCCGCCGATTCCCCACAAACCAACACCTTCCCGAAATCCGCCACGTCGCTCAGCCACGTGTCGTCCCCAGCCACGGCTCGATCTCGGAGCCATTTCAGAGCCGCGTGGCCGTCGTCGACGGCGGCGGGGAGCCGGTGCTCCGGCGCCAGCCGGTAGTCCGGCGAGACCACCACGGCTTGGAGAGTTGATGACAGCCTGAGGCAGCAGTTGTGGCAGTTGGGAGAGGTTCGGGAGCCGAGGCAGAAGCCGCCGCCGTGGATGTTGTAGACGACGGGGAGCTTGGCGGCTGCGGCTGCGGCGGCGGAGGAGGAGGAAGAGGGTTTGTAGAGGCGGAGGTGGAGGTCGTTTTGGGGGTCAAAGATTGTGTCTTTCCATACCACGGAGCCGTCGTCGTTGACCTGTGTGGAGAAAAGGGATGCATCGGAGGATCGCCAGACGGTGCCGTCTTTGTAGACTCTGAGGACGCCGAGGCAATCTTCGAAGTCAACGGCGCCGGGAGTTTCAGATTCAGGCATGTTTTCAGTGATGAGGAAGGAATGGTGTCTGAAGGAACTGGAGGAGGGAGATAAATATAGAGAGAGAGAGAGAGAGAGAAGAGTGTGAATTGGGGGAGGACAAGATTCCAAACGAGAACGATGGAAGGTTAGGCTGGTGGATAGAATTCTAGGTACTAGATGTTTGGACGGTGTTAGATTAGATTAAATCGATGCATGTTTTGGTTTAGATTCTTATCTTTATTGTTTCAATTTCGTTGTACACCATGTAAATAAAGAAATCGACATTCAAAATCAATACATAAGATAGTCGGAGGAAATTCTGGTGCAATTCTAATCCTCTCATTTCCAATCATTCAAGCCAACCTAGGATTGATTTTGATCTCCTAATAAGTTATGTTAAATTAGACTGAATCAAATCACCATTTGAAACAAACTAGAAAGCATTGACATAAAAAATTGTAAAAGCATGTAAGAGTATTTTATCGTGAAATCATGATTTAATCTAAATGGCTTAAATTAATGAGTTTCTATATAAGAGTTATCTATCAGAACAATACTCTCTTACTGATCTATTAACAAGTAGATTCACACCGAGAGAAATTGATACATGTGGAGATAATGGAATAGACGGACGGTTTAATACCATTAAAACCCGTCTATCGATTTCATTCTAATGATACGATTTCAGAACCATGAAGCATTGTAGCCCTAGTGAGTGCAAATATGACAATCAACAACCATGTCACAGATCCTAAACCGGGATACTAAGAAGTAACAACAAACTGTTGACAGTTTCTTCAAGCAGAATTGACATCAGAGACTATGCAAACAACATGGTTGATAAATGAAAGCAAAGCATACCTAAACTTCAGCCGTCAGCAATGTCTCTTCACCGATCATCCGAGAGACAATCCCTGATTCACAACACTTCATTTCTCCCCAAATGCTTGCTCACTTCTCCGGCAATAGCCGATTTCCGAGCTCTCAAATCCTCCATTCTTCCCACCTCCACCAACACTTCCTCCTCCAGAATCCTCATCTCCGCCTCCTTCAAATCTACGGCGAACACTCCCTGATAATACTCAACCACCATCCGCTCCACCTCCGACTTCCCCATTTCGATCATCTCCGTCACTCCTTCCTTCTCCTCCACCACCTTGTCGAGTGCAACCTTCATTTCCTCTGCCGTCTTCCTGCTCTTCTCTACTTCCAGTTGAAGACCCTGCAACTCGGCATCAATCTTCCTCAACTTTCTGTTCGAATCCTCGGTCTCCTTTCTCGTGGAGTTAAGCCTGTCGATGGACTGCTGCAGCTCGGCGTGCACCTTCGCTTTCTCTTCTTCCGACTTCAGTAGCTCCGTGGCCTTGCCGAACCCTCCTCCGTCGGTTCTCTCGATGTTGTCGATGGCCAACAGGACCTTCTCGCTCTCCCGCCGACGGAGGCTCTCTTCGTCTAGCTTCGATCTCAGAGCGGAAATCTTCGTCTTCAGTTCGAGCTGGGATTCTTTGGCCTTGTGACCTGTTGCGGCCTCGAGTTCCGTCTTCTCGGCCTGAAGACGGGCGAGTCCGTCTTCCTTTTGGGATAGGTCAGATGATGAAGCGTTGAATCTTGCCCTTGCTCGAGCTTCTCGCTGGTCGAAGTAGGCCAGGGAGGAAGAGAAGTTGGAGAGGGAACATCTGAGCGCTGAAAACTTGTTCTCCACGACGGATTTTGTATGCTGCAGTTCCTTGGATCGATGTTCCAAGGAACTCAGCTCCTGTTGCTTGGCTTCCACTCCATGGGAGACTCTGTCAAACTCGGTAAGAGCCTCCTCTACCGTTGTCAGAATTCGGGTATAATCGGAGAGCTTTTTCTCCAGAGCTGTTTCTAGCTTCAATTTTGCTTCTTCTGATGTATGCAACTCCTTTCTGAGTTCATCCTTCTCGCGCATTGCAGTTTCGTAGAGTCCAAGCAACCTGTCGTTCTCTTCATGCATCTCTGAAAGCTGCTGCTCTAAGTTCTCCAGGGCTGCTTTCCTCGACTCGGAGTCGTTTGGTGTGTTGTCTGGGCTGTCTACATCCATGTTGTTGTCATCTGAAGCTTTGTATTTGCTTTCAGACGCTGCACGTTCGTACATCTCAATGAGACTATTCTTCTCTTCGATCAAGGCCTTCAGCTTCGACTGGAGTTCTTCATTTTCGTGGATCCGAGCTTCGAGCTTTGATCTCACTTCGGCATTCTCATTGGATAGTTCTGCTTCTCGTTGAGTTGCAGCAGCAATTGCATCAACCATGGTTTTGAGCTCCATTTGATCGTTCATACCAACTGAGGGCTCCTCATTTATGTGTTTTCTGGTTTCTTCAAGTTGTGCTGCCAACTCATTGGCATGGCTACAGGAAAATAAAAGCAATACAATATTGTCATTTCCACGATTTCCAGGCAAATGAAGCACAGAAGAGTTCAAAGAATCAACTTTTTACCTTTCAAGTTTGTCTCTTTCTTCTAGGCAGAAGCTCAACTGCTTATGGAGAGTGTCTATTTCTGCCTGGTTTTGAATAGCCTAAAGAGATGAACCAATTGTTGAGTACGTCAAATAAATAAGCATCAACTTCAAAGATGATTATAGAGAATGTTTTTTGAAGAAAAACAACTACTCTACCTGCATACAAAGGAACTCATTCTCTTCCTTCAAACGCCAAGGGGATCCAGATTCCTGAATTGCAGAACAGAATGTAGGCCCACAGAAACTCCATTAAAGTGTGAATCAAGAATCACTGTGGAATAACGATATCCTCAAAAAAGCTTTTACCAATATAGTTTCCAGATTACCTTGCTTAACTTGAAGAGATCAATATCATCATCTTTCTCCTTGACTGAATCTTCCTTCTGGAGTGCAAGCATAAAAAAAAAAAAAATAGTTTACATATGAAACTCAAGTTTACGGGTATCACGCATGAGTATTAAAGTTGAAAGGGAGTGAGCTTATCAAGAACCTGAGAAAAGAAGGTTTCTGATTCATGCATAAGTTTCCAATCAAGCGCCTCAAGCAACTACCAAAAAGGAAAGGGGAGATATATGTGAGTGAAAAAGAGAGTTTGGAGCTCAAAATATAATGTAAAAGATCTCCTGATATGCTTTTCAAACCTTATTCTGCAACACTGTGATCTGCTCATTCATAATCTCCCTTTCACCCTCCTCACAACATGATTTCAGCCTGTGAGGAACAAGTGCCAACAGATATTATGTTCAAAGTTCTACCATAAATACTGAACAGTAGCTAATGAAAGGGAATAATGACAGAGTAGATCACGAAGAATGAACAAGACATGCCTTCTAATTTCTTCCTTGAGCTTCAAATTTTCCATCGCGAATCTTGTAACTTCTTGATTCCTGTCTACTTGGGTTCGTAGAAGTTGAATCTCCTTCAATTGTTCCTCCTTTTCTTGCAACAAGTGTGTCTCTGCTGAAATTTTACCAGCAGCAACTGACTCTAACCGTTTGACTCCTGCTTCGCGAAATCGTAGCCTCATTTTGAGGCCTTGAATCTCATCTTCTCTTTGCTTAGCCTATTTGTCACACAAATTGCACTAATTTATTTCTAAATTTCAGATAGCGACAGGAATGATAATAGATTGAAAGGTTATCTAAATAAGAAAGAAAGAAAGTGTGGTACTAGAATCTTCTAATTTCATTAATTTGCAATCTTACAAGCTTCCAGATTACAGCAAACTAAATTTCTTCACGAAAATTAAGTATACATATGCTTAATATAGGAAGTAATCAACCGAAAGGAAGAAGTTTGTCTAGCACATACCAGTAGCAAGACTGCCTGATTCTCAGCCTTCAGTGCCTTCATTTCCATGTCCTTATCTTTCTCCCTCCTAATAGCTCCGATAAGGGCGATCTCATAGTCTGGTTTCTGACGAAGTATAATCATAAGGGAATTACCAGCAGTTAGCAACTAAGTCTTATCGGGATGTTGTATAATGCTCAATAGGTTTAGTAAATACCTGAGACACCCTTTTATCAGAAACAAAAGGACTGAAGGAGCCTTGAAGCCCCTCCCATTTAAAAGCAGTAGGTGATCCAGCAATGCTTACTGCTGAAGCCTCAATTCCAGCAAAACTTCCTGCTCCATCATTCACTAAACTGCGTAGGTGGGAAACCTCTTTCTGGAAACAAAGATATATCCGATTTTTAAATTTATCAAGTGGAACACCTAAAAGTAAGTATGATAAAAAAAACCCATTATTATTGCCAAAGCACACTTGAGAACACCAGAGAATAGAGATGTTGAATTTAGCCAAGTTACCTTCAACTGCTGAATTTGCATCCGCATGCCAATCACATCTCCAGATGTATCTTCATTGACAATTGCCTAAAGGAAGGTAAGACACTAACCTTAGATTATCACCCATAAAAGAAGGCCATAATAACAAGGACCATAAACATTAGGGACATTGAAGTTTCAATATCAACAGAAGCCCACGACTTCAGTGCTATCATTACACAAAAAGAAGGATAAGTGTTCACGACTTCAGTGCTATCATTACACAAAAAGAAGGATAAGTGTTGATTACTTACATTGTTCTTAATGAACTTTGCACGTTGTGCAAACTTTAATGTGCCTAATGTTTCCAACGAATTGCTGCAGCAAGACCAAAACATTCGATTATTAGAAGTGGATGATAAAATATTTCATCCCACTGAAAATAGAGACTGGGAGAGAAAAGCATGTCGGGAGAAAATATTTGATCATATGGATCAAAGAGAAGCGATCACCATATCTAATCTCCAATAAATTACGAGAACAGTAGACTTTCAAAAGGCATTGACAAAAGTAGAAAATGATAATTGCAGAAACTAAACCCATTCTGCTAAATTGTTGACCGTGAACAAACTTTGGGTATTAAGTCCATACTGCAAACAAGATTTTACTTTTCTAGTCTTATGCCATGAGAAATCCAGATGTCGAGAGTTCTGTATGAGAAATACAGAAAGAAGAAAGATAAGTGAGGAAGCTATCCTACATATGCATTTTGTAAACAGCCATATACAATATCTGTCCATGTGCATTATTGGAAAAACAACACCGGCAGAGAGTTAAGAAACTAGCCAAACCAGGGGATACACATAGTATTTTTTTCCCCCTTAAACAAGATACGTTGGTGACTCACCAGAGAGCTGGACTAATATTTGCAACTATGATAGTTTTTGAATTGCCTCCGAGTGAGTCCTAAAAAAAAGGAATCAATTAGAACACAAAATCCTAGAATGTAGATCACCTTCTGCAATGAAAGTTCCACTTGATACTGTTCACCAATTCAAACTTCAGCATCTTAACTTAAAGTGAGTGAAGTTTTCAAACCTCAGTGACCCAATGAACATCTTACAATAATTACCATCTTTGAATAAGGTCGATAGTCCTATGAACCAGCAAATTTTAGAAGTTCAAAACTAAGAATCGCCTTAATAAGACACACATTGAAGTATCTAAAATTACAACTTTGACTAACCTAGACATCTAAGGACCAGCTATAATGGAAGCAAATACTCTGATTGGCTGTAAGAAAGATGTGAGCTATGCATAGTTCTCCTGATGGAAGACATAATGGAAATAATATATAAAACTATCTTTCTAGTCTCACGTAATTATGTGCTATTTATCTGTTTAAAAGCAAAGATTTTCTCATGTTATTCAAAATACCGCATTCTTTTCTCAACCATTCATAACGGCAATTAATGTTCACATCAGATGCTAATTAGAAAGACCAACATGTCTTTAGAGCAGCAACAAACTTATCTATCATTGCCACTCCAAAAGTAAATTAACTGCAAGAGTGTCTACCTGAAGCAAAAATGTCAACTTCGAATCTCTGTATGGAACATGCAGTGATTTTCCATTGGATATGCTAACAAGATTCATAATCACAAGGCTGCAAGCAATAAGTGAGATCAGTGAATAATAGTCTTGTGATTTGTGAATAACTGATACTTTGACTAGAGCAGAGGGCCAATCTTGCAACCATTCATGACAAATGTGGGTGGTAAAAGGGAGACTATACCCCAAGGTGGAAAGGGACTTGTTAATGTTTGTAGCTTCCTTCAAACGTTCTCCTTCAGCACCAGAACTCTTCTGCCTAGGGGTATATAGAATACAACCATATGAAGCATTAATAATTACTTCCTGAGCTAAAAATGTATGTGATACTACCAATATTAAAAACATATACCTTTCAGATCCAGCTAAATCAACTAGGTTAAGTCGAGCAAACCGGTGGTGAGTTACACCTTGTGATTCCCACTGATAAGAACTCAAATATCAGCATTGATCAAACTCATGCAAAATATATAAGATACTTGGATAATAAGGTCTCACTGTTAACAAAGGGCGATCTACTAACCTTGCTTTCAATAATGCATGTAAATACACTGTGGGAACGACTACTTGCATGGTTCATATTAGTTGCAGCCACTTTCCTATTTGCTGCACCCTGAGAAACAATGTACAAAGGGGCATTAACATTGCTGAACTCCATCCCAAAGTTTGAAGAAACAGTGCTGATCTCGATCTCAAGCTTTTAAGGATCATAACATACAGCTGTAAGGCTGAAATTTACTATGTTTAGATGAATAATTGTCAGCTACAAAATACAAATGATTAAATTTTGAGAGCATTGTTCACCCATATTTACATAGCATTGCAGAAGCGACGGAGACAGTAAGAACTTGAAACCAAGAAGGATATGGATTATCTGGACATAGGTTTTTGTAAATGATCAACCGTTGACAATGATTGAAACAAAGTATTAACTTCATAACCACTGCTTTTAGGCTATGAACGCTTTAGTGTCAATCACTAAGCATGAAGACTATAGCTGCTAATGGAAAAGAACTTCACGGATCATACAGTACCTCAATAAGCTGTTGGATTACATCTCGAGAACTGGTGACTTCTACCTCTTTTAAATTCTCGACATATACTCCTTTCTTCACATCTTCTCTTATCTATAATATGCAATGAACAATGTTAGTTTGTGAAAGCAAATCAAGGAAGTGCAAACGTTTGTCTAAACACTGTAACTTGTAAGACTAGAAAACTTGAACAACATTAGAAAGTTCTGATTACTGCAGCAGCAACATACTGAACAGAGCTCTTGAATTCATAAAAAAAGAAAATCAAGTTTCTCAATATCAAGACTCTGAATATGAAGCTATAACAATGTACGCTTAACGTGCCTGTAAATTGTTCGATGATGGGTCCAACAGATCAAGAATCTGTTCATTGTAAATCTCCAAGAAGGAGCATTTGCAAACAAACTTCAGTTTTTCATCTTTTCGAACATCTTTTTCCTATACAACAAAAAGGAATCACTTAGTCATATTCTTGAATGTTGCAGATGTCAACATTTGTAGTGCCTGTGCATGACGAAAATCTGTGTAAACACCAAGCAAAAGACAAACCTTCACTGATGAAACAAACTAGAAAATAAAATGGTGATAGGTTAAGATTTATGGGATGAAGCAAACCTTTTGTATTCTAGAGAACAAGTATTCAAAGACTCTAGGTGTCATCCCACAATGGACACTGTGCCTTCTTGTACCTCCTTCTATGTCTCCGAGCATGGTGTAAGTCTTCCCACTTCCGGTCTGCATCAATAAGACAGTACCCAGAAATCGGAACCAGTGAAGTACAACTCATAATTAACGATAAGCTAGTCAAATAAAATAGTATGTGCAGTGGAAGATGTTTGCTGAAACAAGTAGTAGTTAAAATCGTTTGGACTAATTCCTCTGGTTACTGTAGCTTTAGTCAAGGAGCGAGCTGAAATGTAAACTAGGATTAAGGTAACAATCATAAGCATACCTGACCATATGCAAACATACAGCTATTGTACCCTCCCATGCAATTGTCAACCATTGGCAACCCAGCCACCTTGAACATTTGTTCCTGCAATCAAAGACAAAATTTGAGCCACCATATAAAAGTAAAGTGAATTCGGGGTGCACTGAAAAAGTAGAGCCACTAAGAAGATGAAAGACATGCAACCTGGCTAACAGTCTCGTCCGCAACAAGATCAAATGTATAGCGAGACTCTGGAGGCCCAGTCCATGATATCACCTGAGGATTCTCTCGCCTGACACAAGTTTTATGACCTTGCTGGGAAATTTCAGAGCCACTTAGTGGGCGCATTCTTATGATAACCTGACAAAATTGAAGTGGTCATTCGTTTATTTCATTTTATCTATAGTTCACTCCAAATCACATTAAAGCTAACAAATACGAGAACAAATATGCTTGCATAAACACAGGATACAAACTTCCAGGTCAATTCCCGCTTGAATGAGTAAACCTACATTACACAATTCGCTAGGCTCCATATGCAAATCCAATTCTGAAGAATTGATTTTTCTAAGCCAACCGAACAAATTTTTACCAGCAATTCAGTCATGAACTAGCTCAATCGGATTTTATCGCTTCAGATTCAATACCCTAATACATTCCCAACGCCACTGAAATTACAGAATCGAAAGTTTCTCCAGTCTCACCTGAACGTTGTTGTCCTTCCAGAACGATGAATCGTCACCGAGCTCCGAGCTCTGAGTCGCCAACCCGCTTGTTTCGCCAGCGGCATCATCCTCCCACTCTACGATCCTCCGAGCTGCGGAAGCGGCAAACAGAGGCTTGCCGGATGTAAACTCGCCCCGAGCAGCCGAATTCAGCAGCAGCGGAGTACTCGGCACGGACTCCGAGGTGGAGCGGTCATTGAATCCGAACCGGTTCTTGATGGCACTTGCGGCGGCCTCGTAGTTGAACGGCATTTTCGCCCGGGCAGTCGGATTTGCTAGTTTTTCTCCGGCGCTCTTTCCTGCTTCCGTCTCGAGCTGAGAGAAAGGGAAAGATTATGAAGTAGGGGCGCTGGGAAAATCTGAAGTGGAAGAGTTGGAATCTGGCGGAGAAAGAAAGTAGAGAGAGAAGAAAGATTTGAACTGGGGGGGAGTGTTCAAGAAGACGGGGGGAAACAAGGAGAGGGAGATGTGAATCAAACGAATTGTGAACTGGTGATCCGACGGTAAAGAAGTGAAGATAGGGTCTGAGATGGAGGGCTGTGATATTCTGGATTTTGAATTAGCGAACCGTTTGAGGATCTGGGTTATGAAACAAAGAAGATATGGAATAATTGTGAAAGTGTCACTTAACTTTCACTCAATTACAAAATAGTACACTTAATGCTTGTTATATAACAAACGGGTAGGGGTCATTTGGAAGTTGCGTTAGTTTTGTTGAGATTGTCATTATGCATGTATTTAGGGGTGGGCAACGGGAAACGAGTATTTGGGTATACTCGTACTCGTCCCGTTTTTTAAGGGTTACGGGTACCCATTTTACCCATAATATTTTAAACGGATGGGACTTGGAATTGTACAGTCCTAATATGGGTACCCGCGGGTTACCCGCGAATACCCGTTTGGGGAATATGGGTACCCGTTGTACCCATTCAAATTACAAAGACATATAATTCAGCCCATGCGCCCAGGCCCAACCCAATTCAAAATCCATTCGTATCCAGCTCATTTTGGGAATCAGTCGGGCCCTAGCTTATCGTTTCATTTCAACTAGTTGTTGTCTTTTTTATTTCTATATTACTTATTGCCATTCATGGTGGCACACCCGAAGTTTCTTTTTCTGCAGTGTAGGTTGAGTTAAGGAAAACATACTGATGAGAAATATATGCTTCATTTTGGTAGGTGAGTATCCCAAGATCTTGGGCTTAAGTAATGGCGAAGTAATGGCAGTGGGAAAGTGTGGGAGCACCCTTGCTTGCTGCTGCAAAATTCACCACCTTCCCCACCCTATTTTGCCAAACTGAGGATTGATTTGAGTAGAAACAACATTATTATTATTATTACTGAATCATGGCACTTTCCAGGAAGCAGAACTTGTTCTCTTTCTGGGTTTTATTATTTGGTCCTTCCCCCTTCCTTGATTCCTTTTCATCTTCATCATCATCCCTTCTTTGGGTTGTAGGAATTGGTGTAAGTTGCTACTTGTGCAGCCATTTTGTGTTTTGAAATGAATGCTTTGGATGTAATTGACTAATTGTCTAATTGTCTTTAGGTAAAATGTCATTTAAACTTTGGGTATTTATGGGTAGTATGGGTACCCGTTATCCGTCCCATACGGGTAATGGGTACCCGTTTCCCATATGGGTTTGAGATATGGGATGGACTTTGGTCTCCAAATGGGACTGGGTACCCGTTTAAAACGGGACGGGTATCCCGTCCCGTCCCGTTGCCCACCCCTACATGTATTGTTTACAATGCATCGTTTTTTTGTTTTTTTAACAGAAACAATACATGGATTGTTTCTGTGATGTGACAGAAACTATCACTCATTTTGAGTGATTGTTATATCTCAACTTTTAGGGGTCGTTTGGAAGTTGCGATTGTTAAATAGATGTATTGTTGAGAATGCATGTATAATATTATACATGTACTGTCGAATTTGATGCATTGTAGAATACAACGTTTGGTATGTGTGATTGTGTATGTCGCATCAACTAAAACCTGAGACAACACAATCTCAACTCAATTATCTCAACAATTACAACTTTCTGCCAAATCAAAATGATGCAAAACGAGCGAATTCAAATTGACTCAACCAAATTATTACATCCTTATTATATGTTACCAAACGAAACAATTTGACTTGACTGTTTTGTTTTAATGCAACTGGGATAAATTTGTCTCATCGAATTCCATCATCCAAACCACCCGAGAAAATTCCTATTCGTAAGAGAGAGTTTGGAGAGAGATAATTTATACATAGCACTAGAAGAATAAAGAAGGGTCCTCCCCTTCAAAGGCTTGAGAGTCTTTATATAAGCTATGATTTGTCTCTTTTGGCTCTTAACTTGAGCTGTCACTGATAATACGAATTAATACACCTTATTGCTTACATCTTTCTACCACCGAATGGAAGTGGTTGCTTTAATTTCAGCCTGCCCTCATTACCAACAATTCACCCAACATGATAAGTCGTCCCGAGAAACTATTATATGGGAAATCTTAAGCTGGAGAAAGGAGAGACGCCAATGAGGCCATGATACCCCAACCAAAAAAAACACATCATCTGGAAGAATAGGCCAAAACTTGGATGAATCATTATAAGTTGTAGGGCTGTTTTTAAGACAGCAATATTTACATTTCTGTACTCAACATTACTCAAGAAGTTGCACAACAGAGGAGAAAAATAGCAAAGCATTTACACATAATATAAGATGGATGGAGAAAGAAGAAAATGAACCAAAAATAGGCTGATAGAAGGTATATGTAACTAAATGCCCAGACAAAAACAAGATCATAGCCGTCTAGAATACCCAGAACCTCTGCACTTCTTGCACAGTATCAACCCTGCACATAGTACCCATATCTGATTACAATACGAATATGTGAAGAACGAACATTCAGGTTTAAAGAGCTCAAGCACTGAGTTGATGAGGGTGCTAGATAAGCAGAGATCAATGTTCACTGCTGCAATGGAATTCATGTCGATTTCGTGGATACACTAGCTTGTCGCATTTTGCAGTGAAATTTTCCCCTCTAAAGAATGTAGGAGGCAAGATTGATAGAAGAGGCAGTGGAAACCCCACAAGGTACAGATGGCACATTCAGAAATGATCTAGAGTAACTAGTAGACACAATCTTAGTTAAACATAATAGTTCCTTAATGAGGAATTAACAGCAAAAGGTATCACATAGGATGATGATGATGATGATACCTGCACCCTTGCATACTCTGCAGTCCATCAAGCCGGTTTCTTGCTTCATCTTGCCGTTCTCGCAGAACACACATTTCGTGCCCCCTTGTTGAAGAACAAAAGGAAGCAACAACAATCAACAGTCAGGACTCAGGGCAACACAATTAACTCAACTCGAAGTGCCAAACAATGAAATTACAACGTGAAGCCGCAAACCATGCCAAATTTTCACAATTTGTTGTGAATCCAGCTTAATAGCTCGAAAGGGTATGTATAAACTTAACTAAAGCTGTAAAGCATCTTGCATATTACCATCAAGACAAAATGTACTATCTAACTAAAGGATATCCATATTAACCCCTAACTTCGTCTCCAAGTTACTGATTGGTTTACAGTATTCACCAATTCAAACTATACTCTTTGTATACACTTCAGAATGCATTTCCTTCTCATGCTTCACGATTTCAAAAACTGCTCTATTGGAATGCAAGCTAATTTCAGTGCTTCACACATAGATAGAACTGCACAACTCTGCACCACACATTCATTTATCCAAATTCCCATGACCAAAAACCCAGAAACCCAGAAAAAGAGGCAGATTACCATTTCCAGCACACTTGCTGCACGGAACTGGATCTCCCTGCCAAATACAAAAAAAAAAAAAAAACCATTTCATGGGAGTAATTTCAGTTACTACTATCAGTAAAATTGAGAGATGTAGAAGGAAAATGGGGCGGAAATTACTTTGAGGCCGAGGAAGAGGGAGAGAGCAATGGCGGCCACTACGCTAGCAGTGATTAAAACTGTCTGGGTATTGGGAGGTGATGATCCGGGGAAGAGGAAAAGCGCCGGGACGACGATGAGATTGGCCGTTGAGTTGGGAAGGAGGTTTCGCTTGCTTGGAGAACAGCAGGGAGGTGGAGAAGGGAGTTTCGGTTTCGAGAATGGCAACCGTGCTCGAAGGAGAAGATTGCTGCATGTACAAGTAGACGTTGTTGGCGGAGAAGGAGAAGAAGGGAGGGGAGAGGAGCAAGAGGAAGCGAGGAGGGAAGCCATGGAGGATAAAAAGAAAGGGAAGAATTTGTGGCGCTGAGTGGAGTGGTGGATTCGTTTGTTTTTCTTTTTCACCGTGGTCATCGAAATAACCGCTTTGTTTCACCCGGTCCTGGTTAAAACGATTTAAACGCAATATTTGATTGATCAGCAAAGTGATCATTAGACTTTATTGCTTATAACAAAATGATCCCCATATTTTAAGAATCTAACAAGTCATTCGTTGAACTTCCTCAATTTGTAAACAAATAGACGCCAAGTCATTCGTTAAAACGATTTATACGCCCACTCAAACGAAAGCCGACTTATGGGTTTGAAGTTTGCACAGGGTCGTCATACTATGTGCTTGAAAGACAACAGTTAATATTGGGCGTCGTGAGGACTTGAACACGTGACCTTACAGACAAACCAGCTCTGATACCATGTCATATACCAGTTGGTCCAATAACTCGAGTTGTTAGGAGAATATTATGTTGAATCTTATATAGGTCCATATACGGTACTTAACCACTTCCTTACAACATTCCCCTCTCATTCCTTTGTTGCAACTTGCAATAAGTGATGATAACTTTACTCTCCCTCTCGAGACATTCCTCCCTACTGCAATCAAGCAGGGTTTTATCGCATTGACTGGACTACGAGAAATACTCATAAAAAGATTGATGATAGTGAGTTTAAGTACTCCCACCCTGTCTTCGTATTCATAAACCATATATACAAACATCTAATTATGAATCATTCAATTCCTCTTCCCCCATCCGCTGAAGTTTGCAAAGCACCACAACCCTAAGCTTCCCTAGTCCACTTGTCAAATTCCATCGACACATATATGACACATTGTAATCTAAATTCTGTAATACTTGATTTTGTCATGGTTTGTAGTTGGATTATGCTATATGATGTTCGTCTAGTAGTGTTGTGTTTACTTATATAAACTTCTTATTTTTCTGGTAACTGCTTTATCATTTTATAGCTCTATCTTAATCGACTTGATCAATATACTGAAAAAACACACCACTTTCCAAAAGCAATTTATGCCATGTTGCATCATCCACAAACAGTTGAGCATCGCTCAGAATGAAAATAGAAAGTCGATTATGTCTTAACAATGCCACAAACCCTCTATAGTGGTTACTAACCACCATCCCTTGGTTCACAAGGCTACATATTATGTGTTACCATGCCAAATCAATGCCCTGGCCAAGTCACAAGGGGAACAACTTTGAACTAATTTTCAACTGGATGTACACGCCAAAGATTATCCGTTAGAAGTTATATGCTAAGGACGAGGATGCAAAACTTCTATCACGGTGATAAAAATAAAATAGATTTTTAGATTCAAAATGGGGATGGTAAAAGATTTAAGATAACCCACCTCATTGTCATCTTTACTTCACGACTCTCCCTTCCCTTACATCGTGTCTCTTCTCCCTTTCTCATTTACCAAAATATATTATTTTTAGAAGATAAGAAATACACCTATTTTTGTATTGTGAAAAGTGTGGTATTTGTCACATTTTAGAAAATATACTATTCTCAAAGGAAGCAATATCAATTTTCTTTCTATAAGGGTGATTTGCGTTCACTGTCTATGAGACTATTGATATTACCACTAGATCAAACCCTTTTTCGTAAGAAGCCACATCATTCTTCATATCACACAAGTTAGTTACTTAATCGTCACATTTGTCATTTAATTACTGAACTATCAAATATCATACTGAACTTTACCAAAGATAAAGGGTTTGAATGGGAAACAATAGTTTTAACTCTTCCGTGATTTTTTTTCCTAGGTGCAACATGTAACAAAAGAATAGTTTATGGTGTCTTAATAGTATTTTACCATGCGCTGGATTAGTGAGTAGTAAAGAATATTCCAAAACGTGCATTGTGATCGGGCTGATGGTCCGCAGTCCACACTTCACACTTGTCAAAGTGGGCCGGGCCCAGATTCCACGCCCTCTCTGAAACGGAAGGAGAAAAGGAAACGGCGAACAAATTAAAATCGGAGCCAATTAATTAGGGAAATCGAGTTCGGCGCTGCACACGACACGACGGCAGAAACCCTAGCTGCCGTGAAGTAGAAACTGAAAACTTCAATCCTCCTCTGTTCAAACCCTAACCGCTGGTAAGCCTGCCAGGGAATGGGGAGAGGAGAGAAGAGAAAGGCTAAAGTCGTCGATGAAGAAGCCGAGGAGACGCAGAACGAGCCAAAGCTTGTGGTGGACTTGAGCGTCACCGACGACGAAGATGACAAGGAGGCCAACGAGGATCTGAGCCTGAAGATCGTCGAGAAGGCTATTTCCAAGCGCGGGACCAAGGTGGACGCCGAAGAAATTGGCGCCGTTAATTTGAGCAACGGTCGCAGCTCGGATGGCGATGCCGGTGCTGCTGTCGGTGGCAGTAACGGCGGCGATGGCACAGCGGAGCTATCATCGTCTTCATCACTGGAAACCTATGCGATTGTTACTGGTCCTGATGGGGTTGTGAAGAAGAAGCTAAAGAAGAAGAAGAAGGTTAGAAGAAAGGAAGGTGGAGAGCAGCCTGTAAGTTCTATTCTTCCTGTCACTTTGGTTGAGTGCTGTACAATTCATTTGGGAGGTGGTTTGAACTTTGAGGACTTGTTCTCACCTTCCATTGTATGGCTTTGAATTACTTGAATGTCGTCTGCATTAGGTTATCATCATAGATGAAGAAGAGAAGAAGGAATCAGTTATGGAAGGGGATGAGATTGGGAAGACGGAGGCAGTTGAGGATGCAGGAGTAGTTGTAACTGTGGATCCAGATTCTGTGGAGATATCAGATAACATCGTCCTGAGAAAGCTTCTTGTGAGTTGACATTACATGTTTGGAATAGTTTGAAAACAAAAATGATGGGATAGGAAATAAAGCAATACAATTCCGTTCTATTTCTTCTGTCAGCGTGGACCGAGGTACTTTGATCCTCCAGATACTGTCAGCTGGCCAAGTTGCTATAACTGTGGGGAGGAAGGTCACATGGCAGTGAACTGTTCAGCACCTAGGAAGCGGAAGCCGTGCACTATGTGCGGGAGTTTGGATCATGTTGCGAAGCAATGTAACAAGGTTTGCAACTAGTCTGATACGTGAATGATTGTATTTATCGTCCATTTTTTCTTAAAGTTAAAGACCGGGAAGCTTATTGGGTTCTTTATGTATATGCTTCAGTATTTAATTTGTTGTGTTTGCTTTCCACCTAAATGGTACTTGTTTATGTTTTCATAGGGTGGGGAATGCTATATTTGCAAAACTCGTGGACATCGCGCAAGGAATTGTCCTGAGAAACACAAGGGTAGCTTTCAGAGTTCCAGAATTTGTCTCAAATGTGGAGAATCTGGACATGAAATGTTCACGTGCCGGAAAAGTTATGACAAAGAGGATCTTCAGGTTGCATTTTTGGTCCTCAGATGTCTTTTAATGACTGATCTATGCACTAGATTGTTGTCATTCTTTTAATCTCTCTTGGTGGTTACTCAAGATCGATCCTCCTTTGGCTGTGGATTAAAATAAATTGTTCCCCTTCTGCTTATAACTTCAGGATATACAATGCTACGTTTGCAAGAGATTTGGCCATTTATGTTGCGTTAATTATGTTCACGAGGGAGAAAATGAAGTTTCCTGCTACAGATGCGGTGCAGTCGGTCATAATGGCATTGTAAGTTCTCAATGCTTGCCTTTTTTTTCTCTTTTATGTAAGAATGTTTTGCTTCTCTTTTTCACTCTTTCGGGTTTGTCCCTGTACCAACCTTTCATTATTTTGATTGGTTTATAAGAATGTGTACCACCTCCTTCAAACACACAACCATCTGTTCCGGACACAGCACATGGTTTATCATGAATTATATTGTAGTGAATGCTGTAACGAATATAATTTCCTGATACTCTGGTGATTTTTCTGCGCTTTCCCTTCAACTCCTTTAGGGTTCCCTGTGCTCTGTTGATCCTCTGATGCTTTCATTTTCAGTATACTTAAATTGTCTACGGTTCGTTACTTTATATACAATCAGATGCATGACCTGTTTAATCACACAGGACTGTGCAAGGGTAACTGAAGAAGCAACTAGTATCGGTGCTGCTATTACGGCAGCATCACCCAGTACATGCTACAGATGTGGCGAAGGGGGACATTTTGCCCGCGAGTGCCCTACTCCTGGCAAGGTATGCATGAATCTTCATTGAAACCCCTGCTCTAGTCACTTGGCATTGGTTAACGGCGTCTTGAGTGTTTGCTTTTTGCCTTTTTTGTTTGTGTATGTGGGTTTTTTTCAGACTGGCAAGCGGATTCTTGATTTTTCAGCTCCTCTCAAGGAGAAGAAGATCTCGGGGCAGAAATCTGCTCCTCCCAACCTCGGTGGTAAATCTCGGAAGAAGAGTAAAACAAAATCTATCGAAACACACTCTTCAACACCAAAAAAGTCAAAACGCCAACCCCCAAAATCTCTTGAAGCAAACCTTCCTCCAACACCAAAAAAGTCGAAAAATAAAGCCCCAAAATCTCTGGAAACACACCCTTCAACACCGAAGAAGCCGAAACAGAGAGGTGGGTGGGCTACGGAGCACCTGCAGAATCACTCCAACTCACATCCCCAAAGGCATCATCAGCATCTTCAGAACCCACCTCCTGCTTCAATGCAGAGAGGTGGATGGGCTGCCGATCATCCGGGGGATTACCCTCATCACTGGAACCCTCAGAGGCATCATCACCACCATCATCATTATCCGGAGCCACCTCCCTCGACGCCGCCTCCATATAGGAACCATATGTTGCACACGGCGTCATCGAGTCACTATTCGTCAGCTCCACCAGCCCAGAGGATGACGTATCAGCAGCGTCCTGGGCCTTCGAGATTTCAGGGCGGTCCTCCGCCATATCATCATCATCAGCCACAGCCGCAGCACAGGTATCTGGATGATAGGCTTGGGAACCCCGGCGGTGAATATGGGCACAGCCCGGGTAGTTACGATCAGAGATGGCGGCATGACAATGGACATGAATGGCGGCATGACAATGGGCATGATTGGCGGCATGACTATGGACATGATTGGCGGCGGTGACAGAGAAAAGAGAGAACAAAGCTGCGGGGAACACAATGGTATTGTTTTCTTTCTCCTATGGCCATCCTGGCCTTTATGTAACCTTTGTAATCAGTTGAGCTCGCTTTTCTTGTTTTGGCAAGGTCTACTATTTATGAATGTGATATCGGGGGATTTCATCTACAAGTGTCTTCTTTCAATTTTGGTTCATTCGTTTTCCAGTTAACAGTTGAGCATCTTTCTTGGATTATCTCGTCCTATACTAGCTATTGTATTATGAAATTTTGGAATAATTGATTTTAATTATAGCGATGGAAGTGTTTGGGGAATGTTGCATCCAGCATGCTGGTATTTCCTTTTGTACAGAGGATCAGAAGGTTTGTAATGCATTCTAGGAATCTGAGACTGAAAAGACGTCTCAAATACCTGTTATTGTTATATCCGTTACCCTGCTCTAACCAATCGGGTTTTATCTATGCCGGTAATCTCGTATTCATATAAAATTGAGGTATACTATTAAAATTACGGTTGTGCTCGATCGAGTTTGGGATATTCCTTTGTAATCATGATTCATGAATACCAATTTTTATTTATGTCAACTGATTTCTTATGAGTTATGACTTATGAGCATATTAACATCAAATAAGCGAAAAAGTACAAATGATGAATCACCAATTCTAAACTTCATAAAATGTATGTTGAATATGTCAAGAGAAGAAAAGAAAAACATATTCATAAGAGAAAAATGAATGTGCATATATAATCATTTCGAGTTGGATAACAAGAAAATCATATTCACTCATACTTGTAATACCTTAATTCGAGTTTTATCTATATTCCGAATAATTTATTTAATTTGAGTTTAACCTTACCCAATTAGACCACATTCAAGCATTTTGCCATCCCCACATCCTTCTGTGAATTGGCTAATGACACGACCCAATCCATCCTTATGCTACTTTGTTGAGTCTCATCCGTAGGAAGTTTAGTCAAGATTGGTTGGTCAGTCTGTCTCATACATATCAAGAAGGGAATAGTCGCGGGCTGGCTCTCGAAGCATAATCTCGTCTATCCCTACGGGATGCATGAGTTGGCTGATCCACCTCCGAGTGTTGTACCGCTTATTCGAGACGACGTGATGGGGGTTACTTTTGAGCGCCGGATCTTCTCCCTCTGTAACTGATTTCTTCTTCTTGGCCTCGGCCTCCTTGTTATGAAAAAAAAAAACTTAAAAAAAATGGTGGCAAACTGGCAATAATTTTGCGGCGTAGCAACCTGGCCGGTTCGGTTCGGGTAACCGAGCATGGAAGATAACCAGACATGGACCCTAAAACCGAACCATTAGCATAACGGTTGGCGGCTTCTTACCTGTTTGTTGCTTGAGCGTCCCGACGCGCAAACAAGTGAAAGAGAGTCAGTCAGTCGCAAAGGCTGAAGAAGAAGACGATGGCATGTTCAGGAAATCAGCAAGTAAGTTCCTCACTCGTCTTTGCTTCGTTTTCATTTGCGATTTTGTGCTTCTCCTTGGAACTATATTGTTGTTGGTAAGTGAAAGGAGCTCGAGTCCCTTCTGGGACAATGCGATGAAGAAGCTGAAGATTTTTTTGTAACGTTTGGGTGAATTTTTTTTTGTGGGCATGGCTCATTAGTAAACACATTCTCCCCCATTTGCTTCATTTAGGTGTGATCCTACCTCGAATCTGACTGCCCTCCTTTCATTTGTGGAGAATATCACTTAGTTAGGGCTCGGTGTCGACTCAACTTCGTGTCTTGAATCGCTTCCTGACATGACTAAACCTTAGCCATGATGCTGGTTTGGGTCTATTTGAAGTGGATGATCAAGTGTAACAACCCAATGACGTTGATTCTTCTCTTGTTCTATTTGTCTTGACATGCTTTGCTTGCTTGCTTATCACAAGAAAGTTACTGATAGCCTTCGTTTTTTTGCAGAAGAGGTTGAAAACCGAAGAGGTAACGAGTGACGAGACGGAGGAACAACAGTACATGATAATTAAGGTTTATCATTTAGCAATCTCTCTATTGTTGCTCTTCATTCCTCCGTGTAACTAGCTATCTGACATTTTAGTACCATATGATTGGGTTTCAATGATTAGGTTGTAAGAGATGAAGATATCAGGAATGACATTGGGAAAACCGGGTACTTTGATCTCGCAGATCATGACAAAGTCACGAGCTTTCGTGTTCCAAACCTGTTAGTGTTTCAAACTCTTCAAGGTATGCATATGATGCTCAGCTTTAGGTTATTGGATATGCTGGTTCTGACTTGTTGCATATAGTTTCAGGCAGTAGGCCATGAGATTGTCAAGTTATGTGTGTGGTTTTATTCTTTACCCAGGAAACTGTTGCTCGAGAATTCAGAATACCAGTTCTGTTTCAACGTTTCCGGTGGTGGACAAAGCGTGACGACGGTAGTTGTCGTCCAGCAACGCCAGTGACATCTTCTGAGGAAAATCGACTGGTAAGAAAGAAGGCACTCGCTAGTTGCTTCTCTGAATGTGTAAATGGTTGTATGCAGTTGATTTCTCTCTACCTTCTTATGCCCATCAATATGGCCAATGATCATCATTAAAATATGTTGCACTATTTTCTATCAAAAAAATTTAAAGCTGCACTATTGAATGAAATTGTAGGCAGATCCATTGATTTCTGTCAAATGTATATATGCTTTTGCATTGTGTGAAATGCTTCTTTCATCGTGACACACTGATTCATTAATGGTTTAACATGTTTGCCTATCTCTTGAATCCTTGATTGCAAGGCATCAAATGTCGAGTTTCAAATCATGTTTGATGTGAAGTTGTGGTGTATGTATATTATATATACTTAGTGTTGTGCTGCAGGTGATAGAGCTTCAACAATGGGTGGCGGAAAGTGTCCGGATCAATAATGCAAAGTTGTACTTATTCTTGGAAGTTGAATGAGATGGCTGGCTATCCTCCAGATCAAGAGATTGATCTGTATGAGGTGTGTTCTTCCCATGTACATTATGGTTCAACTTCTGCATACTTCACTGCAGCACGTAGCTTTTCTTGGTGATGGTTGGAATGAATTGCAAAATTTGGTATTTCTGCAGGAACTTCATTCTGAATCCGAATTGATGATCGAACCCGTGGACAAGGAAGTACCTTTTGGACATGTTGGGGGTAACACGTGCATCATTCTCATAGACCATCCATCATCCAATCCATGGCTTGAGATCAGTACTATATATAAGTATAACCCGTGAATAGCATGCTCACATCACCTACATGGTCGATTTCAATGCTGTTCTTGCAGCAGCAGGATGGAGACACCTTCTGCTTTCAGAGATCCGTGTCTCCTCAAAGTGTTGTGGATTGCCGATATCCCACCATTCCTTTGTTCTACGCATACTTGCACTGTTTGGCAACTGGCATTTCAACGTGCCACCAAGCATGAAGTGTGTTTCCAATCATCTCGGTCTTAAAACTTCTCTATCGATTTTACTTAAGTCATTAAACTTACGAAGTAAACAAATTCATTTTGTGGGTGACCTTTGTTTTGGAGGAAAGGCCGCAGCTGTACATGCAAGTGTTGCCTCCCTGAAGAAGGAGCTTCGTGAGTCTCGTTCGGAGGCTAAACGTTTACGAGATCATACTCAGAAGTTGGAAAAGGTAAATTCTTTCTGGGATCATCATTCCCTAACTTTCTGGATAGCTCCTGATCTGGAGGTACTCTGGAATTCTTCTGCAGCAATAGAAGGAGCTCACAGGGTAAAGGCTAATATGATGGTGTTTTTGATGGAAGACCAGCTTTTGAGGCAATGGAGAGACTTAGGGGTAAAGGCTAACAGGAACAGAGGTCTTATTGGACTCCCTCATGCTTTATTGAGTGCATTGCTTCGTTACCTCATACTGTTTACACTTCAGGAGAGGTTCACTGTATTTTCTGTCAAGGGTTCTGTTCCAATATTTATTACAAATTCTAGATAACAACCCAAAAGAGCGTACCCCAATCTTTACTCGTCGGCTCGCCGGGCGGGACATTGGAATCTTGAATGCCCTGTTTCTGGTCGATCGGGTCTGCCGAATCCGAACGGTTCTTTCTTGGGCTTCTCAGAAACCTTTCATTTCAGTGCTTTGAGTCTCGAGCAGTCTCCAGCCAGTCTTCCTTTCTCCGCTATATATCAATACTGGTGTCTCCTCTGCTTGTCACAATGTCCTGCAAATAGCTCTGTTCTGATAGAGAAGCAAAACAGAGTGTGTCTTTTGTAAGGCTAAAGATAGGAAACATGGCGTCTACACAGACCACAAACAGAAAGAGTAAGTCTTCTTCTTCTTCTTTCCCGTGTCTTTACTTCCTTATGTTCTGACCCTCACCGAGTTTCCATTCTTTTCTACTTGTGGGCAGAGGCCAACAGGAAGGCGCGGATGGAGGCCAGGGACTTAACCGAGCAGCTGAAGATGGCGCAGGAGCGATCCTCCAGCCTCGAGGCGCAAGTTCGAGATGCGGTGGGGCGACTCGTGAGCTGTGCTGCGGAGCGGGATCAGTTGAGGGCGGCTCTGGAGGAGGAGAGGATCGGGCGGAAGGAGGATCAAGCTGCATTGGAGCGGGAGAGAGCAGAAGTGGAGCGTGTGAAATTGGTTGCTGAGAGGACAGAGCTTCGTCAGCGGTTGATGAGGGAAAGCCATGGCCGTCTGGGCAAGGCATTGGATGAGTTCTATGGCCTTGCTAAGGAATTAAGCAGAGATTTTGAAGATGAAGAGGAAGGGAACCTGTGCGGGATGGGGGAAGGAGAAAGATGAAGAAGAAGAAGCAAACCAAGGTTACGGCTGGAATGGGAAAAAGAATTAACTAGAATTTTTATTTTTATTTTTCTGTCAGGGACCTGTTTTAGTGAAAATGATTATGGGCTTTTTGTCTGAGCGTTTGTTACGGTTGAACCAAACTCCGACCTTGTTATTTTGGCTGGGCCGGGCTGATTAATGCACTTTTTATAATGGTAAACGAAACCGTACCGGACATCATACCGGATTCCTTTCTAGTATGGTATTTTGTGGTACGACCGTGGTTCAACCGTTTTATACCGGTAAATACCGTTTTTCACTATTGATAGAGAAATGAAATGCGATAGTATAAAAAATATAATCCATAAAAAAGAACCAAATAGAGCATTATACAACCACGGTGACCCATTTTCAACATAGAAAAATAGCAAAATAATATTCTTTTTAATTATTTTCCACATATTGGACGAGAATACGGAGAAATGAAGTTGAATCATAGACCAGGAAACCGGATCATACCGGCCAGTTCAACCGATCAAACCGAAAAAACCGGCCGGCACGGTAAAATCAGCACAATCAGCCCATCGTACCGCTTTTTGTCCAATTTCCGGTTGAACCGGTTGAATCGGCCGGTACGATCCGGTTTCCTGGTCTATGCTTTTTATGAGCTTCGCTACTTCATTTCTTTCTTCAGCCCCCCCTTAATCTGAAACTAGTATTGGGCCCGGCCCGTTGACCGGTGTCTTGTAAAACTTCGAAGAATGAAGAGAGGATTAAGTAGCATAATTTGAAGGTTAACAAAATGTCGAACTAATGATAAAATTTTATTCGTAATAAGAAAACTCAAATAGCATCGACATAAGTGCACTATAACCTGATAAAATCAATTGTAGTTGTCAATTCCACGGAATGTAAGGGTAATCAAGAAATACTTGATCAAAAAGTTGCATGAAGATGATTAAACTATATCCAAACACAACCCTCCACATTTTTAAGGAAATAAAGTAATGCATAAATGGGCAAGAATCTCTGCTACACACGCTAGGCTTAAGAGAACTACAGACTGCTATCATTTTGCAGATTAAGTGTGTTGTTGAAGTAGTACGTAGTAGGAAGATATAAAGCAAAGCTAATAATCTGGAATTCATAAGCATCCATTTCCACTTATCTCTTGGCTGTAGCTGCTTGTATAATTTTTACCTGAGTTATAAGTTTCACCTTTATAAAAATTCATTTGCGGTATGATAATTAGTTTATCTTCATTATTTCTATACTAACTAATATTATATTGTCCAATTTTTAACTGATTTATTCATTTCTTTAATTTTCTTACGGTTGGCTTACAATTTGGCTTGGATTCTTCATAGTACTCCATACTAAGTTTTAAGTTCTGAATGGGAGTTCTTTTTCTAATGCGCTCAACTATCACTAAAGAATTGTATACTTGTAATAGGCTAGTGATTTCTTATGCTTTCCATATGATTTGAATTTCTCTAACCTTCAAAGTTATCTATCCAAGGTTAATTTTTATGTCGAAGCCTATGGTATGAAGTTTGCTTCTTGATTTAAGACTTTTCCCTCTGGATTCCATGAATACTGATCAAATCAAAGAAAAATTAAGATCAAATAGTAAATTAATTTTGTGAAGCGAGAGCGCAAGAGAACATATTTTAGAAGAATTCAAGATTAAGTACACAAATATAACTACTAATCATTATATTATTTTAATTAAAATTTTTTGTTTCAATTAATTCCATACGAAGACAATATTAATAGAAATACAGTATTGTTTTGTTGGTTCGTTATTCAATAGAATTAGAAAACATATATATTTAGTAAATGAGGACCAAAATTTGTACATAGTTTATATTATCTTATATCCACTCATAATGAACCTTGGTCAATTATTTTCTTTCTTATCTTATCCCTCATCCATACCACCGGTCACTTTCTAGTTTCTTCTACAACCCAGATCTCTCAGTCTCACCCCCTCACAACCCTCTCTCTTTCTTCTACAACGCAGAGGAAGCTAGCTATAACTTCGTTTAATTTCCGCTTCTCTGCAAAACCTCAAATTTTCACCACCATGCAACAGCCTAATAAGCCCTTTTCACTCATATCTCATCATATATCAAGTGATCGACATGCCAAGTTCCTATCGTAACGTTATTTTGACGGAAAGAAGACGATATGATTCGACACTAGGCCGATGATTCAAGGTTCCGGCAAGGAAAGGGATAGATGGAGATTAGCCTATTTTCTCTTTGCTCTTTGATCGACATCTGAATTTGTTACTCGACTCTGTCTCACATCTCAAGAGGATGAAGAGTTTGTAGCCGCCATTCTGTTTCGCTACTGTTCACCCGGCAACAACTTTTTGATGTCCTTCCATAAATTTTGTTTATGAATTTTCCTGAGTTAAATATCATATATTTCAAGAAACTTGTTGCACATAACTCATTCAACTTCTACCGAAAAAGAGAGCCTTTAAATCCAATTTCTGGTTCTGCTTGCATGGTAATTGCAAAATCAGTTGATTAGAAAATTGGAAGAAAGATTGTAGAAAAGCTTATTTGATATAGAGGAGAACAACCTTTTATTTAGATTTTCAGAGAAATTTTGGGAGGCATAGCGAAGAATTGACAAATTAACCGGTTTGCCCCTCCTAGTCTGTGGATTGCAAATCGATTTTCGAAATAGGGATTGAGGTCCGGCGGTGGAATGGATTAAAGGCAAGGGGAACGATGCGGCGGCAGGAGGAACAAAGAAGCGGCGGCGGGAGGAAAGGGAAGGGGGCACGCCGAGAATTTCTTCCGGGAGGGTTTGGAATACACAAGGTGAGAGAGAGAGAGATGGGTCAGATTTTTGGGACGTTTGGGCGGACCCGCGACAAAGATGCCGAGAAAGATAAACATTGAGGAATTACCAAAAGGCCCATCCGCAGTGTGCGGGTTATTGAGAAGGGATTGACGTGGCAAAACTGTTTTTTTGACATTGCTTTATAGTATTTTGTAGATTCTGATTCAAAGGGTTTAGGTTTTGGTTTCGAATGAGGGTGGATGGATATTGGGGTGAATTGTAAGTTTGGTTATTGAGATTACTAAATCGTTTTGTTATTCGAAAATTGGATCCAATTATCCAAAGAGTAGACCCAGTGCCATCCCTATTTATCATTCCCTTAACGTTTGGGATATATGGCTCTTCATAAGGTACTGTCAAGTTCGTTGGCAGCAAACAAAGGAACTGTCAGGTTAAGGTTAAAGACTAACGATGGCTAAAACGTGGATTTGAAAAATGAAGGTTTTGTAAAATCATGGATATATGAGGGTTTTGGGTTCATCATTGATGTGAAAAATACCATTGTTTGTTTCATAGATTTCATGATGGAATTGGTTAATTAGATTTTGTATGTATGAAGTGAAATTTAAATTTATTGTCCTCGTTGTTATGAGAAGAGAAATGAAATAGGAGGGATAGTTTGGTCTTAAATGATAGACTTCAAAATCCATGATCAATTCTCACTTAAATAGGTGTAACTTTCAAGTCCGTGAGGTCCACGGATTTAGACCTTTAAATTTCGTGGAAGCCACAGATGTGTTTCCCCTAAATGCACCAAGTAAACAGTGGACAAGCATATGGTATAACTTTAAACTTTTCGCTTTCTCTGAAAAATCCTCCTCGCCGCCTCACTACAGCTTCCCCTGTCCCTCCGATCTCACCTTCCGCTGTCGTTCTCCCGAGTCTCGCTCTTGCTAAAGAAAGGTCTCTTCACCTGTTCCGGTTGCCGCTCCAACTCCTCGGCATCCCATCATACACCTTCACGAGAATCAGTGCCGGTTAGCGCATCATCAACGAAACAGGAAACAGAAAGGTCAATAGAAGGATGAATACTTCCCCAAACTATTAACTTCGAAATAGGTTCACGGATGTTCCTATATTCCGAGAGAGGATGAGAAGGTGTGAATCAAAGACAGACGTTGTACATGATTTGAGGTTTAAAGTTTCTGGACACAACATTATATTGGAGTCCACTAAATGTACAGTTCAGGTCAACTTAGGGCCTAAAGTACTGTTGGCAGGAAGGATAAAAACAGCCAAAACATACACATTGAACCACCTGTTGCCACTTTCTTCTATTCCCAGGCAGGTTGTGCTTATTATTGGAAGTTAAACTATTGGGGTTCTGTTAAAAGCAAATAAATGAAGAACATGGGAAACTTACCACGCCAAATGGAAAGGCTCAGACTGGTGAATGCAATAATCACTGGTGCGGCCCCGTCCAGCTCCATGAGGTGAGCCACGTTCAGCTTTTCGGCAAATTCAGACCAAAGCGTGATTGACAGGGATGCCTTGCTGGAAATAGTAAAGAAGCATCAGTTACTAAAAACCATTCAGAAGAGGTAAAGAAGTCGAGACAAAACCCACCGTTCATCTTCAATGGCAACTGTTTGGCGTTTGATGGAACGTTCCTGTTTCTGGAAATAGGTGATGGGTGTCACCGATACCAGACGGCCGACAACATCTAAGAAGGGTCGCTATGGTCAGCAGGCTCTACAAAAGGCAGGTGTAAACATAAAACTAAGAATGGGAGACGAACCAACTAAACAGGCATGCCTGGAAGCGATGTCTTCGAGGTCCTCGAAGCGGCGGAACTCAAAGCTATCAAGACAGAAGGTGGGATCATTTTCAGGTGAGGCTGTGAAGGAAGTATTGGAATTAAAGTACAGGAGGCGGTTAGTGGAGCAAGGTGCCCAGCGCCTCCTGGATTCACGTTGAGCAAACTGTTCTACGAAGTAGACCTTCCCAACATGTAAAATCTCTTGGAAATGGCTGGCTAGTTGCTTCGGCGAAAGACCTTGGACCAGGACACCCTAGGAAAGGAACGAAAAATCAGAATCGGGAATAAACAGTATATCCAACGGAGAGAGGTCAGGTAGGGTGGAAGACTAACCAGTTCATCAGTCCACAGTGTCGAGAATTCGAAGTACCCGTCGGGACGGACCGGATTCCCAACCTTCCATGTATGGAGAAGGCGCAATTTCAAGGTCGGAGCTTTGTCGGTCCATGTTAGTTTCGAAAGAACGACGTGCTTCATAGCGGCAGGCGCTGAGGTTGCGGTGTGGAGGAATCGGCGAGTGAGAACAATATTCGCGATAAGTGTGGGAGAAGACCGACAATTGTGGGAGGTAGCTGGCGGAAGTGGAGAAAGAGGAAGGTGAGAAGAGATATAGAGAGAATTTGGAGGATGTAAATCTTAGGTCGCCGTACCAGCAATCGAGAGGGGCAAAGGGACAGACTCACAATTGGCAGGGGTAGCGTGTAGAAGGAAAACTGGGTAGCGTGCTCACCATAAAAGCATGGTCCTCTGGAAAAGGTGAGGTGAGTTCGCCGCTGACGAAAGAGAGGACAACAGGGCGAGCTGCATTCGCGGACTTTACGGCAAGGCAGTATGGGTTCCGCGTACGGAATGATTTGAGTTTGATTGTATCGCGGCCAGGCAGCAGCTAGCCGGCCGTTATTGAGTCCTATTGTCGAAGGCGAGACCACGGCGGTGGGCAAACTGTTAGAAACAAATAATTTGCAGCTTTTGGTTAATTCGCTTTATTTGTCGGTTTTGTTAATTGGGGGATTATTTGGGGAATTTGGGCATTAAACCGGGAGTCGATTACTATGTTTTAATTGTTGGGTAGTAGATAGGAATTATGCGGATTATATAATCTGCAGTAGGAGTTATTTTCTCAGGAAGCAATCAATTACAGAAAACCTAAACTACTCTCTCTCTCTCTCTCTTCCCTTCCCTCCTGCGTCGAACCCTCCTATTCCCTCTTCTTCCTTTGCTGCTCGGCAGCAGCCTTTCCCCTCTCTTCTTCCTAAATTCTCCTATTCCTAATCCCTAGCTTGATCAATCCCTAATTGATCTAGCTAATTTCTCTAATTCTACAACCGTTAGAAACTTTGTTTCTAACATCTGGTATCAGAGCCTGGCTCGAGAGTGAGTTCTTTTGAGCTCTTGAACCAGGGAAAGCAGCAATGGTATCGACGAAGTCAATGAAGGCGGCAGAGAAAGCGGCTCAGGCAGCCGAGAAGGGCACGGATGCGGGTGACGTAGGACTCGACGGGGAGCTGGAGGATCTCACGGAGATCGAAGGGCTGAGGAAGGCTGTGGAGACGCAGGCAGAGAGGCAGGCGAGGGTCGAGGAAGAGCTGAATGGTTTGCAGGTGCAAGCCAGAGATCACGGCCGCACTCTCGACGCGTTGTTGGCGGCGGTGGAGGCGCTACAAGGACAGGTGAGCAGTCTGACGGAGGCTTGGAAGAGAGGCGGGGCAGCGGTTGGAGATGGCGAGAAGCCGCCGGAGGAGAAGGGCGCGGCGGAGGAGTCCGCCTCGGTGGCGGCGGTCGGCGGCCAGGGAGCCGAGAAGGGTTTGGCGGAAGGGGGGGCAGCGGCAAGTAACCCTAGCCGACCCCCTGTTTCGCGTCCGGACCAAGTCTCGTTCGGCCCAACAATCAAGGATGGGCTTTTGCCCACTCCAACGGCCCAGGAGATGACTCGTGCGCGTGGCAAGGCCAAGATGGCGGAGTACGTGGATCCAGGCTCGCACGCGGGCCTGAACTTGGAGGAGCTGGTGGACCCGGAGCAGGATAGGGATCGCGGGCCTTGGGCCGACGAGCAGAGCGGGCTGGGCGCGGATGGCTGGAGAGAGGGTGGCGGCTCGATGGGCCGAGCCCAGTGGGAAGGCGGACCAGGAGGAGGGTGGAGGGAGTCGGGCCGCGGGTGGGAGCCGGGCCGGTCGGGAGCCGCAGGACGAAATCAACCGGGCCCGGGTGACTTGGGCCAAGCAGGGATGGGCCGGGTCCCCAGCGGTCGGGTCGAGCTTGGGCGGGTCGAACTGGTCGGACCGAACCCGATCGGACCGAATCCGGTCAAACCGAAACCGGTCAAACCCTGGTCGAACCGATTCAACCGGCTGGGTATCAGAATCAGGCGGGCAGCAGGTGCTACCCGGGGCCGCAACGCCAGTTCGATGAGTACTGTGGGCCCTTTCCTTCTTCTGCATTTCAGCGGGGCACCGGGAAGGAAGCCAGGAGGATGTGGACGGGGGATCGAAGGCTGAAGGGTGAGTTAAGCGGAAAGGCCGGGTACCAGGAGGATGAGGGAGACGACTGGGGGTGTTACGGGGACCCGCGCTTCACTCAGCACTTCTACAGCGGGGGCCCAAGTTCAGGAAGGAATGCCGGTCATTTTCGGGGTGGGGAGGAAGAGGATGAGATGGTGTTTCGAGCGCGGCCTCCCACTATTGAGTTCCCGTAGTACAATGGTCGAGAGGATGCAGGATTGTGGCTGTACTCAGCTGAGCGATGGTTCAAGAACCATCCCACTAGGGAAGAACGAAAGGCGCAGTTAGCTTCCTTCTACCTGGAGGGAGATGCCCTGCAGTGGTGGGAGTGGATGGAGCGGACCTATGCCGAGGCTCGTACGCTAATCACTTGGCCGATGTTCAAGGAGGAGTTGCGGTACCAGTTCGGAAAATCCGAAGGATGGGCCCCGGAGCAGCTAGCCAAGCTGCGCCAGACAGGGACAGTGGCGGACTATAGGGCCGAGTTCTTCAAGCTGGGAAACCAATGCAAGGGTGTCCCAGAAGAGACATTGGTGGGCTTGTGCATGGCGGGGCTCCGGCCGGAGATTGCAGCGGCTGTCCGGGTATTTGAGCCTGATTCACTACGAGCTGTTTTCCGTCTTGCAGGTAATAAGGAGGAGGAACTGGCTAGCTGGCGGGGCGTGATAGGACGGTATCAGAAGCCGAGTGGAGGAGGAAGCGGTAGCGGACCGAGTAGCAGCCCAGGGGTCCCGGCGCTGGGCCCTAGCACTGGCGGGGGAGTGACGACTGGTCCACCCACAACGGCCATCCGAGCGGGACCAAGGGCGCCGCCCAAGGGGTTTACTAGGTTGTCACCTGCCGAGATTGAGCAGAAGAGGCGGGAGGGAAAATGTTTTAATTGTGACGAGCGGTTCACCTTTGGTCACAAATGCAGCAAGCCTGATCTAATGTTCTTGGTGGGGCGCTGGGAAGATGAGGCCGAGGACGAAGTCACAGAGGATTCTGGCGCAGGGCAGGAGAAGCCTCAACCTTGAGGACAAGGTTGCTTTCCAAGGAGGCAGGGATGTTAGAAACAAATAATTTGCAGCTTTTGGTTAATTCGCTTTATTTGTCGGTTTTGTTAATTGGGGGATTATTTGGGGAATTTGGGCATTAAACCGGGAGTCGATTACTATGTTTTAATTGTTGGGTAGTAGATAGGAATTATGCGGATTATATAATCTGCAGTAGGAGTTATTTTCTCAGGAAGCAATCAATTACAGAAAACCTAAACTACTCTCTCTCTCTCTTCCCTTCCCTCCTGCGCCGAACCCTCCTATTCCCTCTTCTTCCTTTGCTGCTCGGCAGCAGCCTTTCCCCTCTCCTCTTCCTAAATTCTCCTATTCCTAATCCCTAGCTTGATCAATCCCTAATTGATCTATCTAATTTTCCTAATTCTACAACCGTTAGAAACTTTGTTTCTAATACAAACAACGAAGGAAGCAGGCCATTGCGGGGAGATGGAAGAGAGACCAAAAGGACTTTTTCAGTAGACGACAAGGAATGAAACAGTAGTTGGTGGTTTGGGGCAATAAAGAGTAGCCACCTTTTTACATATAAGATAATTCCCATTACTCGCTTTGCTGCTGCGCGGGAGCTTTGGAAACTGAAGCCACATTCACATCCATTTCCATTACATCTTTACAGTCTTCCTTGGGCTTCGAAGATGAACCCTTTCGTCTCCCTTCATTTATTCCGAAGCCCCATCTCTCTTCTCTTCTTTATTTTTCAAATAAATTGCCTTGGTTGGTTCTCTACTCTTTCCCTTCATTGTTAATTGGCAGAAACAGAGTCGAGCAGCGAAACAAAGACTATAGTATGGCGCCACCAGTAATAGTAAGTCTCCTGTTCACCACAATGACCATGCTCCAGTAATTAGCTAGCTTGGCGTTTTACAAGGTTGATTTCTGAAAAACAGTTACAGAATGTGGGGAACAACCGGGAAAGGAAGGCTAATGCAGAACAAGCACAGAGCACCATGACGATTCGGGTTAGTAGTATGATTCTTTATTCACAACCATGTGGAACTTCCCACCCAAACGATCATACTTTGGATGTATTATTATATCTGCTCTGCTCTTGTAAGGTTTCAAGAGATGAAGATATAAGAAGTCAAATCGGAAAGACCAGGTACTTTGATCTTGTGGATCATGACAAAGTCACGAGCTTCCGTGTTCCGAAACAGTTGAGCGTCAATCTCTTCAAGGTAATCTTTATCTGGAAACCAGAGCTGTATCTTAAAACAAGGGACTGGTGACGCATAAGTTCGATTCAAATTCTGTATGTATTTTTTGTGGCAGGAAATTGTTGCTGAAGAACTTGGAATACCTGTTCAGTTTCAGCGTTTCTGGCTGTGGGCACGGCGTCAAAACGGTACTTATCGTCCTTTCCAGGTATTGACATCGTCGGAAGAGAATCAACCGGTAAGAAAGGCAACACTTCATTGAAGCTCTTTCCTGAGTATTGCATCCAGATGATTAAAGATCATCAATCAATAGTTAATCAATGTAATATCAGGTGGGAGCAAAACTGATAAAGGGCAATGGTGCAAAACTGGATTTGTTTATTGAAAGTCATAACTCCGCAGTAAGACCTTTGTTATTCCAATTCGTCGTAGTATTATCAATCTCGAGCTAAGCATCCACGATTCGTCGTCATAAGACTCGTTGTTGTCTCTTCAGGATCTAAGCTTTGTTCCACTGCCTAGTAAGGTGATTGGAGATATACTCCTCTTCATCAAGCTGTACCAGCCTGAGAGTGATGAGTTGAGGTACTCACAAGTCACAACTCCAAATACTAGCAAGTCTGTCAACTTACAACAAGAACATAGGTCCATGGTGACATTTTTTTTCTCCTGCTCTTCAGCTATGTTGGAAAGCTGCTGGTGAAGTCAAGTAGCAAACCTGCAGAAGTTGTGACTAGGCTTAACGAGATGGCTGGCTATGCGTTGGATGAAAAGATTGATCTGTACGAGATCAGTTGATTCCTTCAATGGCGGAACGTAACATGCTTTCCAGCTAAATAACAGGGTTGGAGTAAAGTTACTGTTGGGATTCTGTTTTCAGGTAATTAAGCTCGAACCTACTTTGATGATTGAACCCATCGACAAGGAACTTTCTTTCCGTTCTAGCCAAGTGAAGATACCAAATAACATTTTCTATCTTAGTTTAACTTAGCAGTTAGCATCCAAATTCCAAATAGATGATACCTTACTCTTCTTTTGACAGCTTGAGGATGGACCATCTAAAAGTGGAAAGAAACTCTACTACAATGGTTAGGGACCATCTAAAAGTGGAAAGAAACTCTGCTTTGCGACTACTGCTTAAAGTGCAGTTACAGAGACCATCTAAAAGAGGAAAGAAACTCTACTACAATGGTTAGGGAAGATGCATAAGTGTAAACAAAATCAACTTCACCATACTTCTAATCACAAATTTGCATTTCCGTAATACTGGTGTTGACATAAGGAGAAACACAGAGATATGGGCACATGAGATAATGACAGAAGAGAGATAGTAATAAAACTTAAGATTAAATAGGATTCATCATGTGACATTACTCAAAAGTGTCACATAGAAGATTGTAGCATTCGGCTTCCAAAGAAAGAAATTCCAGGTATTCACTAACAACTGACAATTAAAATACCTTAAAACTTAAAAGACTAACAGCTCCTGACATTTTCCAACAACACTGGGTAAAGCTGAAGACAACAGCAGACATACAAAAAATCTCTTAACGGTTGGCTTTGGCAACTCTCTCAATCTCGTCCTTCTTCTTGATAGCATAGCTACAAAGCAAACCAACGAGGGCATAATCAGCAATGCGAGCATCCACGAACAATCAACATAAATCAATCTATAAGCAAACAAACCTGTTCGAGGATCCCTTTGCAGCATTGATGAGTTCATCAGCCAAGCATTCAGCGATAGTCTTGATGTTACGGAAAGCAGACTCCCTAGCTCCAGTGGTCAGGAGGTACAGGGCCTGGTTGACACGCCTGAGCGGAGAAATATCGACGGCCTGACGCCTCACAACACCAGCCGAACCAATTCTAGTTGCATCTTCACGAGGACCGCTGCAAACGAAAAATACTGTGAGAAACAAACTCATCCACAAACCAAAACAAATTCGGTCTCGATCACCATCTCACAGACCTGTTCACCACAGCATCAACGATGATTTGGATTGGGTTTGCATCAGTTAGGAGGTGGATGATCTCCATGGCGTGCTTGACAATCCTGACTGCCATCAGCTTCTTACCATTGTTTCTCCCGTGCATCATAAGAGAGTTGGTAAGCCTCTCAATGATCGGGCACTGAGCCTTCCTGAATCGCTTGGCAGAGTACCTCCCAGCTGTGTGGGGGACAAATGTTGCATGCTTGGCCGCTTGGACGCCAATATAATCCGACAAGGAAATGTCATTGATCTACAACAATCCAAATCACAAAACAAATATACAAACCCTAATAAGCCTGCGAGCAGAATCAAGACCCTCCAAGCAAAATCAAGAGCTCAGTCGCATTAATATATCTAAGCAGCGAAAACGGCAGTTAATCAGATTGAGTAAAGTTATTGAATAACAAAACGAAGACGAGACGCAAACGAGGAGAGAGGGAGAGAGTTGGGATTAGACCTGACCGCCGACGACGACGACGGAAGGGAGGGACGGAAGAGAAGACGGACTCCCTAACGAAACTCGAGGAAAGACGATAACGAAGCTAAAAAATGAATCAAACCTGAATATCATCGAACACCCAGCGATTGAACAATTTGACGTCCATGGGACCAGTAACTGACGCCGGAGCTGGAGCTGGAGCTGGAGCTGGAGCCGGAACTGGAATTGGGGCCTCTACTTCCATGGTGGGACTCCTGCGGGTAATGAGAAGCTTAAAAAATGAAGCTTGCACTTGCCGGAGAAGAGAGAAAGCGGCGCAGTGATGAAAAAGCGTTTAGGGAAACTCCGGAACAGCCGAACAGCTACTTGGGCAGAGGAGGATGGAAGGGCGTACGTAACCCTAATTCCAGATTTATACGTCCACGAAGCAGATAATGGGCCGACATTTTAAAATGGACCGGTTTATTTCTTAAGGCTAGTCATGATGTTGGGCCATATCTGGGCCCATGAGTAATCAATCCTTGTCAAACCGGTTTATGTCAGTGTGTCGGTTTAGCACGTGGAATGGTTCGAGCGGTGGTACATATCAGTTTGTGCCGGTTCATGCCGGTCAATATTACAAATAAAATTATAAATACTCATATTTAAACATGACATTTAACGTCAATACCTAAACATATATACTTGAATCCAACAAATAACATCAATATTTAACTTTTATACTCATAAAATAAAAAATAAAATAATTTTCAATAATTAAATTCACTAAAATAAGGTAATTTTACTTAGAGATTCGTGTATCGATCATGTCGGTCATACCGATGGTGTCACGCCGATTTTATGACCAGTATCGGTTGAACCAGGTATAACCGGTGGCACGCCGGCCGGCGTGACAACCATGTTCTATACTCATTTTGAGTTTTAACTAAGGTTAGATGGAGCGGGTATCTCAATACTCATATTTAAGATGAAGACGTGAATGACCCGTAAAAAAAAAAAATTAAGACGCGAATGTGAATTGATTCAATTCACTCAAATTTCGTTTATAATTTGATTGTTGATCACTCAATGACCCTATCATAAATACAATAAGTTGACATCGAATCTGAATTCCTATAAATTACAAAATGGAAAGCAACCATTGTACTCTAGTTCAGAAGCGACTTGGGCTGGACAGCAGAGGCTTCCCTACCATCCTCCTCCCTTCTGGCTCTTGTACGCATTTCTCATCTTGAATGTACGATTCGATCTCCATGATTACAGGCTTCAGGTCAGGATCGTTGCGAGCTTTCAGCGCCTCGAGGAAGTGACTCGAAACAATGTGCAGCAACTTCGCAAACTGGGACTTGTACTTTCGAAACAGAACGAACCCAGCAGTTTGCATGAATGCATCGAGTGCCACAGCGGTGAATGCATTTGCTGGGAGAGTGTTTAAGAACCTGGCGAGCCATGACCATCCTGCTGCTGGGCCGTGAGGGTTCTCAATACCACCTACGGTTTCTGTCTGAACCAGAGCTCCATACAATCTCATGGATGCTTCCGTGCGTTTCAAGTAATCTTTGACACTCTCAAGTTGTCCCTCATGTTCCCTAAACCCAAGCTGTGCTTTGTAATAAGCCTCTTTGGAGCCGAATGCAGCCTTTGAGTATGATATATGCTTCGGGACCGTGTAGATACAAGCTTTGTGGAACTCGGCCAAGATCAGATCCATTGCATATGGGACCTGTGAAGTGATGAGGACAATTACTTGAGCAGATGCAAAAGCCGAATTGTCAGGGTTTTCGCAGTGTTCAACAACCTTCTTCGCGAATGCTGCGATGGTGATGGGCTCTGGGCAATCAGGATTATTCTTGAAGATGTTCAGAAGTTCACTTGCTTTTGTTCTTACATTTTCTTCTGTCCCTCGTATCTGTCTAATCAGTCTGCCAATCTGCCGTGTATGCTTGTCGAGGTTCACATTGGACATTGACATGATGAGAGACTGGTTTTGGTCTTCTAGCTCTTTAAGCTTCTGCAGCCTTCCTTGTTCCAGAGGAAGAGCCGAAGCAGAAGCTCGCACAATAGCTTTTTCCTTTCTCTTTGCCTCTTCTGCATCAATCCTTATTCTTCTTTCTTCCATTTGGCACTTGATTTCATGATCCTGCTGGATAGCAGTCAAGTGATCATCTAGTGCTTCTGCAATGTTACGCCGGTACAAAGTGTCAACTTTCCGGTCTGATTCCCTTCTCGCCTCGCTGTACTTGTCGATACGAGCAAATGCTGAAGCACCCTTCAGGTTTTTGCTCATGAACTCCATCTGCAATGCCAATAGTTGGCTTCTAATCCCCTCCTTCAGTTCAAGTTGATGTTCATGAATCTGCTCAAACATAGAAGCTTCCACCAATCCAACTTCGTCCATTAAGTAAGGTTGAACATCAAGAGCACCAGCAAACTCCTCCTGACCAGAATCCTCATTCTCTCTTGCATTAACATCATCATCACAATTGAACACGACTAAACCTCGACTATCATCCTCCTCGCCGTCAGAAACTTCCAGCTCCTCGTCAGATACTCTCATGGAGAATCCCGCGGTTTTCCCATTTGGGTATCCCCGAGATTCAGTAAAGGGTACCGGGAAATTGGCCGGCAAACTAAGCTTCTCCTCCAGCGAATCGAGCTCCGATAACAGAGACTCGAAGCTCCACTTGGGCTCGGGTTCGACCGCAAGCCCTAGAACTCTCTGCGGACAACAGCGGAGCTCCAATTTCACAGCTCCCATTATTCCGGCTTAACTACAAACGGATTGCTAGAAAGAATTGAAGGGGGAACGAATGAAGCTAGCTTCGAGTCTTAAAATAGACAAAAAGCACTCGGCAATTTTTGACTGCTTCCAATTCTTTCTCCCCTGTTTCCACTCTTTCTCCTGGGCTTTCCAATTCCTGTACGGATTCGGACAGCGCAAAATATTTCCATGTCCTGAAAGGATTTGGACTGCTTGAAGCTATAAAACTCCCCCTCCACAATCAGAAAATCGTACCATCTCCAAGATCTTACTTCAAGAAAACAGAGTTGCGGAATATCTACGATCAAGAACAGAGTCCCGCCGACGAGTCTCTTTTTCGTTTCCGATGAAGACGGTGGCGTTTGGGCGGGGAGACCGAGTGGAAGTGGCGAGCGAGGAAGAAGGGTTTCACGGCTCCTACTTCGAGGGCACGGTGGTGGAAGTTCTGGGTTCGAGCCAGTACAAGGTGGAGTACGTCAATCTGACGACGGAGGAGGACGAGTCGGAGCTCCTGATCGAGACCGTCTCCGGCGAGTTCATCCGGCCGGTCCCGCCTCGCATCCGCTTCGGGAGCGGCGGGTTCGGCGTGATGGACGCGGTGGACGCGTGGGACAACGACGCGTGGTGGGTCGGGAGAGTGACGGGGAAGAAAGGGCCGATGTACTACGTCTACTTTGACTACACCGGCGACGAGATCGCTTACCCTGTTTCGATGCTGCGAGTTCATCTGGATTGGGTCAACGGGCAGTGGGTTTCGCCGGATAAAAGCAAGAAACGGGGCCGCGATTCGACGCAATCCGAACCGGCCAAGAGCGTGGAGAAGGAGGAGAAGAAGAAGCAGAAGATGAGAAGGATTTCTGATATGGTGTATGCTATTAGAGTTTAACTGGTTGAGAAGAATCATGTAAAATCTGCATACTAGTACTTTGTTTTACGTAAATTTTGATGTGATTAGTTGATTCGATTTAGATTTTTTCACTACAATTCATGCTTCAAATCTCGATTTTGATCATTTGATGGAATTCCTCATCCAAACGACTCTGTAGTTAATGCTTGTATGAGAAATCTCAACAGATTGGTTGAAAAGGAAGACATGGTGAACTATAAAGAAGAAGAAGAAGAAAGAGTGGACTCGGTCAATCATCAAGCTCCAATGGCTTGAAATACTTGCCATCAATAAGGTAGGTGCCAATAGCGAGACGAACAGCCCACAAATCCTTGGGTTTTCTGGACACAATTCTGCAAACACAAAACAGATTGGCCGGAAAATAACTACAAAAGGACAAAAATTTCATGATTGAATTGGCCGGAGTTTTGGGTATGAAAGGGCGACTGACCTGCCGACGTCGCCGGGGTTAACGAGGCCGGAATTGACTCTGAGGCAGGGCATGTTCGCGGCGGTCTTGATCATCCTGGGGGCCTCAACCACTACGACTGGAGAACCGATTTGGAGCTTCTTTGGTTTCTTAGCTTCCGGCGAGCTGACTGTGTTTTCCGGCGATGCTGAGCTGGGTTCCTCTCCGGCTTCGCATCTGGTGACGGCGAAATTGGAACGGCCTCTGTTCCCGTTATGCCACGGTGGGGGTGACTGGTTTTGACTGGAAGCTCTCGATGTGAAAGTGGCAGCAGGGGAAGAGAAAGATAAGGCTGCCATTTTTTGGGGAGATTTTGGACAGGTTTTCCTGGTTTTGTAATGGCGATAGCAAAATGTTTATGTGGCTCTTGTAATAACACCGAACGGGCAATTGTCATATAGGAAAACAAAACTCATCTACTTCAAAAAAACACACCCAATACCATGATCTTACATTCTCTCTACAATCCACCAATTTAGAAATCCGTCCAACTCTATTGTAGCTTTAGCCTGCACAAAAGATCAAGATTCAAGAGAGCTAAAAAAAAGCCTTCTATTTAAGTTCAACCAGTTTTCTGAACGAGAGAAGTTACTCAACACTATTAACTAGTAATAAGTTTCCCTCAAATAAACACAACGCTGTGGCGGTAGTCACTCTAGCTAGCCAAGCTCAAGTTCAGCAATTTAAAGGAGGAATAAAGCAATGAGCTTTAGCTTTCGCCCATTTCATCAATTGACAATTCAACCTCTGATGTTGGGGGGGACTTTACATACAGACTACTGGAAACCGAAAGAACTGGAGAGACCAAAGCACCATTGTAATTTGTAAGGAGGTGAGGAATTAAGAGACCCGATTGGCTTTGAAAGAAAGTCAGTAGAACAAGCTACAAAAACTCTGCACAAACTATACAAATTCCTTCTCACGGATATGTTGCAGCAGACTGCCGTTTGTGGTCGAGCCTCGCAACGTTCGAAGTCCTAACCTCCTCTGTATGCGGTGCTGTTGTTTTTCGCCCCCATTCTTTTGTACAAAATGAAACTACTTCTTTAAGTATGTGAGATATGGGTCCTGAGCAGCGGACAGAACGTCTGGTCTGTCTGTCTGGTCGTATGTTAGACACCGCCGGATGAACTCCTGCAATCCCACGAGACCAGAATTTGGCAAACAACTAACCATGAATTCGTAAACCAAGATGGATTGATTCGGAAACGTTGGGGATGAGTAAACTCACCTTCACCTCGTTGGAGACGGTGGGTTTGTTAGGAAACTCAACCCTCCGAGCTTTGATGATTGTATCCTCACGTAATATTCGTTCCTGGGACTGGTCATGTCCAAACGGCCTTCTGCCAAAGAGCATTTGATATAATAGAACCCCAGCTGACCATACATCAACCTACATAAGGATGCAATGCACCACATAGTTCCTTTTCAGTATGTCTCATTATTTATATTCTAAGAGAATAAATCACCTGAAATATGAGTTGTTTAATTGGATAGATGGAAGTTTGAACTAACCTTTGAGGATATTAGAGGTGTCTTGTTGAGCTCGAAGCATTCTGGTGGCAAGTACCTAGGATTGCAGAAAACAGAAAATCAACAAGCCACGTCAAGGTCTTGTGTTTAATCCAGAAAATCAACAAGCCTCCAAGAAACACTATCTTTTTCCTTCTCCTTCTATAAGGTGACTACGCTCGCTAAGGCTATCACCAACTCAATGGAATTTGAAGAGATGATATAATTCCACTTACCAGTATGTCCCAGCTCCCTGTGATGTAAGTTCCATTCCTTGAGATCCAACGTTATCTTCTACAATCTTGCTGAGACCAAAATCAGTAACCTTTGCAGCACCAAATTCATCAAAGAGCACATTCCCAGGCTTCAAATCGTAATGAATGATCTTCTGTGCCCTTTTATTCAGGTAGAGAAGACCTTGAAATATTTGGACAATAATAATCCGTGCTTCCTTCTCAGGCAACGTGGGTGTTGCTTTAAGAACAGCATCAAGATCTTTACCTGAGACACATATTCATTTTCTTAGTACACTGTTCAAACTTCCTCTTAAGCAAGTGACCGAGCACAGATTCAAAGGCATCAAATAATATACCACTGCAGTATTCCAAAACAGTGCAGAATGTATTCTGATCAATCTCAAAGATATCCCAAAGCCGAACTATGTGATTATGCACCAGGGTCTTGTGAATGTTATATTCCCGTATTGCATGCCTGACATAACTTTGCTTCTTATCCTCGCTCCACTGAGCATTCAGACCATGGAGTTTACATGCAACATATCTGTGCTCCACCAAATCAAAAGCCTGCCGGAAATTTCTCACTTCAAATCACTGCAAAAGCATATAATCTTACAGTGGCCAATATAGGCAAGAAAATGATCGTATAGAGTTCAGCTTCAGTTCTGACCTTGTAAACCTCACTAAATCCTCCTTTTCCAAGAAGGTTCAGTAGCGCATAACGGTTATTTAAAATCTGAAAATTATTGAAGCGAGACCCATCCTCATCTCGTATACGTTTCATTTCACGAATTAGTCGAGCCTTTTCAAGCTCATATCGGTCTCTCTCACGTAACATAGCTTCTTCCTCCTGGAAAGAAGAAGGAAAAGAATGCATTTGAATTTGGAATAGACATAACCCATCATGGTAAAGATACCCTCAAACAATGAGACTAACTTACACGCTTGATGCTTGCCAGACGAGATTTGAGAATTTCATCCTGAATGAGAAGATCCTCTTCATGTGTTCCAGATTCTGCATCTGCTGCTTCACCCTTGTCTGCAATAAGGATGAAACCAGGTGACATACCAAATTTAAAATTCCTAAACAGTTGTGCACAAAGGCAAGGCAACACAGAATCTTCCTAAAACGTTCTAATGAGGCTATATTTGTTTGGGTCTATATGAGGAGCCATCATGGTGGACTTTTCAGTATTTCACCACCCTAGCACGTGGTCAAATGGTATGAAGAGAAAGATAACTGCTGTTTTACAAAATAGTTGTCCCAGTCAAGAACTTCAGAATAGCAACCCCAATTAGCAAGAGCAGCAATTTTTTTACCATAGCAAGAGCAGCACTACAATAACAGAAAAATGAGTAGAAGAAGCCTTTCATGCATAAGTGAATGGCATCTGGATTAAACAAGGCCTTTCCAGCATGTTAAATACAAATAAATATACGAAGTTATATTTGCAAGCCTTATTAACTGAAAGGCACCAAAAAGGCAAGGAGATGCTTTGGAAAATCTGGAACTGATTCATACATTTCCCTATTAAGCTCAAAAAGGGTAGTAGGAGTATCCACTATTTAAATTCCTACTAATAAAGAATGAACTCCTATTTTACCAGATTGTCGTTTCTTTAATGATTTGCGTTGACGATCAACGGCCTCCTTCGTTTCTAATAATTGCTTCTGGAGACAAAACACACACAAAATATTACGACACAGACTTCATCGTCAACAAGTGGCCACCACATGAAACCAATAAATATCCTCAGAAATTTGCATTTATGAAAGAAATATGGTATAGCCAACTATTCTAAGTAGAACCATGAGGCGGCGCTCAATAAACTATTGAAAGTGGAAAGACCGCCAAAAGATGATGAACCCAAAAATCCAAAACCAAAAAACTGATATGCATGCCCATAAATACGTCAATTATGAAGCAAGGAGATATGGCATATACATTAACTATATACATTTACTGAAGTGAGAGCAAACACTTACGTTTAGATCACGTTCATGATCAGTCAAACTAGACAAAAGTACAGGGGAAAGAAATAAAGTGGATAACGGTTCAAAGCAAATACACTCTGATGTTCATGTTGTTCGTGAGTAGCCTAATAATGCTTTACTTACAATCACGTGTATGACATTTATTTATAAAGGGAAAGATGAGGTCAAGTCAAAATAAGCTGTCAACTTAACCATAGTTGAGAGAGAGGAGAAAAGGACAGCAGGAAGTAAGGAGCCATAACAATTCCAAAAAACACTTTTAAAAAGTGATCCTCTCTAAGACCATAGGATCCAGATAGCATCTTGAAGCAAATAGTTCAACGCAAATCACCATAGTCCACATGACAGCATATTTATAACTACTGCCTCGCTATCTCCATATTAAAATGACATGAGAAATGTCTAATAGTTTTATTTCTGTCTGGAAGAGGCTGAAATAGAAATGCCATATGATAAATTACCATATGAGCATTTAGATCTTTCAGCATTTGTCCATCCTCCCAAGTCTCTGATATGATTGTTCCAGTTCTGAAACACATAAGAAAAGAGGGGAAACAAACTTCAAATAAGTTACTCAGAAACTAATAAGAACAAACAGAAAACAGTTTAAGAACATTTGAGGAGATCATTCCTTCAGTTTCTTAGCAACCTTTGTGATATTGCATTTTCTATCTTTCACCTTATGGTCACCCAGACACATGGAAAAAGAACCAAAGATATATAAGACAAGTAGCTCCAATCACGAAGAAGAAAATTTTACCTAATTACACCAACATTGCCAAGTCTTAAAGAATCTTGCCGGACTTTCATCCTGGCTTCTTGCCTCTCTGCTTTCGAAACTGATATCAGCAGATCAGATATAATCTTTAATCTCTGCGAATGGATGCCACGAACATTAGAATGAACATTATCAGGTATGCTGACACTGCAGGTTAATGATCAAAGAAAAACAGCCACGTCCATTCAACAGGAAAATAGGAATTCCATGAAAAAAAAGAACTGCTATCAGGTAGATCAGAAAAAACTAGTTTTCACTATTGAAAAAGAATTATACTATGATAAAATTGTTAGTCTCGATCCTCAATATAAATATGCTGCGGTCAAGGAAACAATTACATTTAATGGAAATGTCGACATCGGATTCAGTGTATTGTGTACACAATAACAACTTGTATGCTAGGATATAGATACCATCAATCATGTACCTAAGTGATTGTACTGATCTTAGCGTTTGCATTATTTGTTTCCTCTGAGCCACAAGAATAAAACGAAGTACCGCATGAAGTGTTACTTCGGAATTGTTTTAGCGAAGTGGAAACAAACCTTTGGCTTCATTTGCTGTTCGCTGTCTTTTAGTTCCTTTAGTTCCTGACAACAGATATCAAGATTAGAAGGGTTCAAAGAAAATTAAAAGCTCTAACATAAGACCAAATACCTACCTTTTCCAGCTGATGGCAAAGATTTTGACTATCATTGGCATGCTGACGAGATTTATGAAGTTCCTCCTCTAGAGCTGCAACTGTGGCACGTAATGATGTGATCTCCTCCTGATTCAAATTAGCACAAATAAGAATACAACTGCATAGAAACAAAATATGGTACAGCTTCCGACATAGGATATGAAACCCTTTCCTCGAATCAAAACAGCTTGCTCAGTGAAGTGAATGCTCTACCACATTATATAAGCACATGAGTAGTCAACTATAGGCAAGGGAAACATAATTCTCAAACAAGTTTGATATAAAAGAAAGTTAATACCTGTAACAAAGAATGATCATTGTTCAGGAAGTGCTCTTTGGGCCTCTGATCCTGGAAAATGAACACACGGAACATTATACATGTACACCAATGATTGTTGCAATGACCTATGCATTCAGTGCTTATTCAAATGGCCTATACTAACATCAATCGGAGTTGGCAGCAAAATTAACTAGAAAAATGTGTCATCTAAGGAGACACAAAAATCACGAAAAATGTATATGAAGTAAATAGTTTGGTGTTCCTAATTGTTATTTACTAACTGAAAGAATGAGAAACGCCCACTATGTCAACCTTAATCCTATTGATGCTGCATTTCACCTCATAGAATTATATAAAATTATAAAAACAGCAGTTCTACAATCAGACACGGGTTACCCTTGAAAGCAATCTCAATAACTATAAACTGGTCATGATAGCATTGAAGACCCTAAGGAAAGTAGATTTCCAAGTTTGTGGAAAACATACCTTTTGACAATTTTCAAGCTGGCCATTTATAACCGAAGGGATAACTGTTGAAGCGGGAACTTGTGATTTTGTTTGATCAGCAACTCTGGAACCACGAGCTCTACTTGACACCGAATTGCCCCTACTGCGACCTTGCTTTCTCTTCTGTACTTCAACAATAGCTTTCATCTCCACATTTTCGCCAACTTTTTGCCTTCCGTCAGTTGTTTGATTCTTCATATGGATAAAATTATTTGCAAAAGAAAACTCAGAAGGACCAGAAAAATATTTAACCAAACATCAGCAATAGTAATTGGCTATAACTTAATAATTTAATGGAGTTAACAAAAAGGAATCATGCTATTAACTCCTGCTGTAAACCTAATATCCTTCATGGGGAAACATGACTTAAAAATGGCACCAGATATTAAATAACTATGCAAACAAAGTGATGTGGTTCATTATTTACGCGGCCCAAACGTTTAAAGTTATTTCCTTTTTCACCAAAATGAAAAATTATGCCAATCCACACTTCCAAATAAATTCAGTAGTTTACCGCAAGATGCGCCGAAACAGATGAATCACCATCTTCTTGCAGTCTTTGCCTTTTCTGGGTGTTTGCTTGTATAAGAAACTCACCTTGATTCTGCACATATGAGAAAGGTCAAGCCCAAAACTTATGCCCTATACTATAAATATAAAGATCGAAATGAAACCTTTGCATAAATCAGATGTTTAATATGAAAGATGCATGTATAAAATTATTACCAAAAGTGAAAAAGAAAACAAATTTTGAACCATCAATCCTCACAAGAAACTTCCTGGTATATAGTACGTAAACGCATCCATAATTCCGTACGTGCTTGAGTTCATGACTACACATTCAACAGCCATCATGCAGATTAACTGCTCCTACCACTAATCCGCCAATAAAAGCCACCACCAATTTGTTTGAACAGTCTCTATTTCAGAAGAATGTTTTGTATCAACGTATTACTGGGCACTATGATCATGGAAAAGATTATGAAGATTCCACATTTCCACTTGCTTCGTCAAAGAAAAACACGCGGGTTAATAGCAGTCATGTTTCTCCTGAGTGAATTTTATAAACCCACCTTCAGTCTAATGTGCCTAGCAACTGTTCATTGACCAACAAACAGCAACAACTTTCACTCATGGCCATATTCAGTACCGTAAGACCACCAGCTGTTAATCAAAGCATTTACCATTCCACCAATACAAGCGAGCATCAAACATTAATAAAAATGGATGAAGCTAACATGAATAATGGTGGATTTTTAATGGGTATCTAAAGGCTAGTGCCAATGTCAAGATACCCCAATCAATCTACTAAACCTTTTACGCACATTTCATGACCTAGATGCAGGAAATCTCAACTGAAGACATAATTCATACGCCAGCTCATTGAAATAGACCAAGCCAAGCACCCACAATGTAATGAAAGACTTGACACAGTCCTATTGGTTCTGATCACGATAATTCTAGGTAACAATGACTTTCACACAAAATTTCAAAGGTAAACTACGAAATTCGGTTTTGAATTTTCAATTCCAACACCGGACAGACTGCTCCGCAACAATCAGACCAAATAACCACAGTCATTTAAGTTCGATCGATAAACCAATTGATATACCAGAATGCAAAAGCTTACATCTTCATCGGAATCACTGGAACCTGCCAATTCCTCCGCGGGCCCAAATTTTGCCCCGAGAGGTAACGATTGCCAAGTGGGCTGCTGCTGTTGAGGTTGCTGCGACGCAGCTGGGGCAACAGAAGGAGCCTTGCCGACCAAGCGAGCTTCCAGCTTGGCCATTTTCGTCGGCAGGGACTGGTCCGATTGATTCGAAGAGTTCGAAGAGAAATGTATCAACATATCATCCGACATTGCGCCGCGGCCCCGCACCCCAACTGTTGCTGAAGAAAGAAGCGGTCTAGATCATTGAGGGATGATAGAGGCTCAGAGTTGACAGATACGAACTTGGGTCCAGCTTCAAATGACGGGGGGAAACCTAGAAAGCTAGTATCTTGAGCAGGGAGAGCAAGCTTTTCCGCAGGGATTAGCCAAACCCATGATCAGGATTCAGGAGGAAAAAAGGTAAGAGACCGTGGGCGGTTACGGCGTGTACCCACTACCCAGTTCCCAAATAAAATAAAGGCTTCCAAGACAAGGGAACGAATGAGCAGATGTGCAGAGGAGATATAATTCGAAGTAGGGAAGAATTGACGGATTTTTAATTTTAGGGTTTTTCAACTATGGGCAATTGAAGCAAGGGGACGTCTTCAAAAGAGAAGAAATGGGGTTTTGTGCTTTGTTTATGGTCCGGTGATTCAGCTGCGGCTGCTGCTTGCTGTGAGCTCTGCTCCCTGGGGTGAATTTGCCTAAAACAAACATTGTAGCAAGAACTAATACCGTTGGATTGTGGGGTTGTGATCTCTATCGTCGGATCGGTGGTAAGTTTGTAAATAATACAATTTGCATTTATTTAATGGTTGAGTAGTTTTTACGCAATCAGTTTCTAGTTGGAGCTTTTAGATAAGTACTTTTCAAAAAAAGCAGTTGAGTGTTTGGTCATAAAACTATTAAAAGTGTTTTTTAATATAGAGGTTGTGTAAAATGACTATAAAGTACTTATAATATAAAATAAAAATAAAAATTCTAAACAATAAAAAGTAGTCAAAATGGATTTTGGAGATTCTGCTTTTAAGTTATACAAAAGCGTTTTTCGAATTTTCAAAAGCCGAGCTTTTAGAGGTGTTTGGCTTTGACCCTGCTTCAGCTTTTGAAGCCAAAAATCACTTCTATAAGTCGGGCCAAACATAGGTAATATCAAACTAAATCAAAAAAATTTAAAAATTGGGGTAAGATTTGACGTTGTAGTCGTGCCAAAATGAATTTTGCTTCAATAAGAAGTGCTAGAATATCAAAGTGTAAAAATTCACATTGGTTCATAATCTAGTTTAGTATGAATTTCATCATTTTAATTTGATACTTGTTCATTGTTTTTATATAGGTAGTTGATCAGTTCTTTTGATGGGCCATTTGTGGGGAGTCCCATGCAGTTGTGGAGGTGGTTTTGTAGTCTGGTGAGGGTGCTCACAATCCCCGCTGGTGGAGTTGGTGGCACCGAGGGAAGCAATCCATCGGTGCATTGGCAAGGGCCTCACTTTGGTGCGCATGGTTGGTGACGCCAGAGAGTCGTGGGCAAGGTGAACATGGCAACCGTCCGATCGGTTATCGGTTATAACCTAAATAACCGATGTCACCCCATTGTCATATACCATAAAGTTAATACTTTGGTCCACGCTCACCTTGAAGTTTCGAAGCATTTTATTGGTAGACAGCACAATATAGTAGCTCATAGAGTGACTATAAAGGCTCTCACTCTGTCTTCCTTAGATGTACACAGTTTTAATTTTTGCCCTTGACTCCAATTGGAGTTGTGAAGGTTATGCATATATTTCCTTGGTAGTACAATCTATCTCTGTTAAAAAATAAAAGAAAAGTTAAAACGTATCTACACTTTAACCAAAATTTAAGTTTTTCTTACTTTGTTATGGTCTTTCTTTGCCCTAACATAACTCTCTGGCATCTAATTCATTCAATACTTGATTCAAGTGCCCTTAAATTCCCCCTACAAAACATTAAACATCCACTCTATGATAAGTGTTGAAGATCATATTATTTCGGGATGAGATATAATTACAAACCTTTTTGGATGCCATTTTCACAACCTTTTTAGTACCATTAGATCCATCTTGTTTCCTTTTTTTATTGATAGATGGGATTAGGGTAAAGACAATTTTGAACGATAAAATGCCACCTCCTGAGATTATTGCCCATATTAATTACATATTCTCCCCTTCTCTCCTTCCCATGCTTAGAATCTCGTGGTGATTTCTTTTATAATTAAACTAGTTTTGTTCCCGGCCTGTTGGTCGGGTAAATTTCACGCCTTATTTTATAAATAAAGAATTTTATTATTATTCTTAAAAAATAATAAATCTTCTAATTGTATATACTTTAGCAATTTATTTTGAAACATATATTTGTGGTCTCTTCAAGTAAGCGTATGAGATCATCACTGAGTAACATTTCATTGCAAACTAATAAAAAGATTCAAGCAATGATTTTCAGTCCCTGACTTAAAATATAGATATTTCTAAGTCATTTAATTATCATTAAGGATCATTGACCTACTACGAATTCTAATATTATATGCACATGACAAAAACACCTACTAACATTTCTAAGTACTTACATATATAATGGTTCAATTTTTTCTAATTTTTATTCATGCCTTCCAAAATGGTTTAAAAGTCTCGCGGTACAATTTTATGTTTAGATTGCCAATTATAACACAAAAAATTACCATAGTTCACATGATAAGTGAATCAATATTTGATATCAATTTCTAACTCACCATGGAATATTATTCATGATTCTTGCCATAAACCAAAAAAATACTTTTATATCGGGATTGCTATAAAAATTAAATACCGGTGATTATCTCTTATGATAACTAATTTACATTTAAAAGATAAAAGGCTTCGTAAAAGGGCAGAGTTTCAGCTTATACAACAGTCGGTGATTCCCCTACCGTTGCACCATGTCGACGCTGCCGTGATCTCCATCTCCATCGTCATTCTTTTTCTGTCCGCATACACAATTCCTTCCTCCTCTGTCTCTGTCGATGCTTCGTCGGGAGTCGTCATATCTATGTTGCTTCGTCTCAACCATCCGCTTGGATATGAATTGTCATATCTCTGTAGTCAGTACGCTGCTATGGTGGCCGCCAACGGCCCCTGGGAATGCAAAAGATTTTGCACGCCTCCACATAGATGACTTTCAGTGCAATTGAAGGTTGAAGGAGGGAGAGTCAATGGGGGGTTTTGGAAGAAAAAAAAATAGAAGACAGAACTACGTCCCAATGGTGGAGGAAGAGAGAGGGAGGAGTTTTTTGCTCACAAAAGAGAAAGGAAGGAGTTGAGCACTTGGTAGTGGGTAATATCGGGGATATTTACGCAGAGGGAAAATACAAAATAGAACGGAAGGGCGGAGTACGACTGGTGGAAGGGAAAAGAGGAAGATGACGTGGACAACTTAGAATTTTAGCGTGGATTACGTGGCATAGGGTCAATTCCAAAAGTCCTTTAATATTTTTTAAGAGATACTTGCATGGGTCGTTTATATGTGGCATTTGTCAAATTTTTTACTTGAGATCAATTAACATACAAGTACCACATATTACAAAACTTGTTATTTGCTATGTAGTATTTGTATAAAATATGACATTTCCATGGAGTATAAGTAGTAACTTGTTTCTACCTTATGGTAGAGTGCGGTATTTGTAGGTCTAGTGAAATAGCACTCTAGTGGGTTACTAACCTGAATCGGAAAGTAAGTTGAGTGCACCAGCTTGCCCAATAAACCCTGCAGCGGCGGATCCAGAACACAGAAGTGCACTGGGCCGCATTTTATTAGAAAATTAGAATAGTAAAAAAATATAATGATTATAATTTTTTTACAATGTAAATTGTACACGACGGTATTTTAATTTAGCGAATGCATTAATAATGGAGTCCACATCCATACCAATAGTATACACTGTTTCAAATAAAATACTTGAGCAATCGACTCGAAATCCATCGCTCATTTTGTTGCGCAAATCAATTTTCACATGTTTCGTTGTTAAAAAGGTTCTATTCGTATTAGCTGTTGAAACGAGCAGCATCAACACTAGACAAATCAATCTACTAATCAATTTGCATTGTGTTTCCATCACTATATCCACCAGCTACTCTAGTAAATTTTCCAAGGTAACAAACCTCATATATGTTTTAGTCTTTTACGTTTTGAATTTTTTGAATTTTTATGTTTCATTGTTTTTTTAGACGAATAACCTTTGGGGTTAGAATTTTATAAGCTAAATTTAGAGTAGTGATTTTTAATATGTTCGTCTGAATTATTTTTCTAATTATACCCAATCTTATTTTAAAATAACAACGACCCAAATATCTAAAATCGAAAAATTCATAAGACCTATATTAACTATGGATCGAGAGGAGGGCTGGGCCAGGGCCTGGGGTGGCCACCCCCTAGATCCGCCACTGAAACCCTGGCATGTACCAGACTTAATCAAGAGAACAAAACATTTCATAATACATACTATGGAAGGAACCAAACTATTTGAATGATATGGTACAGACCAAACCATCACGCCCGATTGATAACAAAATTTCAAATGGTGTGGTATATTTTCCCAACCTTAAGTGGAACTACAAAAAATAAAAAAGATTTAAATCTACTATGTGGATGACATGTTGAAACACACTCCGCCAAATTGATATGATTTTTTTTTATCACGTACACATAACTCAATTAATGTTAATAATTGAACAATAAAATCCAGGGTCACTTGTACACAATTGTTCTCGACTCAGTCAACGTGATGAATCTCCGCATTTACTAGGTATAGGACATATATGGTCGTATAGGTAAAACCCATAAAACTTTTAATGGGGTATGGGGCGGGTATGAGTTTAGCATCCTCGTCCTATACCCATACCCATATCCACCCCACGAGGAGTCAAATTACAACATATATTCTTTCACTTTTTCTCCTTTATTTATTACTTAATAGAATCATCAAAGAAGAGAATAATGATTTGAAAATATTGTACTCTATCTTGTGAATTAATGGATGTTTTAAGATCAAATGCTAACCGAATTAAGAATGACTGTATATTTTTTTACTTCCTGATATAGTTGGTCTGTTTAGTGGTTATACTTATAATTGAAAATTTACGTGTAAAAATTTAGATATAATAATGTTTGATGTATGAGGCGGCTATTACACACGGGTGCCCGTAAACCACGAATATAAATACGGGTTTGCGGAACCATATGGTGAAAATGATTTAGGTGTTGTTTCCTAAGGGTGTGTTTGGATAGAATGATTTGTATTTGGTATTTGTGGTTTGGATTTCTAAATGTCAAAGCATGTGTTTGGGTATTAATTACATTTGGTATTTGGATTCATAGGGTGATTTCCAAATACATGTCTAGTGTATTACTTGTTAACTTCAAATACATTTCAACAACTAGTGATTTGAAATACCGCCTAACAAAAGATTTGTGCCAAAGGTAATCTTGGCCGAATCCTTTCCTCGGGTTGCCGCTACTGCCATCTCTTCTACCTGCTGGGTCTCCGACATTTGCCAGGTAAGTATGAGTGTTGGTAGATGGGAGATCCCCCTTTCTATAACTTTGAGAGGTGGTGCGGAAATTCAGCGGTTATCTCTTACTAATTTTCTAAATTCTTTACCCCCTGATTTCATCAATTGTGGTCCAAGTCGAGTGGTTTGGGATATCTTGGAGAGCTCCTCCTTCTCTGTCAATTCTCTTTACAGGTTTCTTGCAGATGAACGATTCCCAGGCGATGATAGCTTTCATGTAAAGGCAATTTGGAATCACGATATCCCTACAAAGATATGCGGGTTTATGTGGTTGCTTTATCATCAAAGTGTTATGACCCACGATTGCCTGCGAAGAAGAGGATGGAATTTGCCTAGTCGATGCTGTCTTTGTGGCCATGAAGAGGAGACCACTATTCACTTATTTTGCACATGTCCTTTTGTCATTGAAGTCTGGAGGTTAGCAGTTGCCCTGCTGCCCATTCAGAGTTTGCTTCATGACTGCATCTCCGCGACCATTCGTGGGTGGCCCTCCGCCACCGCATCATGCCCAACATAATGGTTCAAGAACAAAATTATGCATTTGATTTGTTGGTGTGTTTGGAAAGAAAGAAACGCTAGGATTTTTCAGGACAAGTATCAATCATACATGAATGTTTGTATGAAGGCTTTTGGAGCAGTGGTTGATTGGCTGCAGGCAAGAGGAAAGATCACGAGAGATCAAACAGATGGTTGGAGCCTCTTTTTTTTCACTTATATTCGCAGGAGTTGAGCTTTTTCCTCTTCTTGCTACTGTACTCGAGATGCTGGTCTTGCCACTTGCCTTTTGTGGCTTTCTTGTTGGTTTTTGCTCGTTTTTTTTCTTCTTTTTGCAATTTTGTGATGTTTTTTCTGTGTTTTCCGAGTGATTATGTCTTATGAATCACCTGATTTGCTGTACTCTTCTTCTTTTTTCTTCTCTATTAATACTATTTTCATCATTATAAAAAAAGATTGGACCTATATGTAAAATATTAAAAGTTTAGGTACTATAGTGTGAGGCAAAACATATAAAGGTACCCAAATATAATTTTATCATCACAATTTATGGACCTTTTTGTAACATTTTAAAAGTCTAGGCATTAATTTCTAAGGAAAAATAAATTCGGGTATCAAATTGTAATCTACTAAAATTTATAATAACCGACCACAATAGTGAAAATTAAAAGAAAAGATAATGAAATTTAAAATACAAAGAAATTACAAATGAGTATCTAATGCATTTCAAATGCTAGTATTTCAAATGTATGCATTTTAAAAATAACGTGTTTCAAATACCTTACATAGAAATACAACTATCCAAACGCTTCCTAATAGGATTTGGATGTTGAAATTGGTTCCCAAATATCAACCATATTGTTTTTGGACAATAACATTGTTTGTTAAGGTATGCACATCCATGGGGCCCAAAAATTTGGACAGATTTTTTAGCTCAAAAGTCGAAACCCATGGTACTCACGTATTTGCAACTACCACATTTCATTCGATATTTTGTTATGAAAGACAATTTTTTGAGACCAAATACCAAATCAACTAAATTCATGATAAAAATCAATTAAATATACAATGTTATATTTCAAATACAAAATACAACAAATCAATCATAAATTCAAAATTTTTCAAAATTCAAAATCTATATTTTCTAATTCAACAAGCAAAAAACGAGCTCTTAAACAAGGGCATTGCTATTCGTCGCCCTAATTTTTATTGAAATGACTCAAATATCCTTAGCTTAATTATTGTCTTTCAAACCCGCCGACCCCTTATGGTGCCGTCTCCGGCGAGTTGGGACAGGTTGGAACCTCGTACCTCTTCAAACTACCATCACCAGTGGGTCATTCCGACAATGAGCCTGTGGCGGGATCGGAGAAAGGCGCTCCATCTATGCTCAAGATGTTCGGAAGGAGCGCACCTAGCTGCGAACGACGACACTCTGTCTCTGTTCCCGATGTCATATGCGATTAATTTATATTCTACCAGACCGGCGCATCTCAGCTTGTCGGGATTCCAATTAGAAAGAGTTTCGATATGGGTTTTTAGGGTTTCAATGTCTATAAGGGTTTTATTCGTGTTGTGGTTGTCGTTGTTATTTTGATTTCTGGGTTTCAGGATTCATCCCTTCCGTTCCCGATTCAATTTGTGCAGAGTGGCAATTCATCTTCTCGAAGTCATCATATATAGTGAGGTCAAGATTTCTACGCTTCTTCTTCGTCTTCTTCCTCCGGCAATAAAAGTAGATCACCAGCGACGCTCAAGTTGAGGTGGGCAGATGCCGGATAAAAGAATCCCACAGCGATAGCACCGTCCGTGTTGAGGTCGGTGGCTGCTGGGCAGGGTACGTAAGGAATTTTTTATTCAGTGTTTTGGTTTGAAATTGGAATTAGAGGGTAAGATTGTTAATTTGGTGCATTTCAGGACGATAAAATTTGAATTTTAGGACAACGAATAGCGATTTCACTTAAAGTAACCTGCTCTACTGCCGATTCCTCGTCTTGCTTAGCACGCTTTAGGAGCGCATTTTAGTGAGACTCTCCCTCCCACTTTAAACAAACATGAAAAATCCATTTTCGGTCTTTACCGCCCATAATTTCAGTTTGCCTCCAAAATGCCTGTTTCCCGTGGCGCTAACGTCCACATAACGAAGCCCAACGCTTATCCTGCGCACCACAGGAGATCCATTCACCCAAAATAGAAAAGCAAAGAACAGAGAAGAAAGACAGAAACGAGCTGAAGTACAAAGGTTTTCGGACGAGTCAGACTCAGTCCTCCCCATTTCTACACTCAAGTCAGAATCCTCTTCCAGAAACTCTCCCCCGGCCGGAGCGCAGCGCTGCACCTGAAGCAGAGACGAAACCGGTGAGCACTCATCTCCGGCGATTTCTTTTTTTTCTCCTCTTTCCGCCCGAAGTCGTCGCTTGAGCCCTCGTATCAGTTCAATTATCTTGTAGATTTCCTTTTCGTTTGCTGTTCTCGGTTCTGCTTGTGTTTTCCCGGTGGTCCATTCGGTACGAGGAGTCTCCCCGGTAGATAGGTTTCATTTCCTCTTCTCCTGCACCATAAGAAGAGCCGTTTTGTTTATTAGGGTAACGAATCCCTTGGGCTTGGTAGCTTGGCATGAATTCGTTAGCAGAGTTTGTTTTTTGTTGATTTCGCTTTGATGGAAGGTCTGCGTAGTGGATAGAGGTATTACAGCCCCGTTGGGATGCCTGCTGCTCTTGCGAATAAGCATCGTAGAGTTCTTACGTGCGCAACAGGAAATTCACGAATCACCTTGAGAGCGTCGTTAGCTTCTGAGTTCTTGCTTAACTATGAAGTTCTTCTGATGTGTAAATTGCAAGGAATAGCAGGGTGTAGTTGCTAGGGTCTTATTTGTTCTGGATTCCATGACATGGAGAATTCAAATCTTATCTGTTGGTCTTGTGATACTGCTGATGTTGCTCCTAATACCTAACCCTTCTGTTTCTTTTACAGAGCTGGATGAGATTCTAGTCTCAACATGTATATAAAACAGGTATTTCAGGCTTGGTTTTCCTTTTTGTTTATATTTTGTGTTCAGCAGTTCTTAAAGTCAAATCCATTCATGGGAATCCAAATGCAGGTTATCATTGAAGGGTTTAAGAGTTACCGGGAGCAAGTAGCCACCGAGACTTTCAGTCCAAAAGTCAACTGTGTTGGTAAATTTGATTTCCCTCAGAATCTATATGACCATCTCCAATTTCTTTCCAGTTCTGGGTATTCTGACTAGTATAAGATACTCCGTCAAATGTTGGATGAAACTGAATAGGGTACAACTTTCTGTCTGTTGGAATTTATCTTCTCTGTACTTGAAAGATTATTATAACTTCTTCAAGTTTAAGTTTGAATGTTTATTCATTAAAAAAAGTTGGAATGTTTGTTTATTTGATCTTCAATTAGCAGTTGTGATATCTTCACTTTGATATAGATTCTGCAGTCTGACTATGTAGATTCGCCATGTGAAGTTCTGGAAATGCTATGCACTCATAAAACCTTCCCCCAGTTCTCATGCAAAAAATGCCTTCCCCTACTTTTAAAAGTAGTTTAGGATCACTTCTGAAGGATAAGCTCAGAAACTTCGGCATGTTTGTATGCTCAACTATTAAATATTTTAATGAGATTCTCTCCATTCATTATCTGGGTTATCTTGCGACTTACTCTTTACATCTGCGGTTCATGCACGAATTGGAATGTCAAGATTTTATAGTGATTTCTATTAACTGTTGCAACTTTCCCTGCAGTGGGCGCTAATGGATCTGGAAAATCGAACTTTTTCCATGGTTAGCTAATACTTACATTGATATAATTGCTTGTTAATTGTATCATTGGTTTGAAATGTATTTATGCATTAATATTATTCGCTTATCGGTTCCTCCCCTTTTAATCTTATTTTCCTTTTTGTAGCGATTCGTTTTGTGCTAAGTGACCTCTTTCAAAACCTGCGAAGTGAAGATAGGCACACTCTACTGCATGTATGTTTCTTAATATATTGTTTGCATTCCAATCTCTTAACACAACTTCTTTCTAAAGCAACTTCGTTTAAGCTTAATTTTCTTTTTATAACAGGAAGGTGCTGGACACCAAGTGTTATCTGCCTTTGTGGAGATTGTTTTCGATAATTCAGATAATCGCATCCCGGTAATGCTTTTTAGTCTACAAGACTTGTTGCTTGGTTTTCAGTTTCTTATTAGGTTGGTCGTTGGTGTGTTGTGGCGTGATGATCTCGGTGATGTAAATCTTATCAAATAAGCCCTTCTATTTGTTTGTCTTGCCTTGGGAGTTTTTGTCATTGCTTCTACTTTCTGCTCTATGTTTAGAAAGCTGTTTCACCATGAGGCAAGGTTTGTGTGGTGGAAGGTAGACTATAACATCTATGAGGAATGTGGGCTTTGTTTCTTTGGCTTGTGAGGAGTTGAATAAAAATCTTTACTGAATTAGGGATAAATGAGGTTAGTTCTTTGAAATAGTGGCTTTTGCATACTGTCCGTGCTTAAAGGAGATTAAGGATAAGAATCTCAAATAAATGTCCTTGTATTTTCCAGCTGCAAAGAACTGTGTTAGTGGGCTGTTTACACTGTATGCATCCTAGTTGAAATTATAAACTCGTGCAATCATATTGAAACCATCTTATTCAGTTTCATTGATCGTAACCTGGAGGTCAAAACAAGCAAGGTCTGATTATTATCTTCTGGGTTTTGAGTGTTAGTCTTCACGGGAAAGTTGGTAAATCAGTTTTCCCTGAAAGAATATGTCTTGAAATATGGTCTTAGAATATTTTCCTCCTCCATGGTTTAGAGCCCCACATAAGGGGAAGTCAGGAGCATAAATTTCTAGAGTTCCGGGCCATGTTTTCATCCCATATATTCTAAGTGTTGGTTTGTAGGTATATACATCTTCAAGCTGTAACATGTAGTGTTGCCAATATTGCTACTTGAACAATTTCCAGCTATGTGCATCCATGGTGATATTATCATAATTCAATATTTATTCCCACCACCATAACTGAATCTGATGTTACTTTCGACAAAAAAAAAAAAAAAAGAATCTGATGTTACTATGTAGAAAGATTTAATTTTACTATGTAGAAAGATTTAATTTTCATAACTATCATGTGTTGTCAAGCATCTTGATGAATAAGAATTGGCTGTTTCCGCTGAAGGGCACTGTTCGATAGCTATGATCCTTATACTTTTTCACTTTTGTAATGATAAGTATGTTTATCCTTAAACAGGTGGATAAGGAGGAAGTGCGTCTGCGTAGAACAATTAGTTCAAAAAAAGATGAGTATTTCCTGGATGGAAAACATATTACGTGAGTGTATATTATTACTTTGTTTATATTGGAAGTTCTATTCATCTGTGGCAATGTCGTCTAACGTTTGTAGATGCATATTGCTAGGAAAACTGAAGTTATGAATTTGTTGGAAAGTGCTGGTTTCTCTCGCTCAAACCCGTATTATGTAGTGCAGCAAGGAAAGGTTTGTGTGATATTTGTAGAATTGTCTTAACCTTCATTTTGAATTTCCTATTTATCTAGCTTTCCTTCCCTCTAATGTTACATCTCTTTCTTCTGGTGGAATTTTACAGATTGCATCGTTAACATTAATGAAAGATTCCGAGCGTCTGGATTTATTGAAAGAAATCGGTGGAACACGAGTATATGAAGAGAGACGTCGTGAAAGTTTGAAATTAATGCAAGAAACAGGCAAGTGCGAGTTTAGTTAGTTGTTTCTTGTGCCTTTTCAAAGATTTCTTATGTTGAGGTTCAATATTCAGGAAATAAAAGGAAGCAGATAGTGCAAGTTGTTCAATACTTGGACGAGAGACTGAAGGAACTGGATGCAGAGAAAGATGAGCTGAGGAAGTATCAACAGCTTGATAAGCAGCGTAAATCTCTTGAGTACACAATTTATGATAAAGAACTCCAGGATGCTCGGCAGAAATTGAAAGAGGTCAGTACCATTTTTCCATGCGCGAAGGTGTGGTTTGTATATGGCTCACAAGATTATGTGGTTAAACGGATAGCTTTAAATTGCAATATCTGCTTCTGCAAATTTCTTCAAGTGCTCATATCGTCCCCCCAACCTATGCATTGCCATAATTCTATGTTGGTATACAAGACCAATAACCTTGCACCTCTGTTAACCATCACAAAAGAAAAAACAACTGTCACCTGTTAATTTTTGCATAGGACTGAAAGGAATGGTAGACCATTTATGCAGTGGAGATCTTTTAGTTTTCACAGATTTTAGATCATTTGGCCATGGAAACACTTGATATAATTTATTGAAACATGAAGCATTTTTTGTTTGTTTGGTGGTGTTTTAACAGTGGGAATTTGGTTTTGCTGTCGTACTTCTCACTTTTTCTACAGTGCAAAAGGTTACTTGTCGTGGAGTTAACCTGCATCCTTTAACTTACGACTTATACTTTAAGGTGCAGATAAAGTAACCGTTGTTCGAGTTACATGCTGCCCACCAAAGTTTCCCTAAATTGGGATTTCATAAGTGTCATTTTAAAATTTAACTTACTGAAGGGCAGTTCATGTCATGTTGATGTTACTGAACTGGAAACTATAATGATTCCACTTTCTGGAAAGGTTACTGCCACCTGCTGGATTTTTCTGTGCCCTTTTCATTTCAGCTACATTTGTTTTGCATGCTGGAAAATCATAGTGTTGAGTGTTGACCACCTAAAACAGCATCCTAAAATATATTTCTCATGTTATCAGCTTTCTGCGTCAGTTCATTTTCTTTTTTGGGGGTTCAGGTTGAGGACGCTCGAAACAGGGTATCAGAAACTTCTGCCAAGATGCATTACAATGTGTTGGATGCCCATGAAAAGTCTAAGGACTTGGACGCACAAATGAAGGATCTTGGGAAAGAACTTCAAGGATTGAATAAAGAGAGAGAGGCCGTGGAGAAGCAACACAGTCAAGCAATAAAGAAACTGACAGAGCTTCAGCTTGATGTGAAAGATATGCAAGAGAGGATGTCAGGAGCTAACCAAGCCAAAGTACCATTTTGAAGTTTTCTTTTCCCTAACTGGATGGAGGATAAACCACATTTTTCCCTCAAAGCACTATATGCTTTTTGCAGGAAGAAGCGGGACGCCAGCTGAAAAGTGTTGAAAAAGAAATTCAAGATTCGATGGAGGAGCTTGAAAAAATTAGCCCATCATACGAGGAACAAGTTGAAAAAGAAAAGGAGATTACAAAAGGGTATGGTTTAGCATACATTTTCTTGTTGTTTGTTGCTTGGCTGCAATTATGGTCTTTCTTACTTAGCTGTTCAACTATCCAGACTTTTGCTAATAGCAAAGTGGCTGTGTATACTTCTTTCTTTCCGATTTTCATTTTGATACTGTCCTCTAATACTACAACTATCCAAGCTTTATGCAATTTTTCACAATGGGTCACTAATTGCTATCGTTGGTTGGCTTAGAATAATGGATCGTGAGAAGCAGCTTAGCATACTTTATCAAAAGCAAGGTCGAGCTACACAATTTGCCTCCAAAGCTGATCGTGACAAATGGCTTCAGAAGGAAATTGAGGACCTGCAGCGGGTCCTTTCTTCAAATTTGGCTCAGGCATGTTATTTTTTTCTTATGCACTTGTCTTGTGGTGTTCTACTGGGTGTGCCCATTGCTCTTGGTTCCATTTGCGACCTCACTGTAAAGTTCGATGAACTGAAACTTAGTTTGTTTTTGGGTCTTTTGTGAGTCGTATGTGCCAGTGCTGCTTTAGGAAAGACTTCCAGTTGGATGTTAAGGCTTCAGATGCTAGATTTGGTTAGTATGTTCTGGTTGTATTTGAGAAAGAACTCCAAATTAGTTTGTGATTCAATTTTTCTTTCTGAAGAGATCTGTTCGTAATAACGATACAAATAGTAAGACCTGCAAGAGCCATATGCTTGTGTACTTTGGTTTTGTGCAACTGCCAGTGGAACTGATGTTCACTTTTATTGGTTGGGGATCATCTTAAACGATTACATCTTATGCTGCCATCATCTTAATCCCTCCGCATGGAAAATCTCATCCATCTTTTCTATGCTTGTGTCATTTACACTTGCAGGAGAAAAAGCTTCAGCAGGAAATTAATAAACTCAATGTGGACTTAGCAACTCAAGATGCATACATTACGGATCGCAAGGCTGACATTGAAAAAATTCAGTCTCATATTTCTCAGTCACGAAAAGGATTCAGTAACCATAAAGATCAGAGAGATAAGCTGCATGATGAGCGAAAGTATGCTTTTTCTTCCATTTTTTGCTGTTCTTGTCAGGCTTCTTGAAATTGTTTGAAGGCTTGTGACATGTTTGAACTTTCCAGGGCATTGTGGGGAAAGGAAAGTGCCCTTGATGCTGAAATTGATAAGCTGAAGACAGAACTTGAGAAAGCAAAGAAGAGTCTTGATCATGCGACTCCTGGTGTGAGTATTCATTTTGAGGTTTTCAGAATATCTCAGTCCTTTTACTGTGAACAAACGGAGATCCTAGTCCTGTGTGTACCAGTTTAAAGGTCTTCTCCTGAAAACGAACTCAGTTACTGTTAATAATTTCAGTTTTCTGTTGAAGAAGGATCTGAAGTCCGTTCTGTACTATTTGATCAGGGCTTCAAATTGTCATGACAGTTTCTATTAAGTTAGAGAACTGTTTCTCGTCTAATACTGGAACCTATTTCTCCTGTCCTCGATGTTGTGTGAGAGCCTTTCTCTGGTTTATGTTAGACAGTTTACGAACCATGGCCGCTTTCTCTTTGCAGGCCAATAGTTGATCACACTTTGATTTGAAATCCATTCTGTCTGAGTTAATTATACACTCTGTGGCTTGTGCACTCTTGAAACAGCTTTGCTGCAACTAAAAAAGACTTATTTTTCTTTCTGAAGCCCGACAAAGAATTTTCAGACGTTTGAGTGAGACCTAAACCTTCATTTTGCTAGATAAAAATGCCTGTCCTACTGCTAGGTTTTGCATCTGCCAGTGATATCTGTCGCAGTAGTTTTTCTTTCTTGTATGTAATTGATACAAAATCTGTTGAATAATTTATTGGAAAAGACAATTTTTTTTCTTTTTCATTGAATTCAAAAGACAATTTAGTTGGTATCTGACATGTCATTTTTTGTGATGCCTCTTTTCTGCTGTGATGTCAGGATGTTAGGCGAGGACTTAATTCTATGCGGCGTATCTGTAGAGAACATAATATCACAGGAGTTTTTGGGCCAATTATCGAGTTGCTTGATTGTGATGAAAAGTTCTTTACAGCTGTGGAAGTTACTGCTGGAAATAGGTATAGCAAGTCTGCACTTTCAATTATCTCTCCACCTCCACCCCACGGTCCTCTTCATTTTTTTCCCTCTTCCCAGCTTCGAGTTATAGTGCGCTTTGGTCTGTGGTTTACTTAAAAGATACTTGTTGGTCTTCTGATCTATGTAGTTCTATAGTTCTATCAATGATGCTCTTGAATTTGTGTTGTTTATTGAGCAGCCTTTTTCATGTGGTCGTTAAGGATGATGGAGTGTCAACCCAAATAATCAGACAGCTTAATGCTCAGAAGGGTGGACGAGTTACGTTTATACCTCTGAATAGGATTAAGGCTCCAAGGGTGAACTACCCAACAAATTCTGATGATGTGGTAGCCCTAAAAAAGAAGTTGAAGTTCAAGGAAAGTTTCGACCCTGCATTTCAACAGGTTAGCGACAACTGCACCTTATTGATCAAGGAGTAATATTGTCACTTCAGTATTCAAAATAAGAGAAGTGTCACCTGATGTTTTTTGTGGCCGAAGTGCCATGCGATATTTTTTCCTGAGAGTTCTCTTTGCTTTTTTATGCACTTCTATATTGCTGCATGGAATGCCTGTAGCAAAAGGACATGTATGATGAGGAAAACACTTTTTCACAACGTACCTATGGGTCATTTGGATTGGGCAACGTGCAAATGTAGACATTTGGTTAAGTGTCTCATTTGCAAAAAAGAGACATTTCAAAATGTCTGCACCTCCCTTGGACATTACGAAATGACTCGAATGAATTAAATGCTTGTACCTCCCATAGACATTTGGAAATGACTCTAATGGCCATCCAAACGACCCACTATTGATCACTTCTGTATCCGGCTTAATATACTGTAAGATTTCATATGCAACTTAGTAGAAACTTTTGCCTACTTCCGTCCACCCCGTTGAAATATTCTTTTGCTTAAAGCAGTTCCAACAACTATATCAAAGTAAAGCCAATAAGGATATTTTCCTATTTCTCCATTGTGATTTAGAAGTTAAGATAAATGGGCTCTGCATGGCCTGCAATGGATGGACTTACGGCTGATCTCATCGTACCTTGAGCTGTGTAGCAATTATGAGTCATGTTTTACTGTTTATGTTGGACGAAGACGAAGGGAATTTGCATTTGAATTATGATAACTGGCAGCGCAATTTTGGGATTGATCTCGAGTTTCTTTTTTTAAGAAATTAAAATGCATATTCTAGCTCTGGGTTAACAGTATTATTTCCCCCTATTTACGATACTTCTGTCTAGTACAGGAGCTAATGAGGTGTAGCAAACTCGAACATATGCTTGTTTCCATGAGGTTGATTACTCATGGTTGGAAAAGGCTATGCTTGTGTCGTCTATGAATTTCTGGTTCCTTTCAGGTTGTTTTGTATGCTTAGATTGCTATATCTTCTTGTAGGTATTTGGTAGAACAGTGATATGCCGAGATTTGGATGTTGCCACAAGGATTGCTAGGACTGATGGTCTGGACTGCATAACATTGGAAGGTCTGATTTTTTAAATTTTTGTTTCCATTCGTTCAGTATCTTGATGCATATATTTAACATGTTAATGTTTCTGATAGTTGAATGCTGGCCTCAAAGTTTGAACTAGTTGGATTGGGTCATCAATTGTCATTCAGTTTTAGCACTCGTCTGCCCCCACCCCCCATGCAGTTCCATTATGTTGCCTAAAAACCCGCAATTTCTCATCAGGTGATCAAGTAAGTAAGAAAGGTGGTATGACTGGTGGATTTTACGACCACCGCCGCTCAAAATTGAGGTTCATGAATGCTATCATCCAGAATCAGAATTCGATACAAGCGAAAGAGAAAGACCTGAAAGATGTCAAAGCTACGCTTGAAGATATCCTTTGTCTTGCTGTCTTAATTCCCTCTGGGATTTATGCGCTGCTATGCATTATATCTTGTGACCTAGCACCAAAAGTGTCTTCAGTAATGTGATTTAATGCAGGGCTTTGCGCTATCACAGTCTATCACCACCATTTTTCTCTGCACTGGAAAAACATTTCGGCTGGGATAGAAAATCTAGGGAGCCGTCTCCTTCCCTTAAGACCTTGAGGGGGAAAAAAACAAGTGAAGTCTAGGGAGATCTCTCCTATTTAAATCTTGATCTATTCATTCCTGGATGGTTGAGAAGGTTGCCTCCTTTCACCCTCGTGTTCATTAATTGAGCAGCTTTCTTCTTGATATGAAGAGTTGGCTTGTATTTCTGCATGCATATACATGAAAGATGGACATTATTTAAGTGCAAAAACTCTTCTCAGATAGATTAAGCTGACCTCTAGACACAAATGTGACTGATAAACTTTACGTTCTCCATCCTGCGTGATATGTCATGGTTTTACTTAATTAGTCTCACGTGTAGAGCGGAAAATCACAGAGCTGGTAACAGAGCAGCAGAAAATTGATGCTGAGCAGGGACATGATAAAACAAAATTGGAGCAGCTGAAGCAGGATATTGCTAACGCCAATAAGCAAAAGGAATTCTATTCTAAAGCTCTGGACAAGAAGGTACAGTTCTACATTTGGGTTATTCTTGTATTTTTTTATTGGAGTTGTTGGGGGTCCTTTTTGGAAAAGCATTTTCTTTGTTGTGGCTTTTACCATTTTGACACTGCTGCATGTAGGAAAAATCGATTGCGGATGTTAGGAACCAAATAGAGCAGCTTAGAGCCAGTATGGCTGTGAAACAGGATGAAATGGGCACAGAACTCATTGACCACCTAACGCCAGAGGAAAAAAACCTTCTATCGCGTCTGAACCCCGAAATAAGTGATTTAAAGCAGGAGCTCATCAGGCGTCGAGCAGAACGTGTTGAGGTTTGAACATTCAAGCTTAGCGAGTCAATAATGTGGCAGTTTTATTTGTTTGCATTACATATTTGTGTATTCAACTTGTAGACTGAAACGAGAAAGGCAGAGTTGGAGACTAATCTCACCACTAACCTCAAAAGGAGAAAACAAGAACTGGAAGCCATTTTATCCTCTCCAGAAGATGATGCGTTGAATACCGATGCTGCATTGAAGGCACAGGAATTAGAGGAAGCTGAATCACTGGTGGATGCTGCGAAAGAGGAGCTCAAAAGTGAGTGTTCCTTCTTTTCTGCATTTTCACTTATCAATTTAGGTATTAGCAGAAAGTTTTAATTAATTCCTAATTGCGTTTTCAGGAGTTTCTGCCACCATAAATGACATAAAGAAGCAGCTGAAGAAGATAAAAGATGAAAAGATAAAATTGCAGGTAAGCTACTTGTAGTGTTTTTGACTGTTAGGCTGGTGGTGTCACTCTAGCTAAAATTTCTCAATTTCAGACATCAGAAGAAACCTATGAGAGGACACTCCAGGAAGAAGCTAAGGAACTGGAGCAGCTACTGAGTAAAAGAAATGTACTTCTTGCTAAGCAAGAGGAGTACTCCAACAAAATTAGGGAATTGGGTCCACTTTCATCTGATGCTTTTGACACGTATTACTTCACTCTCGAACTTTTTTCTTTGTTCATGTGATACAGCATTATTGGGCGTGTGTATGTTTTATTTGATTTCACCTTTTCAGTTTCTTGGCTCGTGAAATAATTCTGTTTAGATTCTTCAAATTCATTTTGGAGCAGAGTATTAGGCTGTTGCAATTGTCATAATTGTTTACGTGTTGAAAATATCTGGGATGCTACCTTCAAAGTGTTTTTTCTTCCTCCAATACTTTATTTCTTCTACTGCTTCAAATGGCTAAGCAGCTGCTCTTGCTGATTGTAGAAGCTGGAAATCCTAAATTGCTCATTCTCTGATGTGCCTCTGTTGTGAGCATTGTTTTTAGGACTTGTTCCATTAGATTGACCTGCTCCTTTTCATGGTATGTACTTTAGGCATAAGCGAAAGAATATCAAAGAGTTGCAGAGAATCCTCCATAGATGCAATGAGGAACTACAAAAGTTTAGTCATGTAAACAAGAAGGCACTAGATCAATATGTCAATTTCTGGGAGCAACGAGAAGAACTTCAGAAAAGGCAAGCTGAACTAGATGCAGGTGATGAGGTAATACTTCACAAACTTCATCAGTAACATATGTGGTGATTCATTTGCTGTTTGTATAACAATGGTTATGATTTGGTGTACTTCATGTACTGATGCAGAAAATCAAAGAGCTGATAACAGTTCTGGATCAGCGGAAGGATGAATCTATAGAGCGTACTTTCAAAGGTGTTGCTAGGCATTTTCGAGAAGTGTTTTCTGAACTTGTCCAAGGGGGTCATGGCCATCTGGTTATGATGAAGAAGAAGGTTTGTGTAGACAATTTTCAGTTCATCAAAATTTGGATTCTTCGAATTGCTGAAGTGCTGGATATGATTTGGTTACACCCCACCCCCCTCAAAGGCTAGGTGACTGAATGAAGTGTACTAATGCCTTGCTCTAATTTTGCCTCTTTGTACTGATGTTTGGCTCTATAACTTTTTCTCAATTAGTGTTTCCGGTTTGCTAATCCCAAATGCATTCTGCTTGCAATGGTTGAAGTCTATGCTTGTATTTATAGCGACTATAACTTGCTTTTGAATTTCTTATATCAATTACTTACATAGGACGGTGATCAAGAGGATGACGACGACGAAGATGATGGGCCTCGTGCAGCTGATTTGGAAGGCAGAGTAGAGAAATACATTGGTGTGAAAGTAAAGGTATGTATTGCCAATCTTTATTTACTATGCAAATATCGTTTCACCTTTTGTGCAGTTCTGGAACGAAGAGTTGGTAGGAGCTAGTTTATAGACTATATTCTATGCATGATTGCTACTAGCAACGAGCACGGCTTTTGTAAATTTGTAATGAACTGATTGGGGTTTTGCTGTATAGGTTTCTTTCACAGGGCAAGGAGAGACGCAGTCGATGAAGCAGTTGTCCGGGGGCCAGAAAACGGTCGTTGCTATGACATTGATCTTCGCTATACAGCGTTGTGACCCTGCTCCTTTCTATCTTTTCGATGAGATCGATGCGGCACTTGATCCCCAGTACCGAACAGCGGTTGGAAGTATCCTTTTCCTTTGGTCATCACTCATTGATTCCGCGTGCACAGTACTTAATGAAATGCTCCATTTTTTTCATTACTTCCATCAAATTTGCTGTTTGGCCGTTTCTTTTTCATTATGAAGTGGCGATCCTTAATTAATCCGTCAGATATGATACGTCGGCTGGCTGACATGGCAAGCACCCAATTCATAACGACGACATTCAGGCCGGAGCTGGTGAAAGTTGCTGACAAGATATATGGGGTGACACATAAGAACAGAGTGAGCCGTGTGAACGTCGTGTCCAAGGACGATGCCATAGATTTCGTGGAGCGCGACCAGTCCCACAATGCCGAGTAAAGGGTACGAAGCTCTGCAGTTTTCCTCTGGGAAATAGCTAACCATGTAAATGGTAGAAGTACAAAAGTAGGATGGAAGGAGGGAAGCGTGTTTATATTGCAGTGAACCAAGGAACCTCTTTATGTTCCCTGGGATTACTATCTACTGTTTCTGTGCTTAAGCTAAAATTGGTATTAGTCAAAGTTGATGTAGTAGACCTGGATTTCAAGGCATCCACATAGACATAGTTCAACTACAATCTCGGCTAAATTTACTCTTGCAGAATGGATTTATATCTAATTCATGTCATACAGTTTTGCTTTCTCTAAAGGAAAAAAAAAAATTAAAAAGTATCCTCCACTACTTCATTTTTATTTTCAGAGTTACTATCTTAGATTTATAGGCTAAATTGCAAGTTTGGTCACTCGAATTGCAAAAAATTTCACGTTTGGTCACTCGAATTCGTTTATTCCATTCGTAGTCACTTAAATTAGTTGAATAGTCCAAGTTCGGGCACT